CGGCTGATTACAAACTCGTGCAAAACGGACAGCGGCTGTTGTTGCGCGGCAATCTCAATCCACACACACACAGTGCGCGCGCTTTCCTCGGAATAGATGACACACGAGAGTCATCGATTGAAATCGCGATTGGCGGAGGACGAGCGACGAGGGAAGAAGAGAGACCAAGCGAGACCAAGCGAGACGAGCTTTCTTTACTTGGATGACTCGCACGGCAGCGTCAAAGCGGCCCTTCAGCGTCTCGGCAGCGACGAGCTCACGCCAGTTGTCAGAGAGCACCTTGTACAATTCCTCACTCATCGGTGGTTAAACTTTGAATCAAAGGCCCAAAGGGAAGGCAAAAGACAAGGAAAAATCAAAGAAAATGACTGGACTTTTGTGCTAACTGGCTCAGACTAAAGCCGGACGGCTTGCTTTGGGGGTGTATCTATAGTTTCAGATCGGTTAAATAGTGTATTGAAGAGGGGTTTGAACCTGTCCTGTACAGCATCACCAGCAATCCTATCAGCAGATCGAGTTTCGTGGCTCTGCTGCATTTCATTGCTCTCTCTCTCTCTCTCCCTCCCTCCCTCTGCTGTTTTATTATTCTGTACAATTGTTATTTTCATTCATGTTCAGTCTATTTGCACATCCACACACATTTTCCCACCATGTCTGCCGCAAAGGATCGCTTGGCCAAGCAGCACCAGGAGATTCTCACTGGACTGCTCAACGACGACGCCAACAAGAGCTGCGTCGACTGCCTCGCCAAAGGTGCGCTTCCCCCCCCCCCGCCCCCTTGCCTCCTCCTTGATCCTACATCACTCTACACCCTCTTCCTTGAGTGCTCAAGCGCCACACCGGAGTGCAGCAAAGCAAAGTGTGTTGCTTCCGTTCGTTTTGTGTTGTTTGCCTCTCTTTCCATCTCTCCATTCGAAGCAACGGAGATCAACAAAGCAAGAAGTGAAAGCGAAGTGCATTCAACGCGAAGAAGAAGAAAAAAGTCACGAATCTGAAGCAAAAGAACAAAAAAAAAAAAAAAAAAAAAAAGAATCAGAATCATTTGACTTTTTTTTCTATTGTTTTTCTATTGTTTTTGTTTGACTTTTTTTTCTATTGTTTTTCTTCCTTTCTTTCCTTCTTTTTTGCGGCTGTTGTTTGTTTGTTTGTTTTGTTTGTTTTGTTTTGTTTGAACGAACAAAAACATTCATTCAATCAACGTTCAACTTTATTGTTGATGCGAACGTCCAAAAGCAAAAAAAGCGGAAAAAGGCGAACGAACGACACAACGCATGGGAACAATGCTCAAAACCACAACGCAAGCAAACCCCCCCCCCCCGCAATGTTCACTCACTCAGTTCTGCTATTGTTGTTGCCGATGGTGTTGTTGTTGTTGTTCTTGTTGAAAACAAATGGCCGATGGTCTAGGTCCGCGCTGGGCGTCGTGGAACCTCGGCGTCTTCCTCTGCATCACCTGCGCCGGCATCCACCGCAACCTGGGCGTGCACATCTCACGCGTCAAGTCAGTGACGCTCGACTCGTGGACGCCAGAGCAGATCGAGGTAGGGTTGTGCGCGGCGAGCGACAAGGGCCACGGGAGGGGGGTTGGTGCTCACTTGTTGATCCATTTTGTTGATCCATTTTCATGTCCCTTCGTTCTGTGCAGAGCATGGTTCGTGGTGGCAACCGCCGCGTGAACGCATACTACGAAGCAAACATTCCGCACGGCTTCCGTCGTCCCCAGCAGGGCAGGTGAGTTTGTGCTGTTCTTAGAAAATGCTCCAATTCTCTCCATTCTCACTCTTCTCGCTCTTCATTCTCTGTCTTTGTTTGACCCCACTCCAGCGAGCTCGAGACATTCATCCGCGCAAAGTACGAGCGCAAAAACTTTATCGACAAGACCTCCAGCGGCCCTTCATCGGCCCCGCAGCAGCAGCAAGCCGCAGCAGCACAGCCCGCGCCTGCCCCGGCTGGCAACAACCGATCTGCCGAGTCGCACCATGGCCACCGTCACAGCCACGGCCACCACAACTACCGCGAGCACCCGCCAAAGATCACGGCCCCGCCGTCGTCCAACCCCGTTACCATTGCTGCTCCAGCGCCAGTCGCCGCTGCTGCAGCCTCGCGTCCCGCCAAGCCTGTCGAAAACGCCTTCGACTTGCTGTCCATCGACGACGCCCCAGCTCAGAAGGCATCCGCTGCTCCTGCAAGCAATGGCAGCAGCGTCTTTGCAAACGGCTTTGGCCTCTCCGCCCCGTCCCCTGCTGCTGCTGCTGGCGGCAACCTTCCATCGCAGAACTCGAGCAGCGTTGATCTGTCCGGCCTGTTTGCCACCCCCTCGGCGTCTCCCGCTCCCGGATCCGTTGGCGCAAAGGCGGTCGACAAGAGCTCCATTCTTTCGTTGTACGGCACTCCTTCCCCTGTCGGTGGCGTCGCCGCTCCTTCGGCCGCCCAAGGCTTTGGCCAGCCAGCGCCCCAAGGCTATGGCGCCCAGCCCGGCTACGGCCAGGGCTTCCCCGGCGCTCAACAAGGTGCGCCAAACGCGTTCGGCATGCCCGGTCTGTACTCGTCGGGCGCTACTGGCGGTTTTGTGCAGCAGCCGCAACAGCAAGGCTTCAACCCCTTCCTGCAAGGCCAACCGCAGCAGGCCCAGGGCCAGTTTGGCCAACCTCAGCAGCACTTCCAGCCTCAGCAGCAGTTCCAGCCGCAGCAGCAGTTCCAGCAGCAGCAGCAACAGCAGCTGTACCAGCAACAGCAGCAGCAAATGCTCATGCAGCAACAGTATTATGCGCAACAGCAACAGCAGCAGCAATATGCTCAGCAGCAACAGCAACAGCAACTTCTCCACGTGCAGCGCGTGAGCCAGCAACAGCAACAACAGCGTGCCAACCCCAACTTGCTTTCCACCAGTCCCTCCAACGGCTCCACCTTGAACAGCTCGCTGTGGAATTAAGCGACAACACAAAATGCAAAATGAAAAAAAAACCAAAGGAATGTGATGATTGTTGTGGGAGTCAGTCTGCTTGGGTCGGATGAACGTTCGGTTTCTTGTCATGCGCGAATAATGAGTCTGGAATTGTCTTTCTTTTTATGAGTTTCGCATTTTTCTCTTGTTAAGGTTTGAAAGCAAAGCGAAAAAAATACAGTGATATTCCAACAAGTGCAACAAGGCGGGTGCAACAGTCAGTCGAGAGTCGTCGTCGTGGTTATTGGATTTTGATTCCCTGATTGGCAGCCTTTCGCGATGTTGACAAGTGTTGTTGACGCAGCTCTTCCACCTTGAAAGCATCCTTTGTAGCCTTCTTGACCACTCGGCGCTCCTGCAAAACAACAAGAACACGACATGCAAGCGTTTGTTGGTGAGCAACATTTCCACAGCGCCACCGGCCAACAACAAACACGGCAAACGGACGCACCTTGCGCTGAGCTTTGACGGCCTGCTTTCGAATACGACGCTCTTCGGGCGTCTCGTTCTTATCGCGAATCGTCGAAACAGTCGATTCGGCCACACTCACGTCGTCATCCTCGTCGTCTTCGGCGTCTTGCTGAGCCTGACGCTGGTCGTGACGACTCAGGGACTTTGTCGTAAGAACACCGCGTTCGTCATCCATCTTGCCAGCACCTCGGGTCGAAAGCACGCCAATCGGCAAGCCCGTCTTCTTGGACAGGCGGATAATTGGCTCTTTAATTAAGGTAGGGTGGTTGAACTGGTTTGACGACACGCCTGGTTGTTAGCGACAAACAAGCAGGATGTACGTGAGAGGAATTATCAACAAACGAATCGTGCATAAAAAAAACCAACAGTTCCGCTTACTCAATGCATCCAGCAGATCGCGCGGCTTGGGCGGGACATAGAGGCGCTCCATGATGGGAGCACGGTCGTCATCGCTGCTCTCGTCGTCCGACACATCAAACACATCTTCTGTGGATGCGGCGCTGGGCTCGGGCAGTGGTGGTGGGACGGCGTCGAAATTGCTGCGGCTCTTGGTGATGGCAGGTCGGGCCGTCTTGCGACGCATCTTGATTTCGCCCTCATCCTCTTTACTGTAACGCAATGCAAGCTCGCGCTCTTCGAGGAACTCGTCAAGCAGCGAGCTAAAATGACCAACGTCGCCACTACCGGCAATAAACTCGCCCTCCTCGTCCAACGCGCCAATCTCGTCGTCGGCGTACGCAGCGTCCAACACGTGATCAAAGCGCTCGTCGAGCAATTGCAGGCCGTCGTTTCGTCGCATCACAGACGACGTCATTGAAAAGTTACTCATGCGCGACTTGTTGTCGCTCGGTCCGCGGCGACGGCTCTTGCTGGTCGCTTCGCTGTCCAGATCGAAGCGTCCATCGTCCAAATCAGCCAGACGGTCTTCTGCCTCGCTGCCAAAGTTTGAATCGTCGTCGTCGTCCTCGTCGTCCGAGCGACCCGCTGGTAGCCGCTTGCCGGCGCTCAGTCCAAAGCGCGCGAGCATCTCCGCCTTGGCGTCCGTCATGCCGGGGCGCTCAAACTGGCCAGTCGTAGTGTCGTCCTCCGAATCGCTGTTCAAGCCCAGCTCCCTGTCGAGGTCGGCGTCCCCCTCCACATCGACGCCGTCCGTGGCGTTGGCCATCGAGATAAAGTCGTCTTCGAGCTCCGGGCCCATGTCTGTTTCATCATCACTGGCGTCCAGGGCTGCGACGATTTCCGGGTCCCAGTCGAGTCCGATGGCTGCAAGAGGGTGTGTGTGTGGCGGGGGGACAAGGGAAGAAAGAAGAGAGAATTTGAGGGTGAGAGGACAAAGAGATTGCAGACAAGCTCAAGACTCGGCTTCATACCGGTGGCTGGTGCGGCTTGCAAGTTCATCAGGCCGACTTTGGTCTCATCGGCCGAGGCAAACAGGTCGGCGGGCAATCCAGCAATCTGGTTTTTGTTTGTCAACGTTGAAAGTCAGCGTCAAAAAACCTTTCGAGCTACAGATTCACCTTGCATTGCGACTAACCATCTTTTTGGAGTCGGCAGCAACGAAAACGCCGTCGCCACTGTTGCCAATCGTCTTCAAGTGCTTCATGTAGTCGTAATTGTCGCCAAAGTACACGCCAAACTGTGCGAGTTGTTCCTTTCGGGCGAACTGAGAGCTGTTTGCGACAACGGCATCCCGCAGTTAGCAACCAGGTCTCGATGGCACAGATGGAACATGGCTGCGAGCTAATCAACTTACGTTTGCAGTTTCGCCTGCACCTCGGGCGATTCGTCTGCGTCTTCGAAAGCGCCAACAGCGGTTCGTCGTGGCTTGGCAGATGCATTTTGGGCGTCCTTGGCAGAAGTGGCCTTTGTACCTTTTGCCGCTGTCCCGGCAGCAGCAGCACCAGCAGCAGCAGAATCTGAGGCTGTTGCGTCTTCATCTTCAGCGTCGCTGAACGGGTTTTCATCATCCTCGTCCTCCTCATCATCGCCTTCAATCGTGTCCAAGTCCGAATCGTCGCCATCCTCGTCGTCGTCGTCGTCGTCTTCATCGTCGTGACCCTGTGATTTTGATTATTGAGCATTTCACAAGTCAGTAGAAGCAACTTCCAATCAAATCCAGCCGTCAAACAAGCCGCCAATGTTGTCCCAGCCAAAAAGTGCATTGCGTTTGTTTTGAGCGTGTTTGCCACCCGCCCAACCCCGCTTTTTTGCACAACAGCCGCAAACACTGAATCCGACTAATTCTGCCACGTTCATAGAGCGCGGGATGGCAAAGTCGAACGGCGGACAGGCTTTTTGCGTAATGCCCACATGGACCCTTTCGAGCCTTCAGTCAGCCAGCGTCGCTCACTTTAGCGCTGTCGACCCCCCCCCCACACTTGGCCGAGGTCAGGGTATCAAGCAAGGACTAGCAAGCAAGCCTCGGTGCTTTGACTGGGATGCTGGAGGGGGTGAAAGACTTACGACGACGTTGCGTGCGTCGGGAGCGACACGCGCGCCGATGGGGACGACGCGGGCGTTGGACGGGAGCTGCGGGGCCATTGCGCCCTCGAACTTGTCGGCAAGGTGCTCTGGCACGTTGATGGGTCTGAGCACGAGCTGCGGCGCGTCGGAATCGGCGGCAAGCGGATCACGCTGTGACCGGTGCACGAGCTGGAAGCGCGCCGAGCTCTTCTTGTCCACAAAGCGCTTTGTCTTGCCCTGGACAAAAGGTTACATTTTAGATGAATTTGGGGGGGGGGTGAGTTTCCTGATGATACTGGGAAGGGGGGAGAGAGAGAGACGAGTGTGTATGGCTGTACCATTGTGTTTTTAGTATTGCAATGGAAAGCGAATAGAAAATGAGTGAACTTGGACAACAGTGATTCGATCAAGTGCCAAGAATGGGAGAATGGGGCGAGGCCAGTCCTGATTCGTAGTCGCTTTCTCAGATACATCTCAGATTCTCAGCCTTTTGCAGCATGATGGCACGCCCTCCAGCTGCTGTTGCTGCTGCTGCTGCTGCTCATGCTGCCCATGCTGTTGGCTGCGAATCGTACTGCTGGGAGTGAGTTATTCAGCTCTGGATTGAGTCGCGGGAATGCCCGACAGACCATTGCAGATGCTGAGCTGAGGAACGGGACGAGGATCAAAATCGAGCCAATGCAGCTGAACGACGACGACGACTACCATGATGATGATGATGATGATGATGGTCATGATGATGATGATGATCATGATGACTATATTGATCACAATCACCCGGATCAAGAGGCCGGCATGGCAGCAATCGGCAATGGACGCCGCTCCGCCCTCCCTCTGTTGTTGCCGCCGGGCCAGGACTGGACTGCGACCCCGCCGCGTGAGCTGCTGATGCGGGCGTGGGGCGAGCAATGGCCTCCCGAGCGGTGGGGCGCAATCACAGCAGAGCAGCTCAAGCGCGGGCTGGCGAATCGCGACGCACTCGCCTCGCTGCTCGTCCGCCACCTGGAGTTCGCGTGCCGCCCGAGCCCGCTGATGCTGTCCTATCTGCGGTATGCGCTTGGATCGTCCATCGTGTCGCCGCTCCAGCTCGTTTTCATGATCTCGGACTCGCCGTTGAGCGACAATCGCAGTCTGTTTCATGCGCTCAGCGAGGTTGCTGTCGAATCGCTGCTCCAGCTGCGGTCGGATGTCATCACGACAACGGCCTCTCAGAGCCAGAAAAGCATGCTTGCAGCGTACACGTCGTTGTCGGCTGTGTTGTCAAGCAATGGCGCTGGCTTACCAGCAGCTTCAACTGGCGACAATCCAACGCAGTTTGCCAAGGCCACACTCCGGTTGCTCTCCTGGCTCGTTGAAGCGCTCCAGGCCTATCTCTTTCGACTCGTCGGCGAGTCGGACCAGCGAAAGCAGCACATTCTGTCGGCCGAAGAAAAGCGTGAATTGCAAGCCAGTCTTCAGCGGGCAATCGAGCAGTGTCTGCGGATTTTGCGAGATCCGGTTGCAAGCGGTTTGCTGCTGTGCGCTCGTCTAGAGTATTGTGGTGAGTGTAAACACAAGTATGCGGCGTGTGCTTTGTGCTTTTTCGGATGTATTTGCTCAACTCGCGTTCGACATCTCTTTTCAGACTCTTGGAACCAACTGTGCTCCGTCCTGCGTGCGATTCAAGACCAGTGCAGGAATGACAAGGCCTCAATGCTAGGAGACCACAGTGCTTCTGTTTGGCAGTCGTTCTGGCCGAGCCTCGACCTGGTCATGCACCCAACGTGGTACCAACTCAAGCAACCTCCATTGCTTGAAACGCTATTGAACGTCTCGCGCCAGCGGCTGATCGAAAGCCTGTCCACTTCATCAAGTGCGTCTGGCGACAACAAGCAAAAGTCAGGCGGCCCTGTCCCTGCATCCGATGACATGATGACCTCGATTGAAATGCCATTCTCGACTTATATGGCCACCTCGTTGCTGGAGGAAGGCTCGCTCTCGGCCCCTCGCCTGCCCAACCAGAACATTTGCTCGTTAGTTTATCGTCTCCATGGCTCTGCACTGTTGCACGCCTCGTACCAAGAAATTGCGATCGAATGGCATGGCGTTCTGGCCTCCCTGGGCTGGCCTGCAGATACCTTTTACTTTGAAGCACTTCGCACTGGTCTTGCCTTGTTTTCGAACGCCTCCAGCTCCTCCAGTCACACATCCCACACAAGATATTCGCAGAAACTTGTTGCCTTTGTTCAGGTACACTACAATTGCAAGGGAAAGCGCGTCGTCGTGTCGCCACACTTCCTTTTATTTGTCATCGTTGCTTGATCATAGATTCCGCGAGTGATTGCCGCTATCGAACAGGACTGGGTGGATATTCCGTCCGAGCTATTCTCCCTGGACCCTGTAAATCTATCTCTCGAAAGCTGCGCTCTTTCATGCGGCGAGCCCGTGCATTAACGTGGGTGGTTTGGCTATATTTCAACTAGAAACAGCCATCTCGAGGCTACCAGAATCCCTTGATGTCTGCATTCACACAACTAGCTACCGTTTACAGTTTTGACGATTGGTTTCAGTCAAATCTGGGGTATGTCAACAGTGGTACCGACTGTCGAATCGTTTTGATCGCGCACTCACTCTCTGGTTTTTGTGGGATGACAGTTTTAGTGCTCTTGAAACCTTGAGTCACACATTGTGCGGCCTTGGCCTGCTTGATCCACAAGAAGTCTCGTCCAAATTCCCGACTCTCGCGCACCCGCCACAATCTGAAAGCGCTGAAGTGTTTCTTTCTCAAATTCGCGATGGTCAGAACGGCAGTGCCTTGTCCTGGCCGAGCACGCAGGAGGTATTTCCAAAGATGCGTTGTGCGAGTCGTTTCTTTTGATTTTTGTCTTTGACATCTTTTTTTTTTGTTGCTGTTCTGGATCCTGTAGGAGATTGATCACTTGTTTGCTGCGATTCTTTCGGCCACCGAAGAGGCCCCTGAATTCGCAACAGCTATCTTGAGGACGCTCTGTCAACAAGCTCGATTTTGGCCAATTGCGGTCACTGAGCTGCTCGCCGACCTTGTTTTGAGGGTACGTTCTCTCGTTCCAGTATGAACGCAATTCCACGCGACGATTCCTCATTTTTGTCCGTTCTAGGTGACGCTCTCGTTGCAAGAGCACAATCCTAAATTGCTGGAAGCATCTCTGCCCGCATTTTCCTCCGTTGATCTTTCCACCGCATTGATTGCCGCTGGGCGTTTCTCCGAGCTTGTTTCATCCATAGTGCGGCTGAACGACTCTCTGGCGCTTCAGAACAGTATGTAGCTTCGAACACACAAAATGTCAGTGTGCAACGTTGTTTTCTCACTCTCAATTCGCAGACTTTGAGTGGCTACCCATGTTTGATGTTTCTCTCTGTTTGCTCGCCAACTGGGAGCTGCGGTACCTTGTTACAGTAAGAAAACCAGCTTCGTACTCAATAATATTCATCCGTTGGAATGCATTCACCTCAATGAGCTTTTTTTCACACAGACATGTCCAAATCTACAAGATCAGCCCTCATTTTTCGCGCAGTGGTCGAGACACTGGTGGGATCGAATCTCTCCTCCCGAAGTGGAAGACTTGGTGCTGGAACGATGCTTGGAGGCCGTCTTTATTGAGCACCGCTCTGACGCGCTCAGCCAAGCTCTCGAGTAAGCATAAATGTTTCAAACAATGTCACGTTTCAACAAACCCACTCACACAATGCCTTCAGATCCTCCACTTTCGCCGAGGTGACGCTCAACCTTGCGCCTCGCTTGCTTCGAGAAGCCACAGCAGCCGTGGCGGCTGGCGCCTTGTCATTCGAACAGCTACGCAAGGGGTTGGTGGTATTGATGAGCGCTATTCCAAGCTGCTTGCTTGGACCGAGCTTGGTGTTGATGCAAGACGCGCGCGATTCGATTGGAGGCGAGGCCAAGACCCGTTGGCGGTACGCGTGCAATCTCGCTTGAACTCAAACCCTGCTGCGTTTCAAAATGTTTGTTCTCATCTTTTCCTTGCACACAGAACCTCCCACTTTGAGGACACGTCGCTCTCGGTCGCAGTTTTGCTCGAAGTGATGCTCATCGTGTTTGTAGGACCAGAAGTTCACCATTCGGAGCACATTCACGACGACTTTGACATGGCCGGCATGGTCCATGCCGATGCTACAACTCTCAATCCCACATTGGTGCCGCTACGTCCACATTTTGCAACGCTAGCGCTGCCTTTGTCGTACGAGTTCTGCAAGTGCCGAGCCGTGCTGCGCTCGACGCGTTCCTTTGAGCCGTTGTGGCGACCGGTCGTTTCTGTTTGCGAAGGTATGTGCATCGTTTCGTTTTCACTGTTGCTGGCTGATTCACGTGCTCACAGAGTGTCCTTTTTTTCTGTCGCTCGCTAGTACTACCCATCGTGCTGCCGCAGCACAAGTCCTCTATGACAACCACCGCTGACGAAGTGCTCAGACAAATGCGCGCTTCGATTGCGAGCTGTGATGCAGTGTCTCGACTTTTCATCGACACTTTGCGACAGCACCACCGATTAGTTGGTGCTCGAAACTTTCTCTCCGCCTTGTTAAAGGTATGTCGGGTCTGTGTTGGCTGGCCGGATTGTGTACTCACATTGAGATCGGTTTTTTTTCCATTTCACAGGAGGCTTTTGCTGTTCGGGAAATTGCGTATGTCGCTCCATCCGGTAGGTTGATCTTTGCGAGAAATTATGCGTGCAATCACACAACTAGTGACTGAATGATGTCTGCTGCCCCAATCTCGTCCTCTCCCCCGCAGTGGACGTATTTGTCTCGAGCTGCCTTGCGGTGGATGACATTCAGCAAATCGCGCAAGTCTTCTTCGGCCAGATTGTTGTCGAATTCATTTCAGCAATACCCACCCGCTCGGCGGCTCGCGCACTGGCCGAGATTTGCTTCCGATTGGCGGCGATGGGTCTCCGCTTGACCTCGCGGACGCCACGAGCGCAGCTGTCGGACGAGTTGCTCGCTCTGCTTCGAGCACCGCTTTCGATTCCCGTAGAGTCCAGACGCGAGGCGCTGCAAGCGCTTTCCGCGCAGCAATTCACGGCGCATTATACCACCGCGACAAGTCCCGAAAACCCCGTGCTGCTCAAAGCCCTCAGTTCGTTCACTGCCGTCGTGTTTGATTGTCTCTCGGGCCCGTTGGCATTCCCGCAGCTGTTTGCTCTGTGCTATCTTCGCCGTGCTTGCCAGCTCCAAGGGCTGCTTTCTGCATGTGTCACACCGACGGCCCGCATCGCGAATGCGCTTCGGAGACATGGCGAGACGCAGCGCATTGTTGCTCTGTTTGATCTTTCCACGCAAACGGGCCGCCACGAGTGCATGCGTCTTCTCACCTTGCCTCCACCGCCCAATACTTGAATACAAATACAAGTGTTGTTGGACTCCATGGATGAAATGGTCATCAAAACCGAATTATATGACATACATTGTTGAACTTGCAGCAAAAAACACCAATCACATTGACACTCAAGTTTTTTTTTTTTTTTTTTTTGGTTACTGGCCGTTGCCTCCAATCAGGCCATTGGCCGTGTTGAACAGGTTGATTGGCGAGTTGCCGTCCGTAAAGACAGTCGACTTGAGGTTGAGGGCCTGCAGCAGGCGGACCTTCTGGCTGTGCTCGGCGTTGGCCATGGCCAGAATCGTGCCGTGGCCGAGGGCGCCGACGGTGCGCGAGACCTTTGCCTTGTTGATCTCACTCAGTGCGCGCATCTTGGCCAATTCGAGCTTGGTCTGTTCTCGGATAAAGTGGAGCTCTGCGTTGCGCGCCTGCGTCAGGTTGAGCAGCTCAGTGTCGGTTTCGAGACGGGCAGCTTCCGCTCGCAGCTCGGCGAGCACGATAGCAGACTGACCCTCGATGGCCAGGCGCTCTGCTTGGGCCTGTCAGGTCGGGGCAAACGAAAAAAAAAGTGAAACAAAAAAAACAAGTGAGGGACGCTGAACAGAGAAGGCAAACACAACAAAAAAACCTTCACTTCTACTCACCTCAGCCTCGGCCTTCGCTTGACCTGTCGACTCGATTGCGCTGTTGAAGGCGCGAATCTCAAAGAGCTTGCACTGGGTCTTCTCGGCCTCAATCTGGTTGCGAATCTTCTGGGTCTCGAGGTGGCCGCGAGCCTGCTGCTCCTCGTTCTCGGCGTCATGGCGAGAAGACGCCTCGATGGAGCGCGTGGCAATCTCGATGGCCATTTGGACGGACTTTTGGAGCGAGTCGCGCATCTGCTGATCGGAAGGCTCAATGCTCTGGACATCAATGTTGGTCACCACCAGGCCATTGGCCTCAAAGCGCAGCTCAGTGTTCTGCTCGCCGTTGGCACCGACGCCAAACACTGCCTCTTGGATGATGCGCGCCGAGAAGCGGTGAAACTCGTCGAACGTCGTGTGGGCCACTCGCTCGCGGATGCGGCTGCCAATGTTCTTGCAGGCAAAACCGATAAAGTCGGGCACGCAAAAGATCTTGGCCTTGGATTCCTCGGTGGAGCGATTAATGTCAAAGTAGTTGTTGAAGGCGATCGTCAGGATGAGACGCGCGTGGTCGGCCGTCTCGACCGTGATAATGTCCGTGGTGAAATCCGGGCCGAGCATCAGCGCCACGCTGCGCAATGCGCCAGCGCGCTTGGGCTTGCCTGCGCTCAACCGCAGAACGGTAAAGTTTTCGTGCGGGCCAAGCAGCACAAGGTCGGGCCCGTACAAGATGCGGGCAGTGCGCAGCTGGTAGTCGTGCAGCTGGACGGCCGTGTTGTGCGGGATGCGGAAGGTCACGACGCGCGTCTTGTCGCGCGGCTTGTCGGAGGCCGCATTGCCGTCAAAGTAGGCAATCTTGCGCACATCCTCGTCGCCAATGCCGCCGCCTGCCTTGAGGAGCTGCTCGACCTCGGAGGTCAAATCCTTCTCCCACAGCTGCTCTGATGCGCGGAGCAGGTAGGACGTTGGGCCCATCACTGCGCGCACCGTGCCCGTCTGCAGGTCTTGAATGTAGATGCCCTCGTTCATGTCCAGCGGAATGGCCTTGCGACGAGCGACAACAGACTCCTCGCGCGAAGGGATGAACTCGACGGGGCCGCGCACCATCCACTGTTCGCCAGGCGCGCGCTGGAGCGCAACGCCGTTGCGAGTGTCTGCAAAGCTCTCAATGGCAGAGACGACTACCGCCTCGTCGTCGGCCAGCACGTAGGCGTTCGTGACGCCCTTGCCGTCGAGCTCTTCGCCAGGGTGGAGGAAGAAGGACAAAACGCCCTTGCGCACGTCGCGACGGCCCCACTGGGGTCGGCCAGTCTTGGGGTCGTGCGGGTTGAGCACAACGCAATAGTTGAGCGGGCCCAGGACAATCTTGTCGACCTGCTTGATGATGCGCTCCGTCACGTCGGGAATGTACGACTCGGTGTCGGCCAAGGTGAGCAGCCACTCGTCGCCAGCCAGGCGCTGGATGCCCTTAAAGTCGGTGAAGGTCTCGACCGCTTGGAGGTGCAGCCCAATCTTGGCGGTGAGCGTGGTGGCGGCAATTTCCTGGACAAAGGCCTCGTCCGCGGTGAGCACGTACGCGCCAGGCGTGCGGACGAGCCACTCCTCGCCCGTGACGCGCGCCTTGCCGGAGAAGCCGTCGAGGCAGTCGCGCTTGGCACGCAGGCGGATGGCGTGGCCTTCCTTGATCAGGGTGGGCTGGATCGTGGCTGTGACTTGCACGTCCGCGTGCGGAATGTACGTGCGCGGGCCACGCAGGTGCCACTCGTCGCCAGCCTGGCGGTGAATCACCTTGCCGGGGACGGACTCTGTGTCGTCGAAATCGGCAATCGCCTGCAGCGCGATGGCAGAGTTGACGGGGACGACAGGAAGCAGCTTGATGGCCTTCAAGCCCTCAAACATGTCTTCGCCGGGGAAGAGGGGGAAGGGGCGGCCGTGCAGGCGGATGGAGCGCGCGCCAATGCGTTGCTTCATGGGGGCGGTGCGCGAGGTGGCGACGCTGCCGACGAGGATGGGCGACTCGTCACGGGAGACAGGAGGTGCAGTAGCGGAAGGACCAGGAGGAGCAGTGGCAGGAGCAGCGGCGGCGGGTTTCTGAGCAGCACCAAATCCGCCCTTTGTAAAGACGACCGTGGAATAGTCGACGGGATCACGGATGATGCAGTAGTGTCGTGGGGGAATGATGATGAGCGGCATCGGACCCAGCACCAATTCCTCGTGCGTCTGCAGGACGAGCGTGGTCGGACCAGTGACCAGGCCGGTGATGTTTGTGTTCTGTCAAAAACAAAACAAGCAGAAACAAATGTTGAGAAAGGGTGATTTTTTTTTTCTTTCAAGAATTTTTGGGTTGTCATTCAAGTGTCGCAATCTTTCATTCTACGAAAAAAAAAATTGAGACGCGAATTTTCAGTTTCGCAGAAATGCTGAATAATCACAACAACAAAAAACAAACAGCTTGAAACGATTGAAAGATTTGTTTGATTTTTTTTTTTTTTTTGGTTTTTTTTTTTTTTTTTTTTTTTTTGTGTGTGTGTTTTTTGCTGACTTCACCATTCAAAGAATGACGAATTTTTTGTTGTACTTTTGTACTTTGTCGATTGTTTCGCATCGAGGGTCAAAGTCAACGAATGGATTTCACACACACACACACACACAGAATGGAGTAACATTGGTGTGCGTCTCGCTCATGGAAAGGCGCAAATGATGGAAGGAGGGTGTTGTTGTCGATCTGACGAAACAAAAAACCCAACTTTGGGCAGAGTTCGATCTGCTCGCGCTGTTTTTGGGAGCACAAGTCGCTCATAGCGCTGCGCAGCCAGGTGTGCAGCAGTCACACTGAAGAGGGTTACAAGCCCACTATCCGACCAGCAAGCAGCAGCAGCAGCAGCAGCAGCAGCGGTGGCGGCGGCTGAAAGAAGACGGACAACGCGCGCAACGGAACGTCGCTTTTTTTTTTTTTTTTTTTTTTTTTTTTTTGGAAATGCGTTTGCATGGTAATCCATCCATTGAACGGTGAACATCGAGTCGCCGTACCACATCGAGGACGTGTGCAAAGTGCACGGGCGGAATGTGCACAATCGAGGTGCCTTCTTCGGTCTTGCGGATGGAGCCAGCGGGCGAGCCAGGCATCGGTGGAGGACGAGGAACGCTCATTTGTCGAGTCGAATTGAAACTGAAAAAAAAAAAAAAAAATGGAAAAATAAAAAGAAAAAAAAAAAAAAAAAAAACGAATTCCAAAAGTGTTGGCAGATTTGATTGCACTCTGAGTGTGTGTAGAGGTGCATGGTGCGTAATCAACTGTACTACGAATTAAGATCGCTTGTTGTTTCATGATGGAAAGGTTGACACTCAAAAGCACATTTACTACAACAAGCCATGCAAGTTTAAAAAACAAACAACCAGAAACAAAAACCACCAAACTACCCGAATTCAAACACAACGGCTACCTTGAAGTGAGCAAAAGCCATCATCAGAAGAAAACACAGCAACAGACCACCAGAGAAAGGGAAGAGAGCGTTCTCTGGTTAGTTCGGCGGTTGATTCTCGCTCAAGCTGTTCCAAGTGAGAAAGCCAGGCCATGCCATCAAACAACAGTAAGTACCACGTGCATACACGACAGTATCAGCATCAGAGAAAGGGGACCCATACTTGAGCGAGACAAGTGCAGAACTCTGGCTGCGTGCTGCTGCCATCACTCGCTGTCCTGCTTCGCTCATTTCGTTATACCACAAACTGTTTACATGCGAGTGAGCAAAAGCACTGCAGAGCAGCACGTACACACATTCATTGTTGATCTCAATCTGGTTCTATACCTGAGCCCCTTGAGCGTGGTATTCCGCAGGAGCGCTTCTGCCAACCTTTCAGCGCCAGCATCGCCAATATGATTCTTTCCGAGACTGTGTACAATGCAGTGAGTAACATGCAGCTTGTTCAATTACCAGTGCGACACGAAGCAGCAGTAAAGTGCGAGGAACATACTCGAGGGTTGTCAGTGTTGTGTTCTGCGAAATCACTGCCGCCATCGCATTTGCACCACTATCGCCGATAGAATTGCGGGACAGGCTGCTCTCAAAAGGTAAGTACCGCTATCACTGTTCATCAACCGACATGCTCAGCATGAAGGGTAGCAAGCGAACGAAAACCTACTCGAACGAAGTCAATCCCACGTTGTGCTTCAGTTCCTCCGCCAGCGCCTGCGCTCCTGCGCTACCAATCAAACAGGAGCTCAAGCTGTTCAAAGTGTGAGTATCATCAACGCAGTGCATCAAAAGGGCAAGGGCAGAAAAGGTCCTTTCGTACTTTAACGTCGTCAGTGTCGTGTTCACCCTGAGTGCCTTGGAAATCGCCTCCGCTCCTGCATCTCCGAGCTGAGTGGAACTCAGACTAGAATCATGTGGTGAATGAAAACCCCCGACATGGTCGAACAGCCATTAGATGACAACGCCGAGAACGACAATATGGCACGAAAGCGATAGAAAGACAACATACTTGAGTATAGCGAGCTTGGTGTTCTGCGTCAGCGCTTCTGCAATCGCTTGGGCTCCAATCGCTCCAACCTGACTGGAACGCAGACTGTTGTCACACGGTAAAACTCAATCCGATCGACCACCGACACCACCCCGCCACCCCACCCCTCCTCCCTCAGAACAAAGAACATCAGCGCGAAAGAAACAAACTTAAGCTCGGTCATCCAAGAGTTCTGCTTGAGTGATGTTGCAAGCACTTGCGCTCCAAAGTCGTTCATGCCAAAGCGAATCCTAAACAGTGTCGTGAACAACAATCAATGTGAGTTGCAATGAAAGTCACAACACCAACCGAGCAGGAGAACCTACTCAAGCTTGCTTGGCTTGGTCAAACTCAGAACCTCTTGAATCACTTGCACTCCAGCGGAGTCAACAATGTTCTCACGCAAGCTGTCCGCATAAACTGAGTCACTCCATCGAAAGAAGCATCACATGCGTCGTCGTCATAGAAGGGGGAACAACAGGAGAAACATACTAAAGCCTGGAAACCCGCGTCACGGCATGATTAATGGCGTCCAATCCGAGATTACGCACCTGCGACAGCAGACTGTGACCACACGGTGACAAGTTGCGTGAGCGACCACCTTTGGCCACTTCAGAGTTAATGTCAACTGCAGGACAACATACCGCTCTGTGGTCAATGAGTTTGAATATTCCTCAAAGTCAAGGTCGCGATTCTTCGTCACACGTAATCTGTAACCATGCCGAGAGCCGCGTCAGAAAGAATCATTTTATGCGCACGAGTGAGAAATTGGTCAATACGAGGGAGTGGAACCTACTCGAGCGTGGTCAGCGTAGTGTTGTGTTTGAGTGCGGCTGCGATTGTTTGCACTGCACAGGCAACAAAGCTAGCCGACAGCCTGTGATGTCATCACGGTGAAGAACACGAACAATCAAACCAGAATCAGTAATCAGCAGTCGCTATCACGTTCAGAGCAGCAAACAACACAATGAATGTTGACCTTACTTGAGGGAGGCGAGCTTGGAGTTTTGCTTCAGCGATTTGGCAATCGCGTGAGCTCCAGCTTTGCCAAGCACGTCGTTCCCTAGTCTAATCCCACCAAAAGTGTCAGTTTCAGTGAATCAAGCATCGAGACAAAGCGGCATGAAAGTCGGTACATACTTGAGCGAGGTTAGAGTCGTGTTCTGAACAAGCGCGGGTGCAATTGCCTGCGTCTCAGCATCACCAATGGAATTGCCATCCAGCCTGCTCCCACATAACAAGCAAAGTGATTCCAGTGAGGCATGACACCAATCACCGCGGAAGATTGAACATACTCGAGCGTGGTCAGCGCGGTGTTCACTTTGAGCGCCTCGGCAATAGCTTTCACCCCAGGAGCGCCAATGTGATTTTCATTCAGACTGCAACCACGTGTTATGTAAGAATACCACCAAGTAGGACGTCCGCCCTCAGGTGTGACATTGAGCAACGAGCAAGGCACGTACCGGAGCGTGGTCAGAGTCTTGTTCTGCTTCAGAGCCTCGGAAATGATCTGCGCTCCAACAGCGCCAATAACATTGCGAGATACACTGAATGCGCAAAGCCGTAAGGAATAGAACAATAAACGAGTGTTTGGGAGTGACAGAAAGGTGTTCGAAACCCTTACTCGAGTGTCGTCAGCGCCGTGTTCTGCTTGAGAGCTTCGGCAATCTCGTGCACTTTAAAACGAAGTTGACTGCAACTCAGACTGTTGGCTGACCGTGAGTAATGCAGCAACAACCAGCTCCACAGCAACAGGAGCATAGAACGTACTCGAGAGTGGTCAAACTGGTGTTCGACTTCAGCATTTCGGCAATGCTGTTGGCACCAACATCGGGAATCGGATTCATTGAAAGACTGTTTTCAAGTGGTAAGAAAATGAATCACCAGAATATAGCTTCGCTCTCTACAACAGCATTCCCAAACATACTTGAGCGTGGTCAGCGTGTTGTTCTGCGTGAGTGCTCCACTGATCGCTTGGAGTCCAGCAGTGCCAATCCTGCAATGCTCGAGACTTGACACGTGACAAGCAATACAAGCAAGGTTAATATTTGGCCTTTGCAGACAGAAATGGACCAATGTGCGGCAGAAAAACTTACTGCAGACACGTAAGCGTCTTGTTCTGCCGAAGAGCATCCGCAATGGCCTGCGCACCGGCATCACCAAATCGACTGTGATCCAGACTGTTCAAGCAGTGAGAATTTCAAAGCACCCCGACAATCAAGAGTGATAGCGTCGAACCGGCATGACAGATTGCAAACATACATGAGTGTGGTCAGTGTGGTGTTGCTTTTGAGTGCTGCTGCAATCGCCTGCGCGTCGACTAATTCCAGGAAGTTACGCGCAAGCCTACTCCAAAACGGTGAGTCATACCATCGAATACCACAATAAAGCACAACATTCATCAATATGAACAGGGAAACTCGTACGAGAGTGTCGTGAGAGAAGTATTTTTCGCGAGCGCCTCTGCAATTGCTTGGAATCCAACGCTGTTCAATCTATTGTCGCCCAGACTATAATCAACGTGTGAGCATGCGGTATTAGGCAGCCGTGATTGCCTCGATTTTCGTTCTCTTCCTCTTTCTGCTTTTGGTTTGGGGTAGGGGGATAAAGATAGGAGCTGTCACGTACTCAAGCTCAGTCAGCGTCGTGTTCACTTAGAGCATCCGTGGTAGCGCCGCCTGCGTGCCACAACCGAGAGTGATATTGTTGTTCAAACTGCGAGCATTGCAGTGAGCGACATGACGATCGAAATAGCTACAGACATGGATTCAATCAAAACGAGAGGCAAAGAACATACTTGAGGGAGGTCAACGTAGTGTTCTTCTCGAGTGCGTGAACAATCGCTTCAACTCCAGCATCTCCAATCGAACACCAATAAAGCCTGTGGCAATTGATGTCAGCGATGGCATAACAACGCAGCAGTGGAACCCAGAGTCACAACATCCATCCGGCAGAACGTACGAAAGCGTAGTCAACGTCTTGTTGCACACCAGAGCATCAGCGATCGCAAGTCCGCCAGCTTCGCCAATCTCGTTTTTATCCAAACTATTACAATGAAGTGAGCAACACATACCACTGCGCTTCTCGCATGACCTCAAGCAATGATTCAGCATGAGAATGGCACTGACACAAGCGTAGTCAATGCCGAGTTGCTCTTGAGTGCCTCTCCGATCGCTTGCGCTCCAGCGCTGCCAATATCGTTGCCGAGCAAGCTGGAGACCATGACATGAGAATCAATATTCGATTCAACTTATCAACGAACAAGCAACTAGCAGATGAGGAAGAGAGTGGTGGAATCCTTACCGGAGTGCAGTCAAAGTGGTGTTTGATTTCAGCGCTTTTCCAATCGCTCGAGCTCCAAAGGCTCCAATCTGAGGACCAAACACCCTGACCCAACAGACAGACATGGTTAGACTGATGTTCGCAATCAACACGGTAGTGGTCAGCATGAGAGGGAAGAAGCATACACGAGCGTGGACAGTGTCGAGTTTTGCTTCAGGACGGCGGCAATCGCGTTTGTTTCTGCCGGGCCGAATTTGCCCGAGTCCACACTGTTACCACACAATGAGCGACGCCATCGAAACAAACCGGAGCATTTGCAATGGTAAACTCGAATGCAATCAAAATGTGAAATTGGTGCGTACTGGAGCGTGGTCAACGTGGCGTTCTGCGTCAGTGCCTTTGCCATTGATCGCGCTCCATTGGCATCGAGGTAACCTCTGTCGTCACATGGTGAGCCAATCACCTCGCACAAAGCAACACGGGCAAATTGCAAAAAACAACTTACGAGAGTTCAGTCAGTGTGGTGTTTTGCGTCAGTGCATCGGCAATCACTGCGTCAGTGTAATTTCGATTCCTGTTATCATAGAGCAAGGTAGTGAGCGAGTGAGCTTTGTACAGCTGCCATGACCATGGCATCGGCAAATGGATCCAGCTTCGCATACCGGAGTGTTGTCAGCGTTTTGTTTTGCGCTAACGCGGCCGCAATCGGCTGCATTTTTGCATCGTCAACCACAAGGTAACCCAAGCTGAAACCATACGGTGAGTCAAGGCATCAAACAAACATGGAGTTAGCAGAAGCCGACAAGTACATACTCGAGTGTAGTCAGTGTGGTGTTTTGCAGGAGTGCTTCACCAATCGCTTCCTCCCTGCTGAGCTTCTTGCTGTCCTGGTTGTCGTCGCCGTCGCCAGCAGTGTCGTCGTCGCAGTCCTCGTAGTCGCCGTCGTCAGCATCGTCAGCATCCGTTTGACGAGCCTTCTTCTTGTTCTTCTTGGATGTTGAGGTGTTCTCCCCGGCCATTTCAGCAGCCCGACGCTTGCTCCGGATGGTCGTGGGGGCGCCACTACTGGAAGTTGAACTCGTCTTGCCAGTACGCGCAATTGCAACCTGAATGGGTTTGCGAGCACGAAGACTGTAGCTCACAGTCTGAGATCCTTGGTTGGTTGGCGCAGTGGCCTTTTTCTGAGCGGTCTGGCGTTATACGAAAAATCAAACAGTAGGAATCACAAACGAAGCAAACAAGATGTCAGTGACGAGTTAGTGGACTGGCATTACGTCTCACAACTCTTGGGCAGGAGCCGCACCTTGCTGAGCGGCGCTGAGATTGAAGAGGCAGGGACAGGTGCGGCTGCCTTGCTGGTCCTGCCTCGGGGAGCAGCAATAGTAGTAGTAACCACTTGTACTGCTGATGTAGCAGCAGTGGCAGCAGTGACAGCAGTGGCAGCAGCACGGGCTGCAGCTCGCTTGGGTTTGGGTGGATCGGCCTCCATTGGCGCGACCACACGATCGTCTTCCACTGCGTCGGTGCTACTGATGCTGCCACCAGTCTTTGGCTTGGTTGCTCTTGTAGTGCGCACAGGAGTAGGAGTGGGAGCGGGAGCAGCCGAGGGTACGGCCTTCTTAACCATTTAGAAAAGACAAAAAACAAACAAGTTACCCTTCAAAACTGACTGAACATCAGGACAAATCGATTTAATGTGAATGAAATGGGGGCCTAACGTTTCGATCTCACGCCTGTGTCCTCTGAAGACACTGGCTACCTTTTTTTTTTTTTTTTTTTGTTTTTCAACCCCCTGTCATTCAACGTGTCCCGATTTTTTTCTATGGATTTCAATCCTACTCGCCGCCACTTTCAGGGTGCATGTAGTTATATTCGTAGGTTAGGCGAAACGAGAGAAAATAGCATGAAGTCGAGATGCCATCGCAGGGGACTCGGTTGAAAATGGGCGGCGGGGTTGAGGATTGCCGATCTGAGCGTGTGTCAGCCTCCCAGACCCGCCACTCTAATTTCGTCCAACCCACAATATTATATATACTCATGGGCAAAAAATGGGCGGACCCTTCCCGTTTGGTCATAGGGCTTACAGGGCGACATTTGACTTGACGCGACTTTTGACCTCCAAGCGCGAGACTCATCGTCACAACCACCGCAAAAGGCTCAATACTCAAAACACAGATACTTGTCGCATATAATTAGGGCTTGAAGCACGGTTTCCGACGCTCTTGGAGCTGGTGGTGCATCGTCAAAGGTTGGCGTGTTGGCTAGCAACATGTCTTTCGTGGTGTCTAGGTTGCCTGATCCTTCCATTGTCAGCCCGGCTGATCATCTGTTCGAGTTCCTCTGTGAGCTCTTGAGCACTCTCCCAGCATGCCTTCACTGGTGTGCGTTATGACGACATTCAACTGTCTCATATCCGACGATAAAAAAACAAAAAAAAAAAAAAAAAAAGAGTTGAAATGTTCCAAATTGCTTTGCAAGATTCGACCAAGTCGAGGACTTTGCGCTGAGAAAACTGCGCCATATGTCTGCAATTCGAAGAGTATCGTGATGATAAATGGGCTGATATCAAACACACCGTAATAATCATGCGAGATCTCATGCAAGCAGAGTAATCAGCAAATGCCTGGATTTGAAAACTTTGTCCAAAAACCCAAAGTTCGGTTTCAGAACAAATCCATGCGCACCACCTCGTACAGCGGATACTGCGCAAACGAGCGGTACTGGGACATCTGCATTAAGTGCATTTGAGTGAGTCGCCTTTGCTGTCTCCAAATCACGCCAATCCTGCTCGCTCACCTTGCACACCACGCGATGTCTCTGGAAAATGTGACGCCTGCGAAGCGCAGACCGCTCCTCGTAGCTCATAAAGTAGAGTTCCGATGCCTGTAAGAGTAAAGATTGATAAGAAACGATGGCAATGAGCCGTTGCGAGCCTTTTCCAACAACTCAAATCCCCCAACTCAAAATTTGACTCACATCCACGCCGATGAGCGACATGGCCGGATCACCCTGCAGCACAATCTTGAGGAGCGTGCCCGTCGCATCCGTGACTGCGATCGGGAGTTGAATCTGCCAATTGGCAGGGTTGTCGGCGGCATTTTCGCCAAGATTCGCGCATTCGGGTCGGTTGCATGCGTGCTCAACCGGCAGCTGTTGATTGCACCCAGGACTAGTGGAGCACTCACCATAAAAGAATGAGTAAGCTAGCTTGTTGCCGATGCACTGTGAGTTTCTAGGCACTTACCAGCGGGCAATCACGACTTGCGTGTAGAAGTCATCCAAAGGAAGATCGGTGATGAACACGTCAAAGACAAACACGGGCGGGCGAAGCGCGTACACCCCCGCGACGTCCACGTTGACGACTGTGCAATTGCGGGGATGAGAAGAAAATCTTTCAAAATCGCGCCTTGCATCAATTTCCACACTTGCCTTGGGATTCCACAATCTCATCGTTGCGAATCGGCTTGAACGCGGCCCTGCTCATGCCACCGCCCATGCGGGATGCTGTAGTGAACGCATCGGCGGGTAGCTGTTGAGCATAGTCGTACAGCTCTTGCGCCTCGCGCAGGTCGGGATACTCGGTGACGAGGGAACAGTTGTCAAAGGAGAGCTCGGTCGTGTAAACCATGCGCTCATGCTCCTGCGTCGGGTCATTTCTCGCTGCGCTCGGGACAAACGAGCTGGTCCGAACGCGAACGTCGCTCAAAAACAGAATCGTGTCTCGAACGGTCCAGTTGGACGCCATCGCAATGCAGCTTCCCCAGAGTGTCATCCTGATTTCACCGCCCGAGTCATCCGTCAGGTACACCTCAAGCTTGTCGGTGGCGCGACCGTTCGAGGTGGTGGTGGATGTCACGGCTCCGATCTGTCACAGTGTGAAGGATGAGCGCCTTCAAAAATCAAGCACGCCTCCATCGTGTCGTTGTCTTACGCGCGACACAATGCCCAGCACGTTAATGTACTGCTGCGACAGCTCTTGGGGAGAAGCCAGGATGTCTTGAATCTTGACAAACCCGCTTTCGTACAGCATGGGAATGCGCACGAATCGCTGGCGGTCGGGCAGATCACCCATGTACAGCTGAACATCTGAGCTCGAGTTCAGCTGCAGCGCATAGGCGCTGTGGTATTGACGGAATGGAGGCAGTGTTATTGTGAATAGAGTTGCCTCAAAAACGCGTTGCAAGCAAACAAAAAATGTAAATCCATTCGTTACCTGCTGGTGCGCGGCATCCAGCGCTGCTCCTGCGTGGGGTTCTTGGGCACCACCTGAGGATGGATGACTTCCACGACATCGCCAGTCTATCCAAGTCAATGGTACAGATCGCAGTTGGGATCAGAGAGCGCGTTTTACGGATGGATTGTCGGTTTGGTGTTTTTGGCGCCAAAACGAATCACCAGATGAACGCCAATTGCTAGATGGACTCACGTTAAACCGACTGTGCGCACTGCCGATCAGATTTGGGTCGCCCCACATGGTGCAGTTGATGCTGTCACTCTCAGAGTCGCGTAGCGTGAAGGTGAAGCGCGATCTCGACGTGCCAGGATCTGCGCGGGAAATCAGCAGTGAAACAAACTCAGTTCGATTCAACTTTGGTTCCTTTCTCCCTCTGCTCTTTGCTGTGAAACATTGTGGCGGTCTTACTTTTCCTGTCCTCAAAGGTCCCGATGGACAGCTTGGCAACGACCAGGCCGACGACCGTCTGTGATCGAGGACAAGCGAGAATGATCGAGGATGAGTTTTGAGCGCGAAACGCCAAGTTTTGTTCCCTTTCGGCTTGATCCCTGAGGGGCATCAGTCATCACGACACTCGTCCCAATGCGCCATACCAACGACTGCATGCCAGCGGAGAGCTGATCGATAGTTGCACGACTCATGATTAAACAGGCAGAGCACGAATGCGCAAAAAGGATGGATCAAAATGGAAACAAGCGAAAAAAAAAGAGACTGCATCTGTTTTGACAAAGTTGTTGTGCTTCTCAGATGATTGTAAAATTTATTCAAGGTCATAAGAGAGGGTGAGAAGGAAGGGAAAGGCGCTATGAAGCTTCGGCACCATCCTCTTGCTCCTGCTCTGCGAATTCTCGCTCCCCCTCTTCTTCTGCTTCCTCGTCGTCGTCCTCGTTGGCATCCAGCTCGAAAACTCGCGCACGTCTGGCACGGGAAAAGATGGATGCGACGCGGCGTGAACCGCTGACGGCCATGAACGTCGCAGCCATTCGGTCTAGTCCACGCGCGCCTTGCACGACCGATAGCATACCCGACATGAGAAGTGTTGGGAACAATGCGCCAGACAGACCCATGAGAGGATATTCTCCACCCGGAGGACACTTTTCGCTGAGAAGCAGGGCAGGACAGCTCGGTAAAGAGGCGGGATCTTGGAGGACATCGGCGAGAACAAGATGACGCTCGGGCACGTTGCCAAGCCTGCGGGTTAACAGCACGGCGAGGGTTGCATCCGAGTAATCTTGGACGCCGAGAATTTGGTGCTCTTCCGCAGTGTCAATATTGCAGCCGAACGCAGCCACGCTAATGCCCAGTGACTCTTTGGTCGGAGCAACCAAAGCGTTCGTGCCCGACGATAGTTGTGCCACGGGGTATTGAAGTACCCACAGCTCGTCGCTATTCTGCGTTAGACTCAAGTAGGCCGGGTGGAACACGACACACTGGTATGGCAACGTGCTTCGGACGCGTTGAGGTTGCCGGTACCGAGGTGCAAACGCAGGGCGCAAGCCAGCCGCTGTCTCGGACTCGGCTACCTCGTATTCCTGTCCTCGCACGACAATGCAATGAGCAATCGTCTCGAGCACCTGCAAGCCCGGGGTCGAGGAAGGCGGATGGTCCACAAATCGGAACAGTTGCACAGGACTGACGAGAGGAACAATCCGGCCGCTCAACTGCAGCTCCACCCAGTCTGCCAGATTGACACGCTCGGTGGCGAGAGCGCGAACCAACTGCGACAACGACGCCTCCGGTTGTCGCACGTCCAATCGAGAAAGTTCAACCGTGTCGTGTTGGCTGGACGAGAGAACGCCACTCGCACTCTGACGGACAACCGTCGTCCAACCATTCAGAGACTTGTCGCCAGCCGATCGAGCCGTCGACGGCAAAGAGTTAAAGCTGACGAACGCAGACAAGTCATCCCGCGCGAATGCCGGGAGAATCGTTGCGTCATCCGATTGGGCCAAGTACTCGGCCACCTTCAGACCAATTTGCGCACTAATGCTCGCGCTGACCTCGACAAGAGGCTTGTCTGTCGCTACAGCAGAGTTGGCGGCCACCGTGTGCAGCCAGGACAGCAACTGCTCCATCTGCTGATCAAACCGATTGACTGCGCAGACCATCTCGTCCACTTTGAGCATCAGGGCTTGCGTCCAGGCAACGCAGTCTTGCACCCGCTCCGGAGCCAGGCCGAGCACGCCAAAACGATCGTGCCAGCGAGCCAACCCGCCGAGGTCTGAGTATTGGGCCAAGGCGAGTTGCAGTGCGGGTTGTAGTGTCCCAGTCAGAAGGGTCGAAACTTGCTCGCAGGCCTGTTTGACGGCAAGGCTGTACTTGCGAATGGTTTGTGCAGAGATGCCGTTCAAGAACGCGCGAAATCCCGGAGGCTCGGCGCCGTGCCAGAGGTGGTCGAGTAGGTCGCGTTGGAAGGCATGCGATGCGGTTAACAGACTCACTTCCGACGCGGAAGAATAGGACTGGATGATGGCTTCGTGGAATCGTGTTGCAGCCGTGACAATGCCGTCCGAGAGCAAATCGCGGATTGTTTGCAATGCTTCCAAAATGTAGCCCTCCATAATGACGCTTTGGGTGTACCTGTGAGCCATGGCCTGGAGCTCTACCGTCCTCGTTGCCAGAAACGACGTGTCAAAGACAGCGAGGTTGGCACTGGGTGGTGGATAGGTCGTGGGTGGTTGGGCATTGTCTGGCGCAGCATCACCATTGTCAGCGGCGTCGTTGCTGTCGATTTTGCTCACAGATACCATAGAAAGCGCAAACAGGCTTTTGGAAAGGGATGCGCGTGCTGGAGGCGAGGCATCGGGCGTTGGAATGGAGCCGATTCGACAAACGCCATACGCAGTCAGCTCTACAAACCCTCCAGCACGGCCAACCACCAGGATTGGGAAGGGCGCGCGGGGCGTCGAGTGCTGCTGCTGTGGTAGCGGAGCGGGGACTGGAGGGAGCGGGAGCAGCAGCCGTTCCAGTGCTGAGGGATTGGCTCCCAAAAATCCCGCCTCAACCTTGTCAATCAACGGCATCGGCGGCGGAAGTAGTTTGCTAGACGAGTTTTCAAAGCTTCCGCAGCCTGTGGACGAGCTTCCGGTCAAACGAAGCGTCGCAGCGACGGTCGCAGACACATTCGCGGAATGGCTGTCGCTGTCCGCCAACGTCCATTCGAGACACGTCACTGCCTCCATTCGCACAAGCTGCTCTGTCGACGAGACTCTGCGTGGGAATTCCGAGAACTGCGATGCATAGCAGCACCGTCCGCCCTCCGTGTCGACCAGCATAATGTGCCCGTCCGCTCGACCCAGCGCAATGACGCGTCCGTCTGGTCGCCAAGCGATCGCAGTGATTCTGGTCGACTCGTCCACGGCGTAGAGCGGCACGACACTTGATGGATCTGCGTCTGCGTGTCTCCTGGCAGCAGCACAAACGGGCGATCGGCCAGGAAGCGCGGGCTCCGAGGAAGGCGAGGAGGATGAGGATGAAGATGAGGACGGAGCTGGCGGTGGTCGCCGCGCAGACACTGGCTGGATGTCAGGCGTCTCGCCAGGAGGATTGACTTGCTCTTGATCAGCAGCAGCAGCAGCATCACCAGCACCAGCATCAGCATCATTGACGGCTGGGTCTTGGACAGCCTCGATCGTCCAGAGCAGCTGCCAGTTGAGGCGGTAGAGACAGACGGCGTTCTCCACCGTCACGATCGCAATCAGATCCATGGTCGGGCACCATGCTGCCAGTCGTGCCCTGGCTGGGAGAGCGCTGTCTGCGCCGCCGCGGTGTCGGAAGTCTGACTTGCTTTGGAGTGTCTGCGCACCAGGCTCCACTTCCTCCACTTCCTCCTGCAGAAGCGTCTGGTCTGCTTCATTGACAATGTTATCATCATCGTCATTGATGACATCGCCGTCGGCAGATTGCTCGTCGCGAATCATTCAGATCAGAGTGAAGACAGCGAAAATTGAAGACTACAGTAGTCTGAGAAAGTCGGCTGGAGTCTCAGATGGATTCTCAATCAATGGCGTGAATCACTACTTTGTTGATACTACCTTGTATCCCTATGGTTCCAAACTGAGTGACCATCCACTTCTTTTAGTCGTTCTATTGGACTTCCATTGAACTTGAAACTTCAATCGATGGCTCGTGTCGCTCGTCGGGTGCTGCTGCTCGCAGTCACTGCACTTGCATGCACATTGCTATTGCAGCCACATCGATCGAGCATTGCATTTGCAGCACAAGCACAGCAGCGACCAGATGGTAACGCGGACTTGAATGATGAGACTTGCCAACGCGACCGAACGGACGAGCTGCGACTTTGTGATCCAGCGTGAATACTAACCTCATCATTGACTCTGTTGAATGTGTACAATGCAAATGTATGTGCGTTTGGATTGGACGTGGCTGCGCTGGGCACCTCGTCGTTGCTCCATGCAGACGCCATCGAGCGCGCACTCGACGCTGCCGCAGAGCCAATCGTGCTGAACGACGCTGATGCTGGTGCTGAGCCAGCAGCACGAGAGAGGATTCCAGATGCCAAGGTGGACGGTCGACCACCGCTTGGTCGCGCGCCAGACATGGACATTGCAGACAACAAGCTCAACCCGGATCACATCGATCCACTCTTCTTTGGCGACGATCAAGTGCAACGATTGCCCGGTGCTGAGGCGCTTCCTCCTGCTGTTCGTGGAGCTGGAAAACCAGTGGCTGAGAACGAGTTGGAGTTGCCTCCTCCGCCTGCTGCTGCAATTGGGAAACATGCACCGCTCGGACTGCAACCTCTCGCCGGTCGACTCCTCGAGCAGAACGACGTCGCCAATCCAAGTCTCCAAAAGTCTCATGTTGTGGAGATCTCAGAACCCCTGGATTCCCGCCCCAGACCGGCATCTCCAAAAGAACTGCTTGCTGCGTTCCAGGCCCTGTACCTGTCCAGCCCGTCGGAAGCCAGCCCAAGCCTTGCAATGCAGCCATCCGAAGAAGCGCTCGCATTGAGCGAACGGCGGTTCTCTGACAGCCACCGCCTTGCAGAAAAGCTGAGCGACGCGGCCGAAACGGTCATGGCCGCGCACGACGATCACGAAGGCAGCAGCCACGGGATTGTGCAGGAAATCACTCCTCCGTTGACGCGAGCAGAAGTCATCTACGCACTCGCAGACGTTGACATCTTTTCGCTGGACGCCAAGCAAGTCTTGCTCTCTGCTCGACACCGGCTGTCACAAGGCAATCTCCGCAACGGCCTGATTGGCGATGACGACCAGTTCAATTTCGAAAGCCTCGAAGGCGTCGGAAACGAGCGAAAGTCAGAGAGCGAGGACGACAGCAGCGAAGACTCGGTCGTTCAAGAGCTGCTGGAGCATGCAGATGCCATGGACCAGCACGAAGCACTGTTACGCGAGTTTGCCGCAGCTCAGCAGCGCGCAGCTTCCTCTTCTGTGCGACATCCGCTCATCAGCACCCTGCGGTCGGTTCTGACATCAGGCTTGTTGCCATCGTCTTTATCATCATCGGACGGGTCGCAGAAAAAACTCTTCCGCGAGACGTTTACAAGCATTTGGACAACCATCGGCGATGCCCTGCCCACAAAATCGGGCTTTTCCATGATCGAGTGGGGCTCTGGGGATGTGTCACTCGCGGCCATCTCTCGCTCTCCAGCCCAAGCAGGCGTCAGCAGCTCCGGGGCTACCACACTTCCTGCGCCCTCCACCAACTCTCCCAGCAAATCAGCAGCCCCTCCAATCACAACCGTCTCCATCTTTACCCGGCCAGCGCGCCTTCGTGAGCATCTGCAGGCGCGCGATGCACTCGGTGCTCGGAACAACTATGTTTGCTTTACGCCATTGCAGCAACTGCCTTCGACCGTCCGCAAGCTTGGCTTCAATCCGTATCTGCAGGTGCAGTATTCTGTCATTCTGGATCTCGGCGCACTTGCCGGCGATCTGTTACCCCACGAGCTTGAGCTTTTGCTCGCCCATATTCTCGCCATCAGTGAGATTACCCTCATCGTGGATCCTTACACTGAGCGCTCGGTAAGTTGCTTTTTTTTTTGCTCAGGATGGAAGATTTGCAATACATCGTTTGAGTGTCTCACTCCATGGTTGCCTCACTGATGTTACGCAGATACTGGGAGGCCGCGACTGTTTTGATCGACAATGCAGTTGCGCTCGCCAAAATCAATGCAACAGTCACTGTGCTGCCTGCACCACGTAATGGAGCGCACGTGTACAAGGTCACAACTCGCCGAGCGGAGCGTCCAGTTTTGCCCGAGCACGCATCCAAAGTGTTTCCTCCCACCGCTGTTGCCGATGGTCTAGTCCAACCGGACGACTGCCTGCTGCAATTTAATGTGCGCGAAGTGCCAATTGCCGTCAACAGCACCGGCGGCAAGAACGATTCCAAGGGCGATGCTGGGTTTTCAAACCTCAAGCCCGACTACCGGTCTGGCTCTGGCGCGCCATCTGCTCCACCACCGCAACTCATCCGGACTCTGAACGTCACCTGTGGAGCCATCTCGACGCGCTTCAACCAACTCGAATCACTGGGTCCGCTCGTCCACATTCCAATCCTGTCGCTCCTGACAGCGGGTCTGGTCTCCTCCGACGTGCGGTTTGTTTTGCATCGCCTGCTCGATGGTGCAGGCCAGCTATCGCTGAGAGATCCATGGACACTGCATCTGGTCGGGGATACATGTCAGCAACTTCGGTTTGGCAACATGTCTGACGCTTCTCCGCGATCCGCTTCTGCTTCTGCTGCTGCTGCTGCTGCCGCCGCTCCGGCAAACCCGAAAGTGCTTGGTGCTGCGTTTGGAATGAAGGCGCAACCTGTCATCGAAGCGGCAAAAGCCGCCGATCCGCCAAGCAGACTCGATAAACTTCGAGCAGCCGAGGTTACTTGGATGGATGAAGCGATGGACAGTGCACAGGATCTGCGCGTGTGGATGGAGTCGCTTCAGATCTCGCCGAGTGCCGAATTCACCTCCTCCTCTTCCTCCTCCTCTTCCTCCTCATCGCAGCACGACCGCTCTGCTTTCATCCTTGCAGCTCGCCATTCAGAGCGCATCTACGCCGCTCACCTTGCCGCTGTCCAAGCGAGCATTACCGCCGACATTCGAGCGGCAAGCAGCATGAAATCCGACAATCCAGCTGTGGCCGCTTTGATTGGCTCGGCTCGCCGCTTTACGCTGCTGACGTACGGCTCCCAACTCACCTTGCTGTCCCTCAAGCTGGCCAAGCTCTACCCAAAGGCCACCATCTTGGCGTGCATCCCTACTCGCGAACAGCTCGACATTGCAGAGTTTCGGCGCACCGCGTCGCTCTTCTCGCTCACCAACGCGCACATTTTCACCGAGACCTGGACGACGTCCCTCGTCGAGCGACTCCACCGTTTGCCCGATGTCGTTCGCTACCAGGTTCTTGGCCTTGACGTACTCTTGCCGCTGCTATCGCTGCGCGAGCAGTTCCCTTCGTACTTGGGTCGCATTCTTGGCAATGCCCACACGACGTTTGTGGACTTGCCCAATCCGCTGCATTTGATGCGCGCTCTGCAAATTGTCAGTACCGAGCACACCGAGTTTTCTGCCAGCTCAGTGGCCCAGCTACTTCGGGATTTGAGCTCGTTGGTGTCGCGTGCAGCTGCAAGCGTGGGCGCTGTCGCCACAGTCCGATTTGTCACGGGTGGTGAAACAACATGGCAGGATTTGAGCACGGCCACTCTGGACGGCCTCGGTACTGCAGATGACGCCACGTTGCGCCCCCTGTTGCAGGCGGCAGTCAGCGGTCGCATGATGCTGCGTGTTGACATTGAGCACCTCTCCCGCCAGGTCGATTTCGACTGTGCTAAGGGGCGAATTACGCTGGAAATGGGCTCCCCAATGGCAGTGACGTCGCTGCGGTTTTCTGCCGCCAAAGACACCTATCCACTGCTGCGAGCGGGAAATGGCGTCAGTCTTGCCTTCTTGCTCACGCTCGGGCCGTACCAAGAGACGTTGCGCGGACTCTTTCGGCGCTACCTTTCGCTTCCCGTCTACGCAGACATGTGTCCCATCAATATTGTCTTCCGGGCTCAGCGACTCGTGTTTGAGGATGTCCTCTGCGAAACGACCGGCCACATTGCCGGCGACGCTGAAGTGGACTTGCGTGCCTGGAACGAGCGCGCTCTTGCTGCAAGCTTGGTCGGCCAGATTAACCAGCGCGCCTTTTCCTTCCTCGACCTGGAGAGCGGAGATGGCGCAGTGTCGATGGCGTTGGCCGACACATTCCCGCTGGCCACAGTCATTTCAATGGAGCGGCGCCCCGAGATGATTCGTCGACACCGCGCTGCCTTGCGTGAGCTAACCGTGGCGCGGTTTGGAAGCCAGTCTGGGCACGTTCAGGCCGAAGCAAGAGCTCAGGCGGCGGGTGCCGCGGAAGACGACGCGCCTGCTGCTGGTGCTGTGGCTGATGTTGCTGTCGATAGCCTGCTTCCGCCGATCGCATTGCCCAACAATGTCATTTGCGAAGCTCGATTGGATCCCGAGTTTGTGCACAAGCTGTTCGAAAGCCCAGAGTTTATGCGGTACCAGCTCGTGTCGCAGGATGCCTGGCTCACAGCGCTCGTCGCCAACAGCGCGACCAGTTTTGACGTCATGATGGGCGAGCTGCTGTCCACCGCCATGACCACATTCATCCAGATGCCCTCGTCGCAGCTGTTGTCCCTTGCCTTCACCACCTTCTTCCCAAAGGCGGACGCCGCTACCTTTGGGGCGTTCACTCCGCCTTCACCACCTTCTGCCAATCGTGCGACAACACGCCAAACTCTTCTTGATGATCGCTACGAGACATACGAGCTTTCGAATGTGTACGCAAGAGACATGCATCCCTTGCCGCACTTTATCGCCGAGCAGCGCATCTTGGCGGAATCGGCGCGCGCTGATACGGCCAATACCACCATCAAGGTGTCTGTGATCACGCCTGCTCGATCTCCTGCGTGGGTGGGCGAAAGCGAGACCGCGCACCGTCACAACGCAAACAAGGCCCACACGGACAGGAGCAGTAGCGCCAAGCATCAGCCGGATCATGGCTGGTCGTTGGTCCGCGCCGATGTCCGAAATCTCACGGTGGTGGTCAACCACCACTTTGACTACAAGGTCGACGGTCACACGCGCAAGTACACGCTGCACTGCGAAACGACCGACGAGTCCTGGGCCGTGTACCTGACCCGCCAGCTGGACGGCTTCCGCATTCCGTACCAATCGCTGGAAAGCATCACCCTGATTGCGTTGCTGCGCATGAAGCTCCTGCCCGAGTTTCGAGACCGCTTTTATGACAACTTCCTCACGTTGCCGCTGTATGAGGATATGGCGCCTTGGAATATTGGTATGCGGCTGTTTTTTGGTTTTGTGGTTTCTCGGCAGACAGGTGTGGTACTTGGTCTAACGGGGGGTTTTTTGTTTGTGGTTGTTATTTCTTGTTGTTTGTTTGTTTGCTTTGTCGGTCGTCGCTCCAGTCTTCCGGAATGGACGGATGGAGTACATTGACTACGACACACGGGATGTCACGTTCGACAAGCAAGTGCGGTCGGCGTACCAGGTGATGGCCATGCTGATGAATTACGAGCGCACGGTTCGCGACTTTGGCCACTGCCCATCGCACATCAAAAACCAGTACGGCTTCCCGTTCATCTCGCATTGCGTCGGTGACAACGCTGTCTTTTCTGGGCCGTGCACAGACTCCAAGTTCCCCGTCGCCTGTGGCGATGGATCGTGCAAGAGCACGTATATCGAGTGTCTCCGGTCATTGGCCCTGCTTGAGAACTCGAGAGATGCATTCCAGCGTAACGGTATGCGGTTTTTTTTTTGTCAGGTTTGGAGTTGAGTTTGGTTGAGTCAAGCGAGTCACGCACGGTTGGTCTGACGTTTGGTCCTTGTTTTGGTTGTAATGCTCTCGGTCTCTCTGCTTGTTTCGTTCACAGAGTTTGATGCGTTCTTGTCGGGCACCACCAACCGCGCGACCGAGCAAGGCTTGGCTGTTGATGGTGTTGGCGCTGGCGGCGTCGATGTTTGGGTAAGAATCGTCGAGCGGGCGCCAATCCGACACGTTGCATCCTTTTTTTGTTTTTCTTCTTCTTCTTCTTCTTTAAGGCTCTGTCAAGAGTGTGTGTTTGTTGCTCACTTGACGATATTTTTGTTTTGGGACGTGTCATTAAACACGCAGACGTTTGATAAGAGCGGTATCGTGCGACCTGTACCCGCGCCTCCGATTCCAAAGTAACCGCGGGCGGCAAATCTCCATGCACTTCAGCCTCTTCCCTGCACCTCCATTTGATATACTTTGAGACCATTGCTTGATTCACCTCTTTATTTCATTGTTGACCACCGCACGCACTCGCTTTTGCGTGTTTGTGTGAAGTATTCTCATTACGACTGCTCGTTGTTGTTGTCTTGTGACCTTTTAATTCTCATGACTCTTCCCCTCTTCTTCCATGCTTCCATCTGTCCCTATTCTCTCTCTCTCACACACACACACACTCTCGTCTCTTCTTCCAAAACACTAAACTCTTTCACCCCAACATTGTCTTCCAAGTTTTAAAAATCAACAACAACACGCGTTTTTTTTTTTTTTAAAGCTCCGCGCTTTTTATTCTTCTTTTTTGTTGTTTTGTTATTGTTTGATTTTATTGTTTTTTTATTTTTATTTTTATTTGTTTTTTTTTTATTTGTTTCTTGCTTTTCCTTCTTCTTGTCTCTCTCTCTCTCGCTCGCGCTCCAACCCGCCCTCGTCCAACACCCCCCCCCCCCGCGCACAACGCTCTTCTTTGTCTTTGGGTCTTGCGCTCTCTTCATTTTGGCGGGTTTTTTCTGATTCCAGCTCTTTCTTTTTTGCTTTTTGTCAACTTCCCGCCACATGGTTTCAAAACCCTAAAACAAAAAAACCCCAAAATCCAAAACACACACACAATCTCATCCGAGGCCCCGAGTTCCCCCACCCCCCCCCAAAACACACAACACACATTCATGTCATCAGTACAATCGTGCAGTGCTAGTGCTGCTGCGGGTGCTGCTGGGGGTGCTGCTGCGTCGCTCTGCTCGAGTCGGGCTTCCGATGCGGCGGCGGCGTCGGCGGCGGTTGGTGACTCCGACAATAGCAACAAGAGCAACCACCACCACCAGCACACGGCAGCAGGCACGACGACCAGCGCACAGCCACCACTCGACCATCACCAGCACCATCAGCATCCGCTTTCAGCAGCAGCAGCAGGAGCAGGAGCGGAGGCTGATCTGGGACAGAAGGCCGCGCAACCACCTCCGCGGTTGGCAACGGCAGTTTTGCCGCTCTCTCCGCCGTACTCTGCCGCGGTCTCTGCAGCGGTCTCGTGCACCTCGCTTAGCGACATGGCGACAACAACGAACAACAACAACAACAACAACACTGCTGTTGCTCCTCTACCTCCGCTTCCGCTGTCGACGGCTGCTGCAGGGACGGCTTCTTCATCACCAAGCCCTGCTGCTTCAGGTTCGGCCGACCACCACCATCACCAAGCAGCCCTGCCCGCGCTGGCCCTGCCACTGTCATCGCCCTCGTCGTCGTTGCCGCGCGCCGTGCCTGCGAGTGCCCCGTCGTCGTCGTCGTCGTCGTCGTCGTCGTCGTCGTCGTGCGCTCTGACGGCATCCGCGATCAGCGGCAGCGGCAGTGGCAGTCACAACCACACTGGCCTCACTCCATGCGCCCTGTCCCCGCCATCGTCGCCCGCCGCCCCTCACCCGTCCCACCACCACAACCACCACCACCACAACCACAACCACCACCACTCTCATGCGTTCGAGTCGCAGCACTTTTTCAGCGCACGGGCGAACGCGCTCGCCTTCCAGCAGCATCTGCAGCAGCATCCGCACCTCGTCCTCTCCTCGTCGCCCTCCTCATCCTCCTCGTCCTCTTCATCGTCCTTCTCGCGCGTGTTTCAGCAGCAGTCGTACCAGCATCCAATGTCATCGCACGGGATCCGTCCTGCGCTGCTGCTCCGGTCGCAGTCGAGTCCACCTGCGCGATCGCTGCCAATTCACAACAGCAACAGCAACAGCAACCACAACAGCAGCGTGGCCGACCTCCCCTCGTCGACCACTGCCGCCCTGCGCACAAACACCTCTGCATTGAAGATGACCGTGCACTCTGCGCCAGAGCTCGCGATGCATGACTACGACCACCAGCAGCAGCAGCACGAGGACGAGGACCCAGTCGCGTTGGCAGAGCGAAGGCGCAATGCGTTGCTAGCACAAGCCCAAACGCCGACAGCCAGCCAACCCGCAACGACCACCGCCGCCGCCACCACCGCGAATACAGGCGCAATTGCTGCTTCTACGACAAACGCAGGAGTTTTGATTGCCAACACAAGCACAAACACGAGCTCAGCGCCCGTTTTGGCGGCGTCAGAAAGTGCAGCCACGCGGACGACGACGACGACGACAGCGATGGACGATGCCACTTTCGGCGCATTCGTGAGTCACCCGCACTTGGGCTTGGATGCAATCGCAAACACATCGGCCAATCAGCCCATGGTCGACGGCGTGAGCTCAATTGCTGCTGCTGCTGCTTTGATGTTGACAAAGGACGAGGCCGCTGACTCATCATCGGTCGAAACCGCGCCGATTATTCCCACCAATGCGACCAACAGCTCTGGGCGATCAGCATCCTCCTCTGCAATGTCCGCGGATGAAGAGGATGCTTTTGCCAACATGGCTGCAGCTGCGTTCGCTCAGCCGCCTCAGCAACTGCAACCGCAACCGGTTTCCCGGCTGACACGTGCCATCCGAGAACAACAGGCGCAACAGCAACAGCAACAGCAACAACAGCAACATCCATCGATGGATCACAACCAACTGCAGCCTCCAGTGTCAACCATGGAGCCCCCGCTGAGCCCGTACGCGGATGCGTCGTCCCTCCCACCCAGCGCGTCGCTCGAAGCCTCGTTCTCGTCCTCCTTTACGCAACTGGCTGCGTCGCACTACTCGCTGTCCGCCTCCTTTTCGTCGTCCTTCACGCAGCTGGCCTCACACCCGCACATTGCCGCTGGCGTCGCACCGCTGCCCATCCACGAGTCGTACCGTCAGATGGGCCAGCAAACCCCGATGCGCATCCTGCTCATCGAAGACAACGTGCTGCATGCCCGCGCGTGCGTCGACTGCCTCACGGCGCTGGGCTTTGACAATGTCGACGTGGTCAGCTCGGGCCAGCAAGCTCTGCGCGTCATTGCCCAAATCCCGCTCAAGCCCCGCAGCGGCTCGACCGACTCGCTGGACGACCTGCCCGCCGCGATGAACACGCCGAGCCGCAAAAGCTCCACCTCGTCCACCTCGTCCTCCACCTCGCGCAAGGGCATGCCGTACGATGTCCTCATCATGGACATTAACGATCCCAACGAGCTGGATTTGCTCCGCATCTCGCGGCACGTGCGACAACTGTTTGCGGCCGACGACCAGCCCACCATCATTGCGCTGGCTGCGCCCAACACGGTCGACATGCTGGACTGCATCAAGTCGGGGGTCAGCTTCTTGCTCAGCAAGCCTGTGGCGACCAAGGACTTTATCGCCGCGCTCATGCAAGCAGCCGCCAAGCTGAACGCGCGTCAGCGTGTGCAAGAGGAGGCGAACGACGTGGCAGCCCTGCTTGGACCTGGATCACGCGCCCTGCTCGCCGACGCTGCTGCCGCTGGCGATGGCCTGAGTCTGCCTGGAAGCGACAGTGACAGCGACGATGGTAGCCTCTACATTGTCGACACCGATGTCCCTCACCATGCTGGACGTGTCGTTCGCGACGCCGCGGCCCTCCTGTCCTCCCAGTACCAGCACCAGCACCAGCAGGCGCACCAAGGCCGCTACGTGGACGCAGACGACTACTACTCGTCCTCTGAAGACGATGACGACGATGACAACTTTATCAAGTACTATGATGAAGCCAACATCCAAATCGCGCACCCAGTCAACCCGTACGTCTCCTCTGCGCACTCGACAGACCGTCGCTCGCCTTCTCCGACCGATGACAGCGGCGCGTCCTCCACCGACCACACACAAGCGGCGCGCGCCCGCAGTGGTTCATTCTAACTGTTGATGATGTCTCACCTCGCTAGCAGCAGCTCGAGGTGGCTCGATTCATGCTGTCTTGATGTCTTGCTGTTGTTGCTCTCTTCATTGTTTGTTTGTTTCGTTATGCGTTTCTGGCTGTGATTGAAGGTTCGGATGCAGCGCGTTCGTCCCCGTGTCGTTCTCCTTCTAACTGTGTGTCTGCGTGTCGTCTTATTGGAATAGCCTGGTTGCTATTCTTGAGACACTTCTTTTGTTGTAGTCGTCTCTCCATGTCTTCATCTCGGTGTTTTTGTGTGTGATGTGCTTTTTGAACAAGACAAAAAAGCATTTCGTCCTCAATGTTTCAGGTTTTCCATTTTGTAGAGTCTCATCTCTCTGGCTTTCATGCTCCCATCTATTTTTTGCAATTCAGTCAGTCTTAGAATTTTTAACTATGTCAACAGCATCAACAACGCCAGCTGAGCTCTTCAATGCAGCCAACACTGCGAAGACGTTCGCGTAAGGAACGCCCTCTTTCCAGCCACCCCCCCCGCGCCTTCATCCATCTCATCCAGCTCATCATCACCAGATCTCATCCCAATTGAAAACGCTGCACCCTCACTCACGACTGTCGCGTTGGCGTGGCTGGCTGCTTTGACACAGATACGCTCCCTATTCAAACTTCCGCGTTGGCGCTGCCCTTCGCACCACATCCGGCCGCATCTTCACTGGTGAGTTTTGTTGTCAGCAAGTGCAAGAAGCCCATTCAGTGCATTCAGATCACGCAGCACGCACTCTCTGCGCAATCATGTCGGTTGAAGAAGAAGCGTCGCGATAAGACTGAAAAAAAAAAAAAAAAAAAAAAAAAAAAAAAAAAAAAAAGCCTTCAAACTGGCGTTTTGGTGGTTTGTTTCAAACCAAAAGATCAGATTTCCTACTTTGAGCTTCATTTGGCCCAGCATGGTTTTCGCTGTGTGATGAAGAGCTGACAATTCTTGATATTTACGTGTGATTTTTTTTCTTGGTTTGTGGTTTGTCAAACACCAACTTTGTGCAGGCTGCAATGTCGAAAACTCGAGTTACGGTCTCGCAATCTGTGCCGAGCGCACGGCACTGGTCAAGGCTGTCAGCGAGGGCTTCCGTGAGTTCACAGACATTTGCGTCACGACGGACTTGACAGACAAGTTCTGCTCGCCGTGCGGAGCATGCCGGCAATTTATCGTCGAGTTTGGCCTCGACATTACCGTCCACCTCTGCAAGCCTGATGGTCAGTGTGCAGTACTAGCCCAAAATGAGAGATGTGTTGTGGAGGGGATGTTGTTTCAGAGATGAAAATACTCAATCTACTTCTCCTTGACAACATTTGGGCATGATGCTGCGCAGGCTCGTCGCAAATCACAACTTCTGGTCGTATTCTCCCTGACGCATTCACCCCCGCTGATTTGAAGCTGGACCGGGTCAAGGCTTAACTGACCTCGATCATTTCTTGTTGGTTCTTTTTGCAACGGCTGCTTCCTGCCCTTGTTTGTTCGTTTGTTTGCTTGTTTGCTTGTGTTTTTCGTTCGATGGCGTTCTGTTTGCACTTTTTGGTCGCTCGTCCTTGGTTGTATCAACATTTGCTTATCCACACATTCGTCGACGATTCTAGAATTTATTGCATTTTATTACAGCCCAACAAATGGTCGTGGCGACGAAATCAAACAACAAAACGACTAACTGTCTCGGAGCACGTGTCGATGCATTCCTGCCACCCGCGCTCTGAACAAAAAAAAACCACTAGTACAGGAAAAAGTACGCACGCCACGAGTAGACATCCTGTGCAGGGCTGTACTCGTACACGTTGCACAAGCGGAAGTTGTGTGCCCCCTCGGGCATCATGTGATAAGTGAAGCGGAAGCTTTGCTCGTCTGTCGAGCTGACAAAGGTTGAGCCAAAGTGAAGCAGCTTGGCGTTGATCTCATCAATCAGCGTGCGCGACCGCTGCATGGTCGTCCTCATTGTTTCCAGCGACTTGAGCAAGCGCATCAGGTGCGCGTTGGTGCCATACTGCTCGGCCAACAGTTCGGCACCCTCCTGTCCCAGAAAAAAGTTGGGCGAAGGGAACTCTGCAGTGAAGGGGACAATCTGGTGCTGGATGAGATCGTCCAACGCGAGTTCGATGCGGCCGCCCAGCGTTGACAGCTCGCGGACACTAATGTGCACGAAAACGGTGCTCTGGTCAATTGGCTCGTTGTCGTCGTCGCACAATCGGACGTGGCGGTATCCTGAAGAGAAGCACAGAAAGTGAAACCACAGAAAAAAAATCCACAATTGAGCCTACCAACCCAAAAAAAAAAAAAACGACAAACACCACCAGCCAGCATCGAGCTGACAAAAAACGCAACCTACCATCGTTCAGGCTTGTGACTGGATAGACGGCCTGGCCGAGCAGCGTGCGAGTAGAGTCGTCGTACGCTGCAAAGCGCAAGAAGGTCAAGTCGGCCGAGTTCAGATTGAAGACAAACTTGGTGTCCGCCTGCCACAGTGGATCAAACCCATTGTTGTCGCGAATGACGGCCGTTGAGAACTTCATCGAGTCGCGTGCCTGACCGCACGTCTCGACGACAATCATTGGCGAGATCGGCTTGTCGTTTGTGTTTGCCGTCGAAGGGCGCTCCAATCGTGGGCCTGTCGGGCGGCGCAATTGCTGCGCAGAGATGACCTGTGGGTTGGTGGAAAGGGGGGGGGGTCAGGAGGAGAACGAGGTGTGGGTGTACACAACACAACAGACCAAAACAAACAAACGACCCACTTCTCACTCTCGCTCCCTCTCTCGCTCTCCCTACCTGAATAACCAACTTGACACCGGCATTGCCCCCAGAAGAGGTGCCCCGGGAGGATCCAGACGTCAGCAACCTGGGCTTTTGTACGTAGCCGCAGTTGCCGTTGACGCGGAAACGCGCCTGGTGGAACTTGACGGCGAGACCGCGCGAGCAGTGGTTGACACCGACCATCTGAATGCCGGCATTCCAGGCGGGAATGGGGTCCATGTTGGTCATGATGTCGCGACGAGAGTACGGCCGATTGTGCACCAGATTGCGGAGGGTAATGTCTTGCAGCGCAACAACGGACGACTCCGCGCTCAAAAACTCGGTCGAGTGACGCTCGTCGATCGCAGGAACCTCGAACATGGGCATGCGACGGCCACGGGCCAGCGACTGGAAGCGGTTGAGGTCAAGGAAGACGAGGTTTGAAAAGGCATTTTCGACCAGGATGCGCGGGCTGCCGTCTGCACTAACTCGAGCATTGGGTTGCGCCTGCGGTGCGGCTGGTTGGAGATCAAAGTCGTCGTCAAACCAGTCCGTGTCGGTGACCTGCTTGGACGCCATGATGAGCACGCGACCCTTGAGCTGGCTCGGAGAGGGAATGTTGCCGACGGTGGCCTCGCTCAAGGGCGCTGCGAGCACGCCGTCGCCGAGGATGGACTTGAACAAATCAGCCATCCTGTTCTGGAAGGGCGCCGAGCAGCGGTTGATGACCACGAGGATGACTGGGTAGGGCGAGGCGACAAAGCCGTGAGTCAGCACGACTTGGAGCACTTGGGAAAGGGGCACGCTCACGTAGACGGCCTTGCCACGCTTGTCGGTGCCGACGCCGCCGCCAGATAGATGCTTCCACTCGGCGTAGCCGTTCGGGTCGGCCGTCGACTGGGACGCGGCAAGCATGTGCTTGCCACTCGCGCTCGAAACGCTGCCCGGGACGCTCGCCTTGGACTTGCTGGGCATCACGTAGCGCGAGGACACGATGGGCTCCACGTCGCCATCATAGACCTCGAGATGCAGACAGCGCACGCCGCTGAGCAGCAGCCGCATAAAGCCGTCGATGGCCACTTCGGGGACGGCGGCAGTGTCGAGAATGAGCGACGTGTTGTGCGAGGTGGCAATATAGTACTGTGAGAGGGGGCGCGTCATGTCCTGGAAGACGGACAGATGGCGCTGGTCGAAAATGTCATTGTCACGCGAGAGCAAGAAGCGGTAGAAGGCCTGGCGCGACAGGACTCTGTTCTGGACGTTGAGCGGGGAGGTTTCGTACTTGGCCAGCAACGCGCTGGCTTCGCGTTCCGTGATGAGCGCGGCTGAGGACTGCGCCATGAGGGAGGACGACGAGGATCCGATCGCTGCGCGAGACTGGTCGTTCTGAGCGGAGGAAGAAGAAAGCCCCGCCAGACTGCCGGTGGCAGCATTGCCACGCGCGCCGCCTCGCTGCTGCTCCACCAAAAACCGATGAAACTCGTTCATTTTCAGGAAGGAGCTTTGGAAAAGGTGGCTGAGATCGCTGCGTTGCGCCTTCAGCGCCGCAAACATGCGCGAGTAAACGGTGAACGTCAGCTTGGCGTTGGGATCGGCCACGTTGGGTTGGTTGACGGCGCCGACAAGCGCCTGGTTGACCATCACGCGGTAATAGTCGGACGGCAGACCCGTGTGCAAGCGCTTGATGAAGAGCTCCAAGGTGCGATTGACAATGCGCTCGTTGTCAAGGCTCTCAATGTTCAAGCCCATTGCCAGCCACTCGTTGCGAATAAACTCTTCCCAGTTGGAGGGATCTGTAGCGCGACGAGACTGGCCCAGCAGATAGTCCAGGCCCGCAAGCCACAACTCGTACTCTTCGTTCGTCGATGCAATCAAATCCAGCGATTGAATATCAGCAGTGCCATCGCGGTACAAGATGGAGAAAGCGAGAGGGGCTGAAATCAGCGACTTGTTTTGGAGAAAAGTGCGCGTGTTGGTGCCGCGTCGGATTTCAACAATGTTGCGGAAGGGTACTGTCGAGAAGAAGACAGAAACAAAAACAAAAATGAGTGAAATCGTGAGCCAAAAACGCAAAAGCTTCAAAAACAAAGAACGCAAACACACTTACACCAACGCTGCTCGCGAAGTTCCTTAGAGTCCTTCACAGCGACCTTGTAGAGCAAAAAGTAGCCCATTTCGTCAACATTGTACATGCGCGCTTGGAGCACACCCTTGGGGAGCACAGTGTTGAACAGGGTGCCGCTTTTCATGACGGACACTGTGATATTCATTGCAGCAAGCATGGGCACGGGATCGACGAGCTTGGTAGCCCAGAGCGAGGCAGAGGTGCGGTAGGTATCGATCAACGCCGCGATGGAAGGGAAGGGCCCGTGGTTGTCGCCCAGCGAGTACATGCCGTTTGGAGTCAAGGTGATTTTGAGGTGTTTGACGTCGTTTTCCTCGCGGCTGCAAAAGGAGAGAGGGAAGGGAAGGAGAGAGGATTGCAAGTTAGGGAAAGCGAAAGTTGAATACTCGGTCGAAGGGAAAACAGAATCTCACCGAAGAGCAAGCGCGTATTCGTCGGGATTGTTCGGGCTTGTGCGCACCAAGAAGGAGCCAGTTTTACCGCCTTCCATGAGGAGGGATTCGGCCTGGTCCTTGGACAGACCGCCATGGAACCAACTACAAAAAAATTGTGTGATTGTGAGAATGACCTACTCTTGTGGTTACGCAAGTCCTCGGAACAGTAGCCAGGGCCTTACACTGGACGCTTGGAAACATCGTTGAGAACGAACGAGCGCGATTGATCGGCAGACGGGAGGTTTGGAATACTCGTGGTTGGAGATTCTGCTCGCGCTCTGCTCCATGACACGATTTGTCCATGACATGATTTTGGGAATTGGGGAGGAAGTTCAACAGAACATGAGCAACGACAGGTTTGTGCTTTTCGTGCGACGGTTTCGCACAAGCAAGCAAGGCACAAAAAAATGGCGGGGCTTACGCGGCAGCGATCGGGGGCCGACGCCCCGCTGTCGGCAACGGCTGGGTGAGGAGCACATTCTGCAACGGAGTGCGACGGTGATGCTCAATGATTTGGCTGAGCGTGCCAGCAACCTTGCCAAGCTTGTACGTGCCATTTCCAGCTGGGTCTGGCTTGATCATGTACTGGTCGACCTTTGGTCCAACTCTGTAGCAGCCAAATTTCAAAGGGTGAGTTTGTGAATTCGGTTGTTATTTTTCAACGCGAGGTGAGAAACATGAAATCGAAAATACTCAGAAATAAAAAATAAAAAATAAAAAATAAAAAATAAAAAATAAAAATAAAAAAATAAAAAAAGGGGGAGTCAGGGTTTGTCGCAGCTGTTGATCTTTGTGTGAGTGCAGATTGCGGACCCTGAAGCACACGCAGTTTGCAAGTTGCCACTCCAAATGCCGAGATGCGTGTCGTGGCGATGTGGATGCGGGAGGTGCCCTTGTCTGTTGAGGGGCAAGCAAAGGAGGCACCAACCAAAAAAAAAAAAAAAAAAAAAAAAAAGCTTGCTTTTTGGCTGCTGCTTGTTTTTGCATTGATGCTCTGTTGCTTTTGATGCTTTGATGCCCCATTTTGTACCTGACTGCGAGGACGACGAGGCCCGGCTCGGTGTTGGACTCGCGCAGAATGTACATGCCCTCGGAGCCGCTTTCCATCAGCAGCGCAGTCGCATCCGCCTTGGAGACGCGCGACAAGGTCATTTTCGTCGTTTCGCTTTTCCAGCCAAAGAGGGCAAAGAGGCCAAAGCGGCAAAGAACAAAGACTGGAGACAAAGGTAAAAGTACAGGAACTACATGTAAGGATTAATCGTTATTCCTCACCAATCAGAGTCAAAAGAGCGGAACAATGGTTTGAAAGCGAGTGAAAACCGGTCAAAACGTCCCCATTCGGAACAAGTCCAATGGAACACGGATGGAGCTCGGTTCCCCCAAGGCAGACTGTGACATTTTCATGATCGCTTGTTTCCACGACTGCTGACTGACGCACTGGAGACATGTTAGATTCTGCAGAGCTGTGAACTTCACGTACTTGCCCAGTCCTTTTTGAATTATAGGTTGGATCACGCGCGGCAACTCAACACAGCCCTGCTATTCCCGAGTTGCATCAAAAGCGCTTGACCCTTTCCCCTGACTCCTTCTCAGCGAACCTGTCATTCGCCTGGAAGGGTGTGGACGACCAAAAAATGCAGTCGGAGGATTACGCTCAGTCGCGGTCTCAACTGCCACCCGTCTACCAGCCGTATCCGCCACCACCAGCGCAAGCACAAGCACAAGCACAAACACAGCCCAATCATCAGCATTACCAACAACAGGCGCAGTCGCAGGCGCAGGCATCATCAGCAGCAGCGAGCGGCACTTCCCAGCCACCCAACATCCGGTACGATTTGGACCTCCTCTCTCTCCTCTCTCTCTCGCTTTGACTCTGAGGACATGTCAAGCGCTTCTCTTCTTCATATGTCGCAGTTCGTCGTCGGGTGATGTTTGGTTGGAACTGAGTGGCATGCTGTGCGGACGTGACGTTTCGCTGGCTCCCATTCAAATCATCATCCCAACCTTGACTCGCTTTGAGGGTGTTTGAGCACTTTCAATGAGGAAATTCATCACCATTGAGAATGGGGGGGTGGGATTTCAGGGGGTAGAGGGAAAGTCCACTTTGAGCCTTTCTATGCTTCGTTGCTCACTTGATCGCCGACATGTATGTGTGATTTGAAAACAGACCGCGACTCGAAACTGCGCGGAGCAATGCAGATCGGTTGCGCGTGCGCCAGCCAGATGGGAAGGCATACAATCTGCGCGTACCGCCGCAACAGCTCCTGTCGCTGGGCGTGGGAGTGCCGCTCTTCTTTGAGTTTCTGTGGTTTTGCATTGTGCTTGGCACCTGCGTCACGCTCTTCTACTCAATCCCGATGGTCGTGCTCAACATTCAGGGATCATGGGCGGACATTGACCATGGGCTGGGCGGCGGAACCTGGAACATTCGCAACTGCTCCAACACGTCGAATCCCGTCAGTCTCGTCACATCCAGTTTTAGTCCTGCGGCGTCAAACTACCATCTGGTAGACTCGGACTCTACCAGCACCAATGAGACGGAACTCGAGGCAGCGTACAACTGGTTCCTGGGCCACCGCTCCCTCGCGCCAGGCGCCGGCTATGTCGTCATTGAGCTCGTGATGCTCATCATGGTCCTCAAGCTCGTGGTGGTGTGGCGCCGACGCATTTCCGTGCGCGCGACCGTGTTTGCACGGGAGATGCTCACTGCACGCCACTACACTGTGATGGTGTCGGGCCTGGAACGCAACTGCACCAACACGGAAGAACTCGCCCAGCACTTTGCGCAGTGGGGGCCCATTGCGCACGTTTCCATTTCGCTCGACTCGATGCGAGTCATGCATCTCATGCAAAAGCACAAGGAGATGAGCGTCGAACTGGGCTCGGCGTTGGCTCGCGAAGCTGCGCAAAGGAATGGCACCTCCGACCCGGTTGCGCAGAGCGGGCTTCTTTCGCAGATTCTGTGTGCCTTCCGATCGCTGACGCACCGCGAGTCTCGCCAAGTGCGCGAAGAGCTGGCCGCCATCGATGCCAAGATTGAAGAACTCAAGCATCGGCGCGTCTTCCATTGCACCGGATACGCCTTCGTCACCTTCCGCAGCGCGGATAGCGCGCTTTGCTGCCTCATCGACCACATGCAAAAGCCTATTTGGGTGCGATTCAAAGACTGGGTTGCCACGAGCTGGCTGTTTCGAGCGTACAGCCCTGCTGCCCCCTCCGCGTCGGCGTTGGCGTCGTCGTCGTCGTCATCCGCCCACAACGAAGCCAGCCTGGCGTCAAAGGCTCCGCTTCTAACGAGAGGTAGCAGTTCGAGCCTGTCCGGCGGTCCCTACGCAAACATGCACGAAGGACTCATGTCCCCGCCGTCGTCGAACGCGCGCACCTCCGCTGATCGCAGCTCTGCAGCGTACGCACTCCCGACAGCCAACATTTTCGGCTTCAAACCATCGCGCTTTGTCTTTCGCTCGACCCTGCGGCCAAAGCTGGAAGCCCCGCCGGAACCGTCCGACATTATCTGGGAAAACCTCCACATCACGCTGTTTCAGCGCCTCTTGCGCAACTCGGTGACCTCCTTGCTGTGCGGGATTGTGGTGCTGGCCGGCTTTGCGAGCGTCACCTCCCTGCTGTACTTTGAGCTCACAGATGATCACAAGTCGCACGTCGACCTGGGCGGCGTGGGCTCGAAGGTAATCAACGCGCTCGTCGTCACCTTTGTCAACTGGGTGCTGGCCACGGTCGTCACCGCCTTGGGTCGCTGGGAACGCCATCACACCTACTCTGGCTTCCAGAACACTGCCTTGGCCAAGCTCCTACTGGCCGGCTACGTCAATTCCGGCTATTCGATTCTTGCCGCCTACTTGATTGTGAGCGAATGGGGCACCCACAACAGCCGTCGCCAGTTTGGATCCATCTTTTGGTACTCGAGCAGCGGGCAGCTGTCGGCTGCGTTGACGGCCATCATCTCCAACGCCGTGTTCAACTCGCTCATCCAGTTTGTCATGCCAGTGACACGGATGCGCGAATTTTTGGCGACGAGAACAGCGCTGACGCAAACCGAGCTGGACAAACGGATGGCGCCTCGCGAAATCATGTTTGCCGCTCGCTATGTCAACGCCATTGTGAACATGTCGGTCGCAATGCTGTACGCATTCCAAATGCCGCTGGCGCCGCTCATTGCCGTGTTCGCCGTGGGTCTGCAATATTGGGTCGACAAACGCAACCTGTTGCGCATCCACAAGCGCCCTCCCCGGATTGACCACCGCCTGTCGCTCCGCGCCCTCCAGTACATCCCGTGGTGCATCTACTTTCACGTCGTGCTGGGCGGCCTGGCGTTTGTCCTCGGACCGTGGTGCGGCAACGGCGATGATCTGCGCTTGATTCTTCCCCAGCTGGGTGAAATCAGCTTTACCTGGGCTTGGATTTGGCTCATGTCTGGGATTGGCCTGCTGGCGGGAATCATTCGCTATGTTCCTTGGAAGCGCTTCTTCCGCTGGATTACCTGCTCTTGCTGCGGCCTAGCCAGCGGCAGGGGCGGCTCTGGGGACTCCTACGCAAACGACATGACCGGACTGTCTGGACGGACGATGCGGCGCTCTCGTGCCAGCTGGCCGAGCTCTCGGGACAGTGAGCCATTGCTGCAAACCCAGCCACCCTCCGTCTCTCGCGCGTACCTAGTCCCAGCGCTCAGTCCGTACGAGAGCTCTGCGACCGAAGCAGACCACGCGACCAACCGAGGAGGCCAGGGGCCGCTGTTGGCGCAGGATGTCCTTGCAGATCCTTCCGTTACGCCCAGTCTCAAGCAATTGGTGAGCGACGCCGTGATTCGTCCGCCATACGAGGTCATTGTTGGCTCGCTCGAGGAGGAGTACCGGCCTCCAATTGCCGTGGATGACGTTGTTTTGCGCGAGACGCGAACCACCCTTGAAATGTACTACGAGCTGCTGCGCGGCAAGTCGCAGACGCTGGTGCAAGCATTCAGCGGCAGAACGGCCGACACTGTCTTGTCAAGCCCGCGCCGCCTCACTGTGGATCGCATTGCCGCAGCTTTCTCGCCGTCGGTGGCCGCAACCTCCTCGTCAGTCAACCTGAACACCTCGAGCATCTCCACCACCTCCTCTGTCTCTGGCGGAAGCAGCTACATTAACGTTAGCAGCGGCAGCGGCGGGGCCAGCCTCGTATCACACGTGCCCTCGTCGCCGCACTCACTCACGCCCCGCCACCGTCGATCTGGCAGCATCAGCAGCGTCTCGTCAACCGTCTCTGGCGTCTCCAATGTTTCCAACATCCCCTCCCAGTCGAGCAGCATTGCAGCCATGATTGCCGCGGCCAACGGCCTGGAAGACGAGGAGCAGCAGCAAGACCAAATGTTGCGATCTACCACGTCGTGGTCTAAGGGTGTGTTGCCGCGTGATGAGTCGCGGATGTGATTGTTTTATTTTGATTTTTTTTTTTTTTTCGTTTTGGGTTTTGTTGTTGAGAAGAAGTATTCAAAGATGTTGCTTTCTGTTCGTCCTCGATGTATGCTTGAGGGTTCAAGATTGCCGTCGCCACCTGTAGTTTGGCAAAAGTCCAAGTTGGATGAAACCAAACAAAACCAAAAACTTTGAACGTTTGTGTCACAACTCTCAAACAAGAAGACCGATCCAGACGGAAACACACGTACATTAGAAGACACCATCGTACCACGCACACCAAAACAAATCCTACAGCCAAGATGATACAGACAGGAACACAAGAAAGAAAAACAAGCAAAAAAAGCAAAGAAAGCAACAAAGCAGGCGATCGCCCTCCAGAAAGGTCACCGCCTCGAAAACTTCTGCAGCTGGACGCATCATTGCTTGATTAGTGTGTTAATGGTGAGCCTGGGCCTTGTTCAACAGCCGTCGCTTGTACCTGAGGTGCGTCCGAATGCAGACGGTGAGAAACCGCAGCAGCCCGCCGCTCGATCTGCCTCAAACGAAGCAACACTTACTCGTCATACTCGCATGCTTCATAGGCATGTCGGAGGTCGGTGCACTTCCATGGGAGGTAGGTGGTCGCGCGCCTGCACTCGTTGAGCGGAATGAGCAGGTGGGCGCAGTAGTCGCGCGCGTGGATGGGCAGCTGGGCGTCTGCCATTTCCTTAGCGGTGACTCGCATCTCTGTTCATATGTGTGTTCGTAGAGTGCAGTGAGGATACAGAGCGGGTGCGCTGAACAAGTTGAGCAAAAGTCTATGCTTGTATTTTTATTTTTTTTTTTATTTTTGCTGGATTTCCATTGCTTTTTTTTTTTTTTTTTTGGCTGACTTTCCATTGCCTTGCGTTTCTCTCTCCTCGCCCTCTCCTCCTCCCTCTGGATTGGCGTGCACAATCTAGATGAGCCTGTCACCACCAGTTGAGACGGAGAACGACGGGTCTCGCTTGGCGTTTGAGGCTCTTCTCTTCCTTCCATATGACTTTGTTGCTTTGCGCCCTGTCTCCACCTCGCACCACAGGCACATCGCCCCATCGCTGATTGAATATCCGGTGTGTGCCGCAAACTGCGCCTCTCTGATCTGGTAGGGCGGGGAATCGGGAACACATCAGCATCCAATGCAAGCTTGCCTCGTTGCTCGCTGCTCATTGCTGCTGAATCCAAAAGAACACGAAATAATAAAAGACTGAGAATCTGAGCATGAGCAAATGGAAATCATTGTAATTCTTGGTGATACTGTAGTGACAATCGTGCAATTGTGTGTGCAATGTGCTGAATGGCTTTCTGAGTGACTTTGAACTGTCCGTCTTCCTTTCCCCCCTTTGCCTCTTTCAACGCATACTCGGCTACTTCGCAGCATCAAGAGCAAGAGTCATTTTTCAAACTTTTCCTGAACTCTTCAATTCACTCTTCTTATTCTTTGTTCCTTTTGTATTGTCTTTGCTTCCTTCTTCCGTTCCTTCTGTGTGTCGTTGAATGACGAGTCATCAGCGGCTGTACTGGGCGCTCGATGGAGTGCCACTGTCGCTCTCTGCCGACTACCAAAGGCTCCTCCAAGTGAGTGCGCCCCATTCACCCATTCATCCTACTTCCACATCTCCACTAGCAAGCAGGAACCGACCAAACCCGGGCACAAGCAGTCATCACAAAAATTCAGGGCGCGAATTTGGCTGGGCGGACCCAGTTCGTTGGCCTCCCACGGTCGTCGCCGTGAACTCGCATCGCTGCTTCGCTGCCATCCATGCTGCGATTAGGACGAGCGTGAAAAGTCCAACCAAAAAAGCTCGTTTGAGCGAGCGACGGCGTTTTCGAACAAAGTTGTGGGGGTTCCAAGCACCGCGACCTTGTCGTCATCATCAGTCACTCACCAATCGCTCGCCGTCGTCGTCACTCGACTCTGATAAGACTCTGATTGCAAGGCACTATGTACTGTTGAGCTCAAATTCCCATCCGTTGCTTGTGCCTTTGTGCCTGGACAGATTGTCGAGCAGCCGCGCGCTCAGCTGCCTCACCCTCTGGTCGGCGCTACGTCCGCGCTGCTGGGAGCAAGTAGTCAGAACAACGTCGCGAACAATAGCACAAGCTCAAGCACAGCGAGTTCGAATGGTAGTAGTAGCAGCGGTAGCAGCAGTCTTCAACGGCAACTGCCGTACTCGTTTCGATTGGAACAGCAATGCCTGCGAGCGTTCAAGGAGCACGAGAAGGAGCTCGAGCGCGAAAAGCAGCGCAAAGTGCAGCAAGAGGCATTGCTCGAGCAACAAGAGCGAAAACTGCTTGAGGAGACGCGAGCACAAGTCAAACGGATGGCCGAAGAGGTCGAACAGATGCGCTTGGAGCAGCAAGAGCAACTCGCGCGATTGAACAATCCTGCTGCTGTTGCTGCTCCAGGGGTCGTCGACCCAACGGACAGCACAACTTCCCAAAGCGCATCTTCAGTTTCTTCTGCTTCTTTGGGCGCCAATTCCACGGCAGACCAGATCGATGGCACATTCTCTAGCTTTAACACCAGCACCAGGAGTAGCGGTATTCCGTCTCGACCAGACAGCACTCTTTGGTCGGTCGACTCTGCCCTGAGCGAGCCAAATCCCAAACTGGCCAAGCCACCAAGCTTGGCTGCCGCAGCAACACCCACTAGCTCCTCGACAACTCCAGTCTCCGTAATACCGCACTCGATTACTCCGTTGCAGCCAACGCCAGCACCGAGTACGTCCTTCTTTGCTGGTGCTGCTGCAACAACTCACGGGTCCTCTTCTTCGACAGTCGGTTCTTCCGCATCAACAACTCCCGTTCACCAACATACTCCTGCAGGATCGCCACCTCGCACTACTGCTCCAAGTCACGAATTCAACCAAGCGGCATACCAAATGCCAACGCACACCTTTCACAATCACGCTTCTCAACCTCCATACCAGTTTCAGCCGCATCCACTCCACACAGACAACACCCAGGACATTGCGCAGTCGTCGAACATGCCTGCCTCGCAATTCGCCTCGCTCGGTAGCCAACAACAACCCTCATCATCTCTAACGCCTCTGCAGCCCTCCATGTTTCTTCACGACGCTGCTCCAATTGTGCCAACCCTCGTTTCCAGCGGTAGCGAGAACGTGTCGACGAATCGAAGCGGTGCACCTCGTGTCCCGACAACCATGGGAGAGACGTCGTCATCGAAACGCGGCAACGCTGCTGCTGTCGGCAAGCCAAAGAACGAGCTGTGGCGTGAGTTCGAAGCCGACTCGACGCCATTCGAGACGGTCGAGTTGATGGCGTTGAACGACATTGCTGCGCTGAAGGATGTGCTCAGCGCTGCACCTCAGCCAGCACAACGAGTGCCACCATCCAACTTGCAGGCACATCCTGGCATTTCAGCGGTATCCCATCCATGATCGATGACGATGACGACAATCCTGAATGTCAACAAAAGATTCACTGTGCGTAGCGCGCACGGTGGAGCTGAGACGATGCCAGTCAATCCCACAAGGATGTGCAAAAGCGATTATCGAAAAATAAATACATGTTCCTTGCAAATGCCAATTGAATCGGAGGCAGGAGTTGGATGCGCTCCAAAACGTCGAATCAAGAAATCAAATGTCGCTTCTCATCAGAATTCCGGAGCAGCTGCAAGAAGGCACAAATGTCTTGTTGTGTGCGCCTTTCTTGAGATGAGGTCGGACGCACTCGACAGACCATGCATTTGTCTTGATGCTGAGTCAACTCTTTTGAGCACACGCAACGCAAGCACATGCACGGCAGCAAGGCATCAGCGTGGCATTCGTCGTGACGCTGAATCATCCATCGCAGCGCTCGTCTCTTCCTCGTTTGCTCCCCCTTTCTTCCCCTCCCCATAAATCGTCTCAAGATCTCGCCGAACGAAGGTCGATAGACACTTGCGGATTCAAGGCCATCTACCGCAAGCGCCGTGTCTGGAGACAGGAGAAACGCGACAGCCCAAAACATGTCGACATGATGCTGTTGATTTTTGTTTTTTGTTTGTTTTGTTGTTATTTTCCTGGTTTTATTTTTTACACACACACAGACACACAGACACACACACACACACACACACACACACACACACACACACACACACACACACACACACAAACACCACCAGCCAAAACTAACAAGACCAGTAAAAGTATCAATAGCTCGAGCTCAACTAGTCAAAGCAAAAACCAATGGGTTTCATGGTAATCTGTGTGGCGTGGCGAAGACGGTTTTGGATGTTGTCATTCTTTGTTTTGTTCAGCCCCGTCGGTAAGGACACAGTGTTCCAGGCGCAGGCTGCATGCTGCTGAAGACCGCCTGGAGTGTTGCGATGTATTCACATGCCTGTACACGTGGTGGGAGGCGGAGGATGGGGCTGGAAAGGGGTTGAAAGATGCTTTCGAGTCTTTGGTGGCGGTTGCGGCATTGTCGATTTTTGTTAGCCCCTCATGTCGCTTCTTTTACCAAGCAAGCCGGTTGATGCCCTCCTCGGCTTTCCCCCCCCCCCAAATTGCGTATTCATCGCCATATTTATTTAAGGAGGCCGGCGAGCCTGGAGGCGCAATGCAATGACGGAGCAAAAACCCCAATCGTCGTCGGTGACTCACCCACATTAAAAAGTAGATCAACAGGAATTCAAAACAAAGCAAAAGACGGTTGGCCAGCGAGTTGCGGTTGGTCAACAATTCGTGACACGACCGACCCGTGATGATCAATGACTTGGAGTCGCTGATCAAGTATCACATCGATGAGAGGCAGTCGAGAAGACGAGGAGTGTGCAATCCAATCACCACAAAAAAAAAAGAGGAGGGGAGGGATCGTCGAACTGCGCATCGGCAAAAACAAACACACCAAAAACAAAAACGGGCTGAACTCAACCTTTGGCTCGCCTTGCCGCTTGTTCACTCTTGAGCAGCTCGCATGAGCCAGTGTGTCGTCGATGCTCTCGGGCGAATGACGGCCTGCCTGCCTGCCCGCAGTGTGTCGGGAAGCGCTGTTCGCCGTTTGGCCTCTCTCTTTAATCCGGCCTTGCTTTTGTTTCGTTTTTGTTTTGTTTTTGTTTTTTTGTGTTTTTGAATTGTTGCTGCCATTGGGTATCTCTCATTGATACATTGCTAGTGCTGAGCTCGTGTCATTCACTCGGTCTTGCTCGCATGCTCACAGATCGCCGCATGAAAGTACAAGCCGCTTTGATTTTGCTCCTGGCGGCGGTTGCCGTTATCGCACCCTTGCAATGCATCGACGCCACCGCTTGTGGCAACACCAATACACAAACTGGTGTCTGCGACTGCTCCTCCGGCAACGTCATGACCTGTACTGGAATCTCCAGCATGCTTACAAGCAACATTCCGACAGGCACGACTCAAATTAGGATGTATGTTTGTTTCCGTTCGCTGCGGCGCGTTTCGCGGAATGATTAGCTGTGGTGCTGCTACATTGTCTCATTGTTGCGCCCCATTGTAGCACTGATTGCGCAAGCAGCAGCACTTTGACGATGAGCTCGACCTCGTTTTCCGGTCTTAATTCTTTGACAAGCATGTAATGACCGTACTGTTTAGATGTTCCATTTTGCCTGCATGTTGAGCTATTTTTTAGTTTCGTGTCCTGACGGTGACGGCTTGGGCACCTTACATAGCTACATCAAGAATTGCATTGTGGTGCCTGCGGTAGGAATGATTTCCAACCTCCCTGCCCTTGCCTCCATGTAAGCCCCAAGCTTTCATGCAATAGTTGCAACATCGCCTCATCAGCGCCATCGACTTACGTTGGTTGCAACATGATTGAATGTTTGCAGCTCGATCCAATCGGCATCAATCACCTCGTTCCCTTCCGGGTCATTTTCCAATCTTCCGGTGCTGCAAACTTTGTAAGCAATGTCCTGAGCAGCTCCATATATGCAAGAAGTTGACAACTTGTGTGCCACATGAAACTCATAAAGATTGCTCCCATCTTTGCCAACTTGATCTGCCTGCATTCAGAGCCCTTGGCTTCAACCAGCTCACTGTCGTTCCATCTGATGTGTTCACGCTGACGTCGTTGCGAACATTTCAGCTCAGGGACCAAAACAACGTGGGAACCACTGTCTTCACGCCGTTTTCCCTTGCTTCGTCGAGCATGTTCTCAAGTTTGCAGCAGCTTATTACCATGTGAGTTTCACTGCCATCTGATGCGATACACGTCCTTGAAGTCTTTCAATCCAGAATTAGCCTCACGTATTCGCCCCTGGCTCATTTGCGTGCTCTCACAGTGACCTCTCCTCCTCTGGACTCACTTCAATTCCCGCCAATGCGTTCAGCAACATCCCACAGCTCAAGTATCTGTAAGACACGAGCCTAACACGATGGTGTCTCTCGTTTTCTTTTTATGCTCACCGACATTGTCTGTTCCAGGACGCTGGTCGGTTGCACGCTTTGCCAGCTCACCATTGAGCCGAACGCCTTTTCCAGCCTTCCGAACCTCAACAATTTGTAAGCCCGCGACATTTCATGGGTGATACAAACTGGCAGAAGACTTATGATGTTTGTTTGACGCATTTTTAGAGATCTTCGCTATAACAAGTTGACTTTGATTCCAAGTGGCGTGTTCACCAATCTGCCGTCGCTTTTCATGCTGTACTATGCTGCTTCACACAATGAAACGGGTCGGATAGAGAGCGATCTTCTCTGTGGGCTTGGTTTCTGACTTTTTCCGACGCGGTCGTGGTTGGTTCTAGGTACCTCTCAAACAACCAGATTACAACGATCGGCGCTGATTGGAGCGGTTTGCCAACATTGGCTTTGCTGTAGGTTCATCTGACTGTGGAGTTGTTTTCAATCTTCTGATCCTCATTTCACTTGGCTTTGCGTTTGCTCCTTTCTTGGTTTAGAGACTTAACAGTCAACAACCTGACTTCGCTCCCTGCCAGTTGGCTGGTGTCCTTCCCGGCTCTGGTTAATCTGTAAGTGTTCATGTCGTGACCTTTATGGAATTTTCTTGTCAAGTGCTCAAGTGTTCAGGTGTAAAAAATTCCATTCTCATCTGCTCGCGTATTTGAATCAACAGGCAGCTGACTCAAAACAAATTCACAAGCGTCCCGGCGAGTGCCTTCGGCATGCAAACGACTCTGTCTATGACAACGCTGTAAGTGCTCTTTTTGCAGGGCGTGGACAGGTTGGGAACCAACTGTCAAGCTCACCATCAAGCACGCCGACACAGAGACATGGTCGGCAACAACTTGGCGCGTATTGATGCGAACGACTTTCCTTCCAGTCTGCGCTTTCTGCAGTCTCTGTATGTTGTTGACACGACCGTTCTTGGGGAAATCTTGATTGTCGTGCATGACTGATGGCGTTTTACACGACATGCTTGTCTGGCAGATACTTGAACGGGAACACCATCACGAGCATTGCTGCTAGCGCATTCTCACAGTTGACCAGCCTCACAACACTGTAATGATGGCACTTTGAACGATACTATGACATGGTTTGGCCATCTTCCGTTTCTAACCAGCGCACGCCGTTCCTTCAAAGACGACTCTCGGGCAACTCTCTGACCACATTACCTCCTGGTCTCGCCCAAGGTCTCAGCCTGCTCACCTCGGTTACTCTCAATTCCAACAGCTTTGCTGTCGTCCCTCCCAGCACTTATGGAACGCTGGCATCGCTTTCAGGTGAGTATTTTGGCTTTCCTGTTACATGCAATGTGCGTTGTGAGTGCTTACTAGTTTCCCCGCATGCAGTCTGCCATTATGCATGCGCCACGTGCTTTGGTGCTGGATCGAGCTCGTGCTGCGCTGAGGGCTGTCTAACTTGCTCGTCTGGAGCCACGTGCACGCTATGCTATGCTGGATACACAATGCTGCCTGGAGGTTTGTGCATTTCTCCTGCGCGGGTTGCCGCCACCGCTGCTTCTGCCTCGATCGCATCCGACGCCTCTGCCGCTTCTGTCGCGTATGTCGCATCGACCGATTCCGCGGCGTCAGCGGCTGTTCAATCTGCGACTTCGGCCGCTTCAGCCGCGTCAGTCGCTTCGATTCGCTCGATCGAGTCGGCTTCTTCTGCCGCCTCGGCTCAGTCAGTCGAGTCGGTCGCCTCCATTCAGTCAGTTGCATCGGTTGCCGTTGCCCACGCTGCCGAGTCGGCCGCTTCCGTCGCGTCGATTGAGTCCGTGCAGTCCGCCGAGTCGGCCGCTTCCGTCGCGTCGATCCAGTCCGTGCAGTCCGCCGAGTCGGCCGCTTCCGTCGCGTCGATCCAGTCCGTGCAGTCTGTCCAGTCTGTCCAGTCACTCGCGTCTATTGCATCTGTCCAGTCTGTCGAGTCTGCTGCCTCTGCGGCCTCGGTCCATTCAATTGCATCAGTTTCTTCCGTGTCGGCAGCCTCTGTGCAGTCTATCGAGTCTGTTGCAGCGAGACCGTCCGTCGAGTCTGTCGCTTCCGTCCACTCTGTGTCAGCGGCCTCCGCGTCTTCAGTTTCTGCTTCGCTGGTTGCCACCGCAAACTCCCAAACCGATTCGGGTTCGTCCTTGTTGCCGATTGCTCTTGGCGCTGGCATCGGTGGCCTCCTGCTTCTCATCGTGATTCTGCTGCTGGTCCGCCGCAGCCGCAGTCGCAAAGACAGCTTTAAGCGCAACTCGCTCGAAAGCATTAACAGCAAGTCGGACATCGTACCGCGGGACTCGACGACAACTGAACTGTACCAGAACAGCTTGACAAAGGGGAAAGTCGACACTTCCATCTATGACGACGTCAGCAACAACTATGACCAGCTGACCAACCGCAACTACGACCAGCTGACCAACCGCGCCAATCCGAGTGAGGTGCAGTACACGTACGCCGACCCGGCAGCTGGCAACGTCCGAAAGCTTGGCGCCTCGAGCCAAACGCCATACAGCGAAGTCAAAACCGCCAACCTGTCGAACGAGGTGCTGTACGACAGCATGAAGGTGACATATGCCAACTCGTAACAGTACTTTCAACTGTGCTGTGACTGCTTTGCTCTGTTCGAACTGCGACCGTGGCTGCTCGGTTTGGCCGTGCAGCTCAAGTGTTTTTGAGAGTTTTTGAGTGTTTTGTTTTTTTTCAATTGTTGGGGGTGTTATGGAGTTATTCAAGTGTTAAGGAATTGTTGCCGGTTTTGGGTTTTGTTGTTGATGCCATTGGCATGGCTGCGTCGTGCAGTCCTGCTTTCATCACCAATACAGTGTTCTGAGTTCGATCTGTTCTCTCTGTATGAGAGCTTGAGATAGATGCCATGGTTGCGGCTGAGCGACGTGCGCTGAACTCGTTCATGTTGATCTTGAGCGCAAGTAATGAGCTCCTGCACAGTAGAGTTGTGTGACAACCATATCTGGTTGCCTCAGCTTCTTTTCTATTTTGTTGCATTCGCCTGATAGTATTTTGTTTTTTAATTGAGGGCTGGCACAGCTGGAGGCAATGAAACTGAGCAGCGTTCAAATATCATAAACTTTCCATTCCTTTTCAGTGCCGTGCAGCGCGTAACGCCCAAATCCTGTACACAGCGCCGTCCAGTAACTACTTTCCCAAAAAAAAAAAAAAAAAAAAAAAAAAAAAAAAAAAAAAAAAAAAAAAAAGGTCGATCGACATGCACTAGTACAGTATGAGGTGCGAAACTATATTGGACACAAACACAATGCTCAGCTCGCCATGGCCACGAGTTCACTCACAGCAGTTGGCATCCATCGCCCGCCATCGCTGACAAAAACAACTGCTCGGTCAATGTAGCAGAGCGCGCGGCCAAACTGGTACACTTGGTTGCCGTCTTGGCGCCGACCTTGGGCTGGCATGAAGAGCAGCCCATGCTGAGCTGCCAGCGACTCGAGCAAGTCCCTGAAACTGGCCTCTTGAGAAGCCAAGGTGGAGTAGGCAGGCGCGGTCATTTTCCGCTTCTGTTCGAGCTGTTGCTGTTGTTGGGCCATTCTGGCGCGTGCCTGCGCCGCCTGTGCTGGCGCTGGACGCGATGGATCAATCTTGTGGTTGACGGCATCAAGCGCCACTGTAAGCTGAGCGGAAATGGCTGGGTGATCCCGAATGGCCTTCGGAAGCAGAGCGCGCCACCCCAGATACCATTCTGCAATCTCGTCGTAATTGCCGTCGCTTGCGAGCCACGCGGTCAGAGCCTGGTGCCAGCGCGGGAAGAGCTCGCGCTCAAGCACCCCAACGAGCGGCTCGAGGTTGCCATGGAAAGCATCGACCCAGCGTGCCAGCCACACGACAGGCTCAACCGTGCGCTGGTTGGCCGGATCGACCGGCATCTCTCGGATGGCCTGGGAGAGCTTGGGCACGATGGAACGGATGAGGAAAACGCCAAAGTCGCCGGCGGGCATGACCGTCCGCCACGGAGAAAGGACGGCCAGGGCGGATTCGTCATCAGGAGTCCACTCAGCCAGCGCATTAGAAAGTTTGAATCGGATGGTGCGCAGAGCAACGCCGAGACGACCCATGCCCAAGAGAGGTAGAAAAGGAAAGAGCCAGGAATGGATGGGCACAGTGTCGCGCACCGGGTTCCAGTTTTCTACGTCGGCAATCAACCGAGGAACAAGGAGCTGATCGCAGAGATTCTCTCCAATCCATTCGGGTATTAAATCACTCCAAGCAGTCAGGGCGCGGACAAGGCGCTCAGTGTGCTCGAGCGATGATGTTCGTGGAGACCAGCGCATTAAGGACGTTCGCAAGTGCGGCACCCACACCTCCCACATGAGTCGATCGTAAGGCGTGACTTGTTGTTGATGTTGTTGCTGCTGCTGCTGCTGCTGCGACTGCTGTGCTGACGAGTGACTGCGTCCAAATAATGACTGTTCAACGGCATCCAAATCTGAACTGCTGGACGGGCGAGTTGGGGGAAGATTCAAGAGCTGCTTCCAGCTCCGCACCAAATCAACGCCATACGAGGAAGAAGTTGGGTCGGTGTCGGAAGAGAGGCTGCTGTCGGCATTCTTGACCGCATCGTCTCCGAAAAGCCGCCAATCGTTCAAGATGGCGGAGACTGCCGGGGTGGCGTACGACAGCGCAATGCGGGCGAGATTGAAGAGGCGGTATTCCTCAGGGAAGGAATCGCGCAGCATGTGAAAGACAGACAAGACCAGATTGGTTGTAGCTGGACCCTTTGAGCCGGCAAACGCCTCCAGAACCGAGCCATTGTTGGAGACGGACGACAGGGTGTTCACGCGCGCATGACACCGGGCGAGAATCTCGCTAATCTCCCGCACGCGCTCCATGGTGTGCTGGTCCTCGGCGTGCAGCGCAGCCAGTGACTTGTGCTCTTGTGCGAGTCGATGCAAGTGAGCCTGCTCCATGGGAACTTTGGAAGCAAACGATTCGAGCTCGGTCGCAAACGTGTCCACCATCGTCTTTATGTTGTACTGCAGTTCGGGCATCTGGCCGGACAGCGATGGCGCGCCGTCAGCGCCATACTCGGACGTCTGCATCTGGCCTTGAGCCAAGTTGGTCAGAACAACCGGTTGAGCGCCACGCAAGTCCACAATAACCTGCTGTTGTTGTTGTTGTTGCTGCTGCTGCTGTGATCCGGATCCGGCATAGTTGGCAATGATTTGCGTCGCAGTGCGCGGCGGCATGGACTGTCGTTGAGCTCCTTTTTTCCAGTGGGGTTCGGCAGGTCGGCGCTGTTTGCGTGATCGGGGTTGCTCCCCGCGCTCCTCTGCGTCCTCAAACTCTGCTTCCTGCGCAAGCATCTCGCGAGTTGCGGCAGATATTTCATCGTCTTCTTCAGCGGGACGCGAGCCTGCGCGCTTGCCTTTCGAGGAACGAGCGGAATCGTCGTCGGATTCCGAGTCTGCTCCTGGCTGGCCGCGCATTTTGGCACGTCGCTTCTCTTCCTCCCGCTGCTGGTCGGACAGCTCTGGCAGAAAACCGAGACCGAGGGTCTTGCCCTGGCGCTTTTGCACGTCCAAAGGCACCGCCATGCCTTCACCCGCGTTTCCGAGGCCTGCGCCCTCCACGTAGCCGTACTTTTTCAGCAATTTGCTGCCGATACCCTTGGTGAACTTTTCCCAAGTGGCGATCTGCGGCTGCGCATTGTCCTTCTTGCCTTTGGACGCCGACGCGGACGCCGACGACGACGACGACGACGAGCCGAGTCCAGCGGGCGCTCCAAATCCGAGTCCGCCCCGCATTGCTCCTGCAGATGGAGCCGCGTGCGTCCTCACTACCGGATCCGCACTTGAAGAAGCAGCTCCAGCAGTGCCACCGGACGTCCAACCGGCCGCAGCACCTGGTTTGGCTCCGAATGCATTGAAGCCAAGTCCCAGTCCAGCGCGACCATTTCCAGCATCGTCGTCGTCCTCGTCGTCCTCGCCGTCGTCCTCACCGTCGTCTCGACTTGTCTTGTTGGTCTGAAGCGCTCCACGCACATACGTCGTCCTGCCAAGTGAGAGCGGCGCGTCGTCGTCGTCGTCGTCGTCGTCGTCCTTGAAACGTCCACCAGCCCGGTGTCGACTCGTGCGACTGCCCAGCCGAGGCCGCGCGTACCCGTCAAACCCAAGATCGCCATCAAAGTCGTTGTCGCCGTCCTCGTTCTGGTCGTTGTCGCTGTCGTCGACGTCGCTGTCCTCGACCAGTCCGCCTCGCTTCTTCTTCTTCTTCTTGCTGGTTTGGCCATCATCACCATCGTTGTTGTCGTTGTCGTCGTCGTCGTCTGCAAATACGCCCAGCATGGCCTGCTCCTTGCTGAATCCGCGGTGGCGGGGGCGGTGTTGGCGACCACTGCTGCCAGCCAAGTCAGCGTCTGAGAGGCCAAACGAGACCATGTTTGGCTGATCGTCGTCGTCCATCATCGTAAGTCTTGATAGAGCGTATGTGTGTATGTGTGTGACTCAGGACGCCTTGCGTTTATGTGTTTGTTTCTTTGCTTGGACGATGTTTAACAGGCCAAAAAAAAAAAAAAAAAAAAAAGCTCAGAAGGCACGCAAAGTTTGAGACTGAGCAGCACAACAATGTACAATTACATCCATGTACGCGGTCGTGTCGGAAGCAGGCGCGACTACAACATTCGTGTACGTGGTCGTGTCGCCAGCCGGCAGGGCTGTTTTAGTGGAGATCGGGAGCGTGGCTTCCGCGTACACTGGTCCATCGGTGGGCAGAGGACCATCGCCGTTCGCGTAAATGACGGCGGATGACGGAGCGTGAGGGTTGAAGATGGGATTGGCGACATGAGAAGATGTCGGAGGAACAAGAACGTCATACGAAGCAGCTTCGGCTGCCTTCAGCAAGTGAGCGCTCGTGAGAACCATCCCAATAGTGTTGGCCTCTTCAGGTCCCTTCCGAATGGGCTTGGCAGAGCGGCGACGGCGTGCCACGACAATTGCGAGAATCAGCAACAAGAGCAGCACCAGCGAACCCAACACGGCGCCAATGATGATCGGGGTGGATGAACTGCTTTCGTCCCCCTGGCCAGCGGCGATAGACGCTGCAGACGTTGCCCAGGCAAAACTCGCACTGGATGCGGATGCTGCGTTTTCAGAGGCGACAGAAGCTGCCGAAGCGACAGCCGTGGAAGCACTACTGGCAGCCGAGGCTGACGCGATCGACGCGACAGTTGCAGCGGAGGCGAGAGTTGCGGCCGAGACGACAGCGGCAGCCGAGGCAGTTGCAACGGAAGCGATAGAAGCAACGGAGACAGTTGCAGCGGAGGCGATAGACACGGCGGAGGCAGTTGCAACGGAAGCAATAGACACGGCGGAGGCAGTTGCAGCAGAGGCAGTTGCAGCAGTTGCAGCAGAGGCAGTTGCAGCAGAGGCAGTTGCAGCGGTGGCGACAGAGGCGGCCGATGTTGATGCAACAAAGGCTGCAGATGCGATCGAGGCAGAGGCCAGCGAAGCGCCAGACGCAGACACTGTCGATGCGGCAGAGGCCAACGAAGCGCTGGACGCAGCGATGGTAGATTTGGCAGACGCGGTGGATGCCGAAATTGCGGACGGAGGCAAGCAGAATTGCCCCTGAGAGACATATCCGTTGTAGCAAGATGTGCACTGATTGGTGCTCGTGCAAGTCAGGCAGCCTTCGCCGCAGCATCGAGCGGGGCCAGCGCCCCAACACGTCGCGCAAGAGTAGTAACAGGCTGAAAAGAAAAAAAGGTCCAAAAGGTTAGTTCTGAGGCTCGCATCATGCCCCGCGTTCGCCAAGCAACGTGGACTCACCAACTGGAGTCGTAGTGGAGCCATATGTGCTGGGAGGCACCACCGTGAACGGGTTTGAGCCCAAGCGTACATCTTGAAGAGTAGCAATCCATTGAAACAACCCCGGAGGCAACGTGGTTGCGCTATTGGTGAACAGATACCTGCTCGAGAGAAGAGGGCTTGTGAGACCATCTGCATGAACAATGGGTTCTCAAAGAAGGAGTCTGCAACAATGCCTTACAGGTCAGTGAGCGACTGCAGACCCGAAAAGACTCCGGCAGGAAACGAGGTAATCCCATTTCTACTCAGATCCCTGCGGTCGGTTTATCAAAAGGTGAGTGACGACAGAATCGCCGATTCCCGTTGCAACAGTATGAGCACGCTAAACACTTGCAGTTGCAGCAGGGAGGGGAGATTCGTGAAGGCTTGTACGTGGACATTGGTGATCGAGTTTTGAGCCAAGTTCCTGTGCAAAAATGTAAACACAGTACATGATAAATGGCGATCAACATCGGTCACGAGCCTCCCTTGGCTGCAATCTTACAGGTACTTCAGCTGAGGCATGTTGGTGATCTCGACAGAACCGATACTAGAGATGCTGGAATACGCGAAAGTCCTGTGATCGGCGAATCAAGTCAATGTCAACACTCTCGGTAATTCATCCTGCGAATCGGGAGGATCTCGTACACATTTTGAAGTTGAGGTCGGTAGCTAATCAAGTTGGGTGGAATTGTGAGAAGTCCAGTGTAGGACAAATCCCTGCGCGTAGTCATCCAACCGCTCGAGGGTCAGTCACAGTTCGTGCACTCGTCGTTCGACAACCATCGGTCCCTACAGTAGCTGCAGGTTGTTTTGATTCTCGAGAAGACTTTGAAATGTCACGAATCCGCTCGGGTATTCCACGTATGTAAAGGGAAGTTCGAGAAGCGCTGGATTCTCGGACAGGACGCTTCACAGGATCACACAGGCCATCGAAATTTAGAAACGGCCAAGCATGGCGAGATGAGGACAAGACTGGCTCAAAGGTCCACTTACAGCTGCTGCAGAAGCGGGTTGTTTTGAAATGCAAAAACATTAATCGAGTTGAGGTTTGGGCTCGAAATTTGTCTGCCGAGATTGGAGTCGATTTGTTGCAGGTGAGACAGAGAACGCTCACGGTCAGCAACAAGCTACACATGAGACGCATGTCCTGACAGAGTTCTGAGGTTTGTCATTGTTGCGAGCAACGAGGGCCCGACGCTCGAGATCCGGCTTTTCTGGAGGTTTCTGCGATATAGAAATGAGCTCATTCCTTGACGCGGCAGAATTGAAATGCATCAAGCACAAAACTCAAACCTACAAGCTTTGCAGGCCTGTTAAAGGTGCGAAGGCGTTGGTTCCGATGTTGGCAATGTGAGAGTCGTACAATGACCTGGCTTTCGAAAATCTCTCCTGTGGTAAGCGTCTGCTGTTTCAACGATTCATCGAACTTTCTTTGCTGCGCTGGGCACTTACAGAGTAGTCAGCGTCGAAGGAGCGCCCGAAAACACATTCGGACCGATGGAATTAATTCCAGTTGTTTCAATCACGCTAACAAAACAAAGCAGAAATCCAGTCTCAGTCATGAGACAACTATCCTCGGGAATAAACCAGTGCAGCCGTATTGCTGATCTTACAGTCGGGAGACGGAAGGCATGTTTACCAAAAAGGAGTTTGGCAACGCGGTCAGGCTGGGGAGGTTGCGCAGTTCACTAATAGAAAATTGAGCAGATAACAAGTGAGCTCGGACAAGGACGTGTCCAAATTGAGTGCCCACAAATTGGCTGAACTAAAAAGCTTACAGAACGGCCAAGTCAGTCAAACCACTGAAAACGGAGTTTACTAGGGATGTGATTGATAAATCCTTCACGGTGCTGGTAATGCGTGATTCGGATTTGGAAACGAAGATGGGAGGGGGCGGTCAGCAAGCAATTCTTTTCGTGACCTTGAATTGAACAAGTCGGGTCAACTTACATGCTGATCGCGTCGTTCGGAAACGATGTGGGCATCGTGGTGCTGCAAGTGACTATCGTATATGCAAAGGCGGGAGCGCAAGTGCACACGGCACCAGTGCCACAAGCGGGTGCCGCTTGAGCTTTCGACACAAACGCAAGCAGCGTGACTGCGGCCAGCGCAGTAATGACCAACGCGGTCAGTCGAGCGGGTTTCTTTCTCGCGTTGATTTTCATCTGAAATGTCAACAACTCGCAGTAGGTGAGCAACAGCAATGACAATTCCCAATGCATCGCAGGCATTCGCTGGCTCTGTGGTTACTTTCTGTGGGAACCCAAAAATGATCTACGCAAAAAATTTCTATTTTTGATTATTTGTTTGTTTGTGTGCTGTGGTTGTGTCTTCCTCCAACGCGTTCCCATACTCTCCATCCATCCACCTTGTGCCCCCCATCCGACTGCCTTCGCTCGGCTTACGCCTTTGGATGACATAGTGCGCGTTTTCACTACTGAACCAAGCGCACTGCACGCGTTGTTGGAAGGTGAGATTTGTTTGTTGCAAAAACATGATCTACCATGACCCGCCACAAACATTCAACAACGCAGCAACAATCGGCTCCCTCTCCGACTGTCTTCGCTTGGCTTCCGCCATTGGAGGACGTGGATGCGAATCGGCAACCAGTGCGCGTTTTCACCACTGAACCAAGCGCACGACACGCGTTGTTGGAAGGTGAGTTGAGATTGTTGTTGAGAGCGTTGAGATTGGTTGATTTGTTTTGTTGCAGTCACGTCCCCCCAAAAAAATGATCGACCAAAGAAGCAAATGACCCGCCACTCCCAGATCAAAACATTTAACAACCGGCCAGTCAACGCCATCACCGTGACCGAGGGTTGCCCATCCAGGACGTTCAGTACAAAGATCCGAATACTGTAGAACAGGACAAGCAACAATGGGGAAAGGGGGCGAAAATCGAGATTCGCTTGAAAATCACCCATGACCGATGACTTTATCCGCTGTCAAATGTCCCGCAGCCTCACCTCAATTCAAAAGAAAAGAAAAAACAAAACAAATAAAAAAGACAAAAGAAAAGACTGGATTTTTCAAATCATAGCAGATTCGTTAAATTGGCGGTAAATTGGTGATGAAGTTTGACGAGAACGACTTGCAAAATCGCCGAAAAACAGCTCGTTTGGGCGCTCGTGGATGACATGGAAGAAAAATCGAGCAGATATATCGTTGTATTCAATATGCAATACAATGAAGACCGAAGTCTCCGAAGAGTTCGCGGCACAGTACAAAGCGAATTTCGCCAAGAAACTACATTTCTCAGCTCCGTCTTCGCGCCAACCTCGAACTCACAGACACTCCAACAGAGAGTAGTCAGCAAAGGACTCGCGTTCCCCATGCAAATACGGCGGCAGGTGCTTGACAAACTTGTCCCAGTCCTTATCAGACGCGATCTTGAAGCTATGCAGGATCTGATTGGGTTGGTACTCTCCGCATCTGGTGATGAAACGCTCTGCTTCATGGTGACCGACAAGGACAGCCACCTCTTTGGCGTGGTCGTCATCATACTCACTCAGCTCGCCTCTTTCGAGCGGCCAACATAACAACTTGGAACCAGGGATGTGGCAGCCCTGGTAGTCGAAGATTGCGTGATGGAGTTCCTTGGGGAATTTCGCCAGAGTCGTCCGAATGCCGCGAAGTGGTCTGAACAAGATATCATATCCCATTTTTCAGTGCGGCTCTGATGAAAAAAATTAAGACTGGCTGCCGCGGCTAGTAACTGACGCCATTTTTGGCCATGCTGGTCTCGGCAATGACGCACACGACAAGTCAAACCTCAACCAGTCGCAAACTAGGTAAGCACGTCCACACTTTGTTTGAGTGTCCTGCATCTTCTAGTTGGCGAGCAGCGCCGCAATCGCGCACATCATGGCTGGAAGTCTCCGTTGGCACAGCGTCCGTCGTTTTCCCGCTCATCTGCGAGCGCCGCTGCGTCGTCGTAAAAGTTTCTTGAGGCCCAGCATCGACCTTGTTCTGCTCGATGCTCCAGGCTCCCCTCTGGGCAGCGAATTGGTCCATGAAGCGCCATGAAGCGTCAAGAAACGCCCAACCCGGCAAAGAACAAAAACAAGCTGTTGCAGACGGATGCCTCGCTTGCCAAAGCGATCTCTGGGAAGCTTGTCAACACTTGCACGCTGGCTCTCATTCAAGCTTGCGGACAACTTGGCCAAACACGGCGGAGAGCGAGCAGGCACCAAAACTCTTGTGCTCACCGCTTTCTCTAACCCTAACTCTCCCTGGCTCTTTTATTGCAACACTCAATCTCCAGCCACCTCCACCTTCCCAATTCAAACTGCAGTCCCTTTTCTTTGTTCTTTCAAATGAAATCTGCGCATGTCGCGTTGCTGAGCATCTCATCCTGCGCGATTCTGTGCCTGGTCGCGGTTCTCAAGCGCCGTCAATCCCGTGCAAGCCGCCGCCGGCGCGTCGAGAGCAATGCATTCTACCGCGCATCCCAGGCTGCGTTCGCGAGTCACGCCGCGGCAGCAAGCCAACCGGGGCCGCCGCCGATTGCCGACACGTCCGCGGACAACGCCGTCGTTCAAGCAAGTCCAAGCCTGCCGCTCCTGCTCCTGGACGAGCGCGAGCTGCCTCTGGCGAGTATTGCGACAGGAGTTGCCTTGGCCCAAGCAGACGGCCGGCTCAACCGCGCCGCTGTGGGCTTCTCGCGCTCGCCCTGCCACGAATGCCGGCTGCCCGCTTCGCTGCACTATGCACGACGCAAGCGATGGAATTACTGGGCAATCACAAGCGACACGCACTTGTTCTCAGTCACCATTGCGGACTTGGACTATGCCGGTTTGGTCTTTGCCTACTTGTACGATCGCACGACGCGACAGCTGTCCGAAGTCGAGCTCATTGCACCGCTCGCGGCAGGCATCCGGCTGGGCAATCGTGTGGAAAGCCCAGCACGATCGGCCAAGTCGCGATGGCTTGCTGCCGACTTTGTCAACCAGCTGGCATCGCGGCGAGACCGCATTGGCGACCGCGCATCCGTCACTCAGCTGCACACCCGCTGTAGTAGCTTCCCTTGGATGTCAGTGGACGACGCGCGCACCGACGCAGGCACTAACACTGCACAGACCCAGCAGCAGCAGCAGCAGCAGCAAGGGGCGACGACGGCTCGGCCACGGGTCAAGCATGCCCTAAGTTCAAAGCTCACCGTATCTTACCCAGCTCACCACGAAACCTTGAACGTCGTCATTCCTTGGAACGACGTCGAGTTCCACTTTACCGCCAAGCACACCTTGCTGCCTGTCGACGGGACGGTAGAGCTCACCGATGCGTCCGGCAGGGTGCAAAGCGTTCGCTTTTCGGCTGCCAACAACTCGTACGCAACGCTGGATTTCGGTCGCGGTCGTTTTCCGTACGACTCGACGTGGAATTGGGGCTCATTTTCCTCGTCTGTGGATCCGCAGTGCGTGTCTTACTTTGGTCCCAATGAAGCGGAAGGCCGCGCGTTCATTGCTAAACGCGTTGCAGCCGATCCTCGGCATCGCTTACCTCTCGCCATCAACATTGGAGCGCTGTGGACGTTTGGCACGGGGATGTGCGAAAATGCAGTGTGCATTGGCGGCAAACTGTTTAAAATCTCCGAAGAGTTGCGTTGGCAGTACAATCGGGACGACTGGATGCAACCCTGGCGGATGGACACCGTTTTGCACCCTCCCGTCGATGCCAGCACCGACCAACCCATTGCTCACGCCGATCAACGCATAGGACTGTCTCTGACCTTTACGCCAGAGTTTGACCGTAGCGCGACATCCGACCTCCTTGTCGTGCAGTCGGATGTTCACCAAATGCTGGGCACCTACTCTGGCACGATCGTTGTGCCGGCCTTGGGTCTGTGCATTCGCATCCGTGACCAGTTTGGCTGGGCAGAAGAGCATCAAGCCCGGTGGTGAAGCAGCCGCGGGGCGCTCTCCAAACTGGCACTCATTGTTTGATTTTCTCTCTCTTATCTGTTGAAAACATGTCTAGTACAACTCTCAAACAAATTGCACTGTTTCTTATGACTGCTTTTGTTTTTATTTTTGATAACACCACCAAACACGGCCATCTACGCGGTTTTTTTTTTTTTTTTTTTTGCTTGTTTTTTTGGCTTGTTTTGGTTTTAAAACTTTAGTTGTTCTTGCGGGTAAACTTTTCGCCAATAAAGGTGGCAGCGGCGCCGAGCTCCTCCTCGATGCGGAGAAGCTGGTTGTACTTGGCAAGACGCTCGGAGCGGCAGGGAGCACCAGTCTTGATCTGGCCAGTGCCGAGACCGACGACGAGGTCGGCAATGAAGGTGTCCTCCGTCTCACCGCTGCGGTGGCTGACCATGACCGTCCAGCCAGCGCTGTAGGCGAGCAGGCAGGCGTCAATGCTCTCAGAGATGGTGCCGATCTGGTTGACCTTGAGGAGCAGGCAGTTGCATGACTTTTGGTCGATGGCGGTGCGGATGCGCTTGGGGTTGGTGACGGTCAGATCGTCGCCGACAATCTGGGTCTGAACAGTGGGGAGGAAGCTCGACCAGGTCGCCCAGTCGTCCTCGGCGAAAACGTCCTCCATGGAAACGATGGGATAGGCCTGGAGGAAGTCGCGGTAGAGCTGACCGAGCTGCTCGCCAGAGAGCCACTTTGACTTGTCCGAGTTGGGGTTCTTAAAGTCGAGGTCGTACTTGCCCTCGTCGTTGTAAAACTCGGACGCGGCGCAGTCCATGCCAATCTTGACCTTGCCAGTGTAGCCAGCCTTCTCGATGGCGACAATGAGCAGGTCGAGGCCCTCGCGAGCGTCCTGAATGTTGGGGGCAAAGCCGCCCTCGTCGCCGACGTTGGTGGCGTCCTGGCCGTACTTTTCCTTGATGACGAGCTTCAGGTGCTGGTAGACCTCGGCGCCCATGCGCATGGCCTCGGTGAAGGACGAAGCACCAGTGGGCAGAATCATAAACTCCTGCATGGCGAGCTTGTTGCCAGCGTGGTCACCGCCGTTGATGACGTTGAAAGCGGGCACGGGCAGGACGAGCTCCTTGCGGCCGGCGAGGTCGGCAATGTGACGGTAGAGAGGCACGTCTGATGTAGGGTCAAAGCTGTGATTGTGAGTATTTTTTTTTCTTTTTGCCCGATTGTCGTTGACAAACGAAACAAAAAAAATCATTTCGATTGGTTGTTCGTACTCTTCTGGGCAGCGCCAGCCTTGGCGATGGCGAGCGAGATGCCGAGGAGGGCATTGGCGCCGAGCTTGGACTTGTTCTCGGTGCCGTCGAGCTTGAGGAGGAAGTCGTCGACAGCGCGCTGGTTGGCAACGTCGAGGTTGGCCGCAATGAGCGCAGGCGCAATGATCGTGTTAATGTTGTTGACGGCAGTGTTGACGCCCTTGCCCATCCACTTGGACTTGTCCTTGTCGCGGAGCTCGAGTGCCTCGTGCGCGCCAGTCGATGCGCCGGACGGCACCGCGACGCGGAACAGGCCTGCGCACACACACATATATAGAGAGAAAGAGAGGGAGAGGTTGGTTGAAGTGAGACGACTTGGTGCTTTTGTCAGAGCTGATGCTTTTCGATTGAGTTTTGAGTTGCGTTGAGTTGCGTTGAGTTGAGTTGAGTTGAGTGCTTGACTGTGACTGTGACTGTGACTGGAGCTCCATTGTGTTTGAGGTCGTGTGCTTCTTATTTTTCAAACCCTCTCACCATTTTGTTTGCCATCCTTTGCGTTTCGTTCTCTTTTGTTCTTTTCTTTCTTTTCTCGTCGCCGGTCGTCATTGCGTTTTAACCTTGCGTTTGTTTTGCTGCTGTCCCTGCGGCTGATGTGTGACCCTTTATCCATAGTGGTCCACACACACACAACTGTGACTGTGTGATGCGTGGCGTGTGGCCACGTCCAAAAATCACGCTCTTCTGCCTTTTTTTTTTTTTTTTTTTTTTTTTTTTTTTTTTGGGAAGGAGGCTTTCATTTGAAGAAGATGAAGAAGAAGAGAGGAGGCGGGGGGACGGTTGTGTGCGTATTCAACGGGTGAATGAATGGGAGATACAACGCGCTGGGAAATGGGGGGCTGGGGGTTCAGCAATGAAAGCGAGAAGAGAGGAAGAGCGAATGAGAAGCAGCGAGTTGGGAAATGGCCACAACAAGAACTTCACTCTTCCTACTCGTGTCTGTGCACACTCGTGGAAGCAACAGCTGGAAGATAGCAGGGGAGTAGGAGGGGGAGAGGAGAGAGGAGGAAGGAGCAATGGGTGCAGAGGAAGGACGGAAGTGGAAACGAACGAAGAAAAGGGAAACGATAAAACGATAAAACGATCAAACTCTTGCTTTGCGTCGACAGAACAGAGAGGACGCCTCAGTGGGATGGGCCGGGAGGCGGGGGGGGGGGGGGCCGATGAACATCATGCTACTGCAACACGTTACCCTTCTCGGTGGTCAGGTCAACCTCGACAGTCGGGTTGCCGCGGGAGTCGTAGATGGAGCGGGCGTGGATCTTGGTGATGGCCATGATTTTGGTTTTGGTGAGTTGCTTGATAAAAGAAGAGTGACTCGAACGTGAACAAATCGGGGAAGAAGAAAAAATCTTAGATCGATGAACAGTGTAACCCATTCAGTACAGTGATAGACTTGAATGCACTGCTTGATAGATTGGGGGACGAGGAACGAGATGTTGTACTGTGCAGCATGTGCACCCAACAAAAAATAAAAAAAAAAAGCAAGCCAAGTTGATCGTTGATCGCTAAACAATGCACCCCTGCCTACACTGCATAGGCTGGTCTTTGACACACTGTTTGATGAATGGGGAGGAGGCAAGACATTGTTTACTGTATCTACAGCTCCAAAACACCCACAAAAAACTTTTGACATCCCTTCCTTTTAAGCACAGGCGACTTGAACGGCGAGGCGCTTGTTCGTAACCTGCTCAAACAACACCTCAGCAAATGAGCAACACCCATCCCTCAAAACAAACGGCAAAACAGCTCGCAGCAAACTCACGTCGGGACAGGGATTGCCAAACATGGCGGCAGAAACGGGAATGGAGCACGCCTGCTTGCCGTGGCAGAGAGACAGGACAATCTCGGTCGAGTTGGAGGCGTGGCACGAGCCCTGTTGGTAGCTGCGGCAGCTGCCCATGGGCGTGCCGTAGGACGCAAAGTCGACACCGGCGATGGTTTGGTGCGTGCCGCAGCCAAGCACGACAGCAAGGTCGTCGGCAGGGTAGTCCTCGCCAACCACGCCGCACGAGACGTACTCTTCGCGCTCGACCAGGGCAATCTTGGAAGGGTTGCCGCCCATCTCCTCAAGCAGGACGAGCACATTGTTCTCGGCCTGGAGCCACTCGCGAGGAACATGGTAGTGCGTCTGGGAGGGCATGTTGCAGCCTTGCTTGCAGTGGGGCGCGTCGTAGGTGCCGCGGTAGTCGCAGACGTCGCAGGGCCAGTTGGTGGCCAGTATCGTGGGCCAGTAGCGACCGAGATTGTGGCCGTTGACCCAGACATAACCCTTGCCCATGCCGGTCAAGTCGAGCGCGAGTGGCGCCTGCGAGTCCCTCGGCACGTCAAACGAGCTCTTGTACCAGGTGAGCCCCGTGTTGAGCACGGCAGGGGTCGTCCAGGCCACCTTCTTGAGGTTTTCGGGCAAAAAGATGGCATTGCGTTCGCCAACAACGCCCGTTTGGTGCCACCAGCCGTTCTCGGTCAGGTTGACAGAGCCGAGGTAGACGCCGCCAAGCAGGCCGCAGTTGTACTCGGACAAGATGTCGCCGCCGTTGTCGAGACCCATGGTGAGCGAGAGAATGTCAATCGTGTTGGGCCCAGCGACCAGGCTGACGGTAGCGCTGACATTGCCGCTCCACGACACGGTCACAAACTTGCCGTTGACGTAGACGTAGGCCACGTCGGTGATTTGGGGCAGCGAGAGCTGGGCATAGGTCGCCGAGGACGAAACGTAGCTGGTCGAGTACCAGAGGTAGTCAGTGTGGTCCAGTGTCTGGTCGATTTGCTCTAGCGGGGTCTTGTTCCAGTACTTGGTCGCGGGTGCCTGGGGGCCAATGCTTGTCAGCACCACGAGGCAAAGGTGGCGAATGCGCCCACTTTGGCACGGTGCTCTGGCTTTTGGACGGAGCGGCGGAAGTCGGTCGCAGACTCGACGGCTTTCTCGTGCACAACAAGCGGCGTCATGCGGCGCACGTTGATGGGCGCGGCACACAGCAGTGTTGTAGATGGCAGTGACGCAGCCGTGCAGGACAGAGACCGACCACGCGGGCAATTCGTACGTGCGGCCGTTGAACTGGACCTCCACGTCGGTCTTGTTGTTGTTGTTGGAGAGGAAGGCGACGCAGCCAACAGAAGAGTTGTAGATGTGGGCCTCAAGGTTGGTGCCGAGCGAGATTGGCTTGGGAGCGGGCACAGCCATCATGATGGCCTCGTTGTCGTGCAGAACGGCGTGCATGGAGCCGAGATGCGAGTACTTTGGCTCGTTGGGCATGCCGTACTCGTCAAGCGAGGCGTCATAGTCATAGTTGGTGGTAATGAAGGGGCCGCCGGCAGTGCGCTCAAAGTTGGTGCCGCCGTGGTACATGTAGTAGTTCATGTACGAGCCGCCCTTGATGTAGTAGCGGGTGACAGCGTAGGCAACGTCCTGGGCCGGGCGGTGCGGGGTTGGGTCGCCCCACTTTTGGAACCAGCCGGGCCAGTTCTCCGTCCACATGGAAGGCTGGCCGGGGTGCGGCACAAAGTCGTCGCAATAGAAGGCGTTGCAGGTGGCAATGATGTTGGCCGGTGCATCCGGCTGCGAGCACATAATCCACTGGGCAGCGTCGGTGAGGTTGGCAGCGAGCTGGCCACACCACTCGACGTACTGCGGGCCGCCAGCGTAGCGCGACTCGGTGCCGCCGTACTCGTTCTCGATTTGCAAGAGAATGATCGGGCCACCCTGTCCGGCAAGCAGACGGTTGTCCTTGAGGATTTGCACAGTCTTGGTAATGTACTCGCCAGCGACCTGCAGCCAGGGCTGGTCGTAGTCGCGGAACATGATGTCGGGAATTTGGCGGAGCCACGCAGGCAGGCCGCCGTACGTCCACTCGGCGCAGACGAACGGGCCAATGCGGAAGTTGACATACAGCCCAGCCTCCTGGGCGAGCTGGACGAAACGGACATAGTCAAAGCGGTCGCTCATGACAAATTCGCCGGGCGTCGGGACGTTCGTGTTCCAAAAGAGGTAGGTCTGGATGACATCGATGCCGTTGGCCTTGGCGCGGGCAAACAGCTCGGGCCACATGTCTGGCGTTGATCGCGGGTAGTGGATGCTGCCCGACACGAGCAAGCGGCGTCGGCCATCAATCAGCAGCGCTCTGTTATTTGTGGTGAATCGGGAACAAAACAAGAAAAGGAGGGATCAGTTGAACAAATAAGGGGATCAGTTGAACAAAAATAGAAACAATAAGAAAGAGTGGCTGTTGTGATGTGGTTGAACGGACGACGCGCGTATCAGTGGCAGATAAGCACGCATTGAGAGAGACAAAGGCATGGTGCTGAGAACGTCGCGGGAGTGGCGAGGATGGACAACGGCGGGAAGGGAAGCGAGAGAAGCGCCAACACACGTCGCGGCCATCGCTCGCTCTGTGTGTGTGTCTCGCAGAGCTGCACTGGCTTCGAGCCATTCATTGTTACAAAGCGCAGTTGAATGGCCAGACGCACTCACAGCAGCAGCAGCAGCAGCAGCCGTCCCCAAACTCAAGCAAAGGAATGCCGATCAACCGGGTTGACATTTGTTAGAGATGATGATGAAGTGACATTTGTCAGGATTTTGACTCAGAGGCAGATAGCGAGGCAGAGAGCGATGGAAGTGTGTAGAGCGATGGAAGTGGACGTACCGGCTGTCGTAAGTGACGTTCATGGCGTAGGCCGAAGTCGCCATCACCGCAGCGAGAAGCAGCAGCAGCAGCGGCACATTCGCAGCAGAACGCATTTCAAGTGAAGAAGAAACAAAAACAAAAGATAAAGATAAAACAAGATGAACTGAACAAGAATCAAATCAGGAAGGCGCTTTTGGCTTTATTGGTGTGCGTGATGAGATGATCTCGACTGCAAGGTCATCGGTGTACGAGGGGGTGGAGAGCGAGCACGCAAGAAGCTGAGAGAAAGACGTAGGGCTCTGCGCAATTGAGCTACCCGCCAAAAAGTGAACCAGGGCTTGTTTTCGAGGTGCCTCCGGCGTCTCGATTGCAAGGATCATCGGTGTATAAACATGCAACGAGCAATACAACTCAACACTAGCGCGCGTGCATGGAAGAATGGCTCGACTCAATGCCATGTCACAAATCCAATCCAACCAAAAAAATGAATCAGTCCTTTTTTTTTTTTTTTTATTTCTTTCCGTCTTTCTTCGTTTTTACGTGAGTCGTGTTTTCATCGCTGGAGTTTGTCATTTGAGCCCTGACTCCCAGGCTTCACTTCACTGGGGGTCATCACTCTCTCTCTCTCTCTCCTCTCTTGTGCTCGCTCGGGCTGCTTTTGTCGATATCGTCTCGTATCGACTTTGACAAATCGTTCGTTCGTTCGTTCTCTTTGACCTTCCATTTGATTTATCTTTCTTTTTTTTTTTATTTCTTTTTTTTTTTTTTTTTTTTTTTGTTTCTTTTTTTTTTTCTTTTTTTTTCTTTTTTTTTCTTTTTTTTTTTTTTTTACTTTTACTTTGCCTTCTTTGCCTGCACTTTGGGTGATGTGGGCTCTCTTCACTCTTCCCCTTGACGCTCGTCTACCCCTCTTTCTCGAATGCTCATGCTTGGTGGGGGGTTGCTGTCGATTCAGCACAGAGGGAGGCCGAGAGTTGAGAGCATTCAGGCTGTACCAGCATTTATCTTTTTTTTTTTTTTTTCTCCAGCTGCCTTTGTTGCATCGCGCTGTTTGCTGCTGGACGCCTCCGACTTTGGCCCATCCTACAGAACACACACATACGCGCTTTGACGTTGTCGCTGCGTTTCCTGCGCCTGTGGCCCAGCGGTGTGTGTTCGTAGAGTGCTGATGTCCCCTTTTTTTTTTTTTTTTTTTTTTTTTTTTTTTTTTTTTTTTTTTTTTTTTTTTTTTTTTGGTAGCTCGACGCCCCTTTGATCGTTGCCCTTTCCTTCTCTTTGCTCGAGCCGAGTGCATTCGTTTCGACAGCTGGCTCGTCATCAGCGCACGACGCCTTTCATCAATGATCATCATCGTGTCTTGGGGCGTGAGACACAGAGAGCGAGGGTCAGTTCTTCTTGTGGCCCGGCAGTCTGCCACTGTTTCTCGCTCTCTCGGCCATGGCCGTTTCGGAACCCGCATTGAGACCGCGTCTGGTTTCTCAGCCATTCATCCCCTTCTACTCCTGTCGCTGGTTGTCGAGGTCGGAGCGCAAACGCAACAACAACAACAAAAGCGCCAGACCGCGATTTTTGCCTCGAGAACGGCTTGGCTGTTTCAACGAAGGGCACACATAGGTTGTTGGACTCATGTCCACTGAACAGCAAGCAAGCAAGCAGCAAGCAAGCAATATCACCACTTGTCAACTCATTTGCTTCAATCTCATGCTCTGCTCGCTCTGCCCTCCGTTGCTTCGGGCGTTTTCGGGAGCAGACGGCTTGGCTTTGGGTTCAACGTTGAAGAGGAAGGGGATTTATTTATTATTATTTTTTTTTATTTGATGTATTTATTTTGACAATATTCCCCTTCGATCACGTCTCTCATGCTTTTCTGCTTGTTTTAACCTCCGTTTGGCACTTCCTCCCGATGTTTGAAGTGTATCAAACTACTACAATGTTGATGCCCTGCAAATCCACGACACAACAGAAATCTCTCCACTGTTAAACTCACGCGTTGATTGGTTTGACCATTAATGTGACAGGTTTTTTTTTTATTTCCAACCGTCCTTCGCCAAGTCGTCGTGTGTGATCTCCATCTCGCTGCTGTAGATTGCATCTCGTTCAAATTCTCAACGCTGACACCGTAGTGCAAGGAGTCACCCTTGTCCAGCTGCTGTCGTCTCGCCTTCCATTGTTGAGTGTGCTCGTTTGGCGCTCTTCCGTGGCACCTTTCTCCTGAACACTTTGTCGCTTTTCGAACGCACTCTTGGTTTTTGGCAAAAACACCAAAAGACTCGCATACGGTCAAACACACCATGTCAACATCCCACAACTCGCCCTCCCGACCGGTTTCGGGGTCTGCGTCCGCGCCGTCGGTGGTGGGCGCCAGCAACCCATACTATCAGCCTCGCTCGGGCCTGGCTGATGGCATGGGTGTCATGGCACCAACACCCGTCGGCGGGCTTGCCGCAAGTCCGACTCCTTCCCGATCGGTCGACAACGCCTCGCGTGATCTCCACTCGCTCAGCCTCAATTCGTCGCCTGCACACGGAATTTCCACCCCGACTCGCGCACAAACCGCGGGAGGTGCTGTTGGTGGCCCCGGTGCGCGTGGCGGCGGCTCCCTGTCGATGCGCAAAGGACCCGGCAAGCTAAGTTTTGGCTCGCAACCCACCCCGCAGCAAGCCCAGCCCAACATCTTCAACTCTGAGCGCAATGCTCTGACGTTGCGTGCCGAGGACGAGCAAGTCACCATCCCGACCCAAACCGTCCATCTGCCGAACGGCACCGAGATTTCGCCCGAGTCGCTCAAGCAACTCGAGGAGATTGGTCGCGGTGCATACGGTGCCGTGCATCGCTCCATCTACGAGCCCACCAAAACCATTATTGCCGTCAAGTACATTCCCATGGACATTACCGAAGAGTCCAAAAAGCTCCAGCTCATTCGCGAGCTCAACGTCTTGCGCACCGCGACAGACGACACCGAGCCCTGCCCTTATATTGTCAAGTATTATGGAGCCTACTTCCGAGAAGTGCGTACTCGTGCTCGTAGAGATGTCATGTGGTGGTTGGTTGAGCACGCTCTCACATTTTGTTTTGGTTGGGTCGTTTTTTTCCCCCCCCCCTTTATTGCTGTTTCGTCGCCTTGCAGGGTGATATCTGCATTTGCATGGAGTTTATGGACGGCGGCTGCTTTGACGTCATCTACAAGAAGACGGGACCCATTCCCGAAAAGATTCTGGGCAAGATTTCGGTAGCTGTGGTGCACGGCCTGCACTACCTCAAGTCACGGTTACAAATCATCCACCGTGATGTTAAGCCTTCCAATATTCTTGTCGACTCGAGCGGCAAGATCAAGCTTTGCGACTTTGGCATCAGTGGTCGCCTCGAGAACTCGGTCGCCAAAACATATGTGGGGACAAACCACTACATGTCGCCCGAGCGAATTGCTCTAGCAGGACAGTATGACATTCGCTCGGATGTCTGGTCGCTTGGTATTGCTCTTGTGGAGCTTGCAACTGCAAAGTACGTCATACCACGGGGATGCTTGGTTGCTTTTGTTGTGGCATAAAAAAATTTGTTGTGATTCTCGTGCTGACTCTCGCGTTGACTCTCTATGACTTCAGGTACCCCTATCCGCCAGATGCTAGTATTTTTGGTATTTTGCGGCACATTGTCGACGGCCCTGCTCCGAGCGTGCCTGAAGGTCAATTCTCGCCCGAGTTTGTAGCCTTCCTTAGCAAGTGGTGAGTTTGTCTCGCTGTGAGTTCAAGCAAGACATATGGAGACGAATGGTGCTCTGACTTGTGTGTGTGTTCACGCCCCTGCAGCTTGCAGAAAGATCACGAGAAGCGCGCCAACTACGTGGAACTGCTGCAGACAGATTTTATCAAAAAGTACGAACAGGAGGAGGTGGACGTGGCTGGATGGGTTCAAGACGTCCAGTCCAAGATTGCCGTCATCCGCGCTGCCGAGCGAGTGGAGCATTCACACTTTCCTTCGCGACGATGATACTTCCGTCCCATCGAACGTTTATTTTAATGCTAATTTGCTGCGACCACCACCACCACCCCGTTGTTTCTTGATGATGGCGGTTGCTTGTTCGTCTGAATTGCCTTCTTCCTTGGCTGTGCTCACTCCCGCTGACGGAAGAGGCCTCTTGCTGATGGTCGACTTTGTGTGTTGTATTTTGTTTTGTTTTTTCTGTTTTTTCAGGCAACTTTTTTTTTTCATTTTGCGCACTGTGCATTCTGAGCTGTTTGTTGTGTCCTCGCGTGTGCGTGTCGCTTCTATAAACAAACACATAAACACATTCGACCCCATTCTGACTCGCTGAGCGCGCAGTCGTCTCCCTTTTTGAACGCTTTTTGCAGCGATGCTCGATGTCACATCCAGTCTCCGCCACCGCTTGCCAGTGTCCATGGCAATGGTGCGCCAATTATGTGGTGAACTCCAGGCAGCATTAGGCCTTCAGCCTCGTCGTGTTGCGCTGGGCGTGCACTTTGTAGGCGAAACACGCATGAAGGCGCTCGTCGCACAAGCACAAAGCCACGAGCTGGCGTCGGCTCAACCGCCACCCAGATCTGCACGCCCGACAGACATTCTTGCCTTTGGCAATCCGATGGATGTGGCTGCTGATGGACTGCACAAGCACCCGGCGTCATCTCTCGAGGAAATGAAGGTAACGGCTGCGGAGAGGGGTGTGGCGCCATCTCTGAGAAAATCTCGCTCATCCCAAAGAAAAATTACGGAACGCGCAGAAGTGCAACCTAGCTTGGAAATCTGCGTACGGCGACCCCGTGCGGGACATTGGAGAGCTCTTTCTCTGTCCTGCTGTGATTGAGCGCGATTGTCTCAAAGATCAAGTCACGTTCGAAGGCCGCCTGCCGGTATTACTTGCGCATGGGTTGTGTCACTTGTTAGGCCATGACCATGACACCATGCGCACATCTGCCCAGGTGAGTACAATTGTTTCGTTTCATAGTTTTTGCTTGACTCGAGGTCGAAGGTTACTCATTTTGAGCGCCGCTTGTACGTTGTGCAGATGTTTCAACTCGAGCAGCAACTCTTACAGGCTGTTTCTCCACACACGGGAAAGCTTCTCCAACCACTGGCACGCTACACAAACGAATCCGACCAGCTAGCCAAGCATTAAAGCGAGCAATTCAATAAAGTACTGTAGAAGATGCGCCACGACTGTGCAGTGCCAACAATGACAAACGGAGTCGAGGAACGATCAGGAATACAAGTGCAATGGGTTGGATCGTGTGTGTTGCTTGGAGAGTAGCGCTTGAATTTTCTCAGAATCGGAGCTCAGTTTTTGTTTGTTTGTTTGTTTGTCTTTCGCATTTTCACAATGCTGTCGTATCAGAGTATGACTGACCTACAGCGCAAGTTGTATGACCAAGTCAAGAGTGCAAATGTATATCATAACCTCCTGTAAGAGAAAGCCCAAGTGTATTGGAGACAGCGGGACAGCGCGTGAGTGCTGATGATGGAGTGGACGAACAGGCGGTGGGACCGACTTGGCGTTGCTGACGTGCAGGCCGTTGCTGAGGGACTCAAAGTGAACACGACGTTGACTGTGCTCGAGTAAGCTGAATCTCGCTTATGCTGAAACATTTGAGTCGGTGGCTTCAGCGGAGGCGGGAGGAGGGGGGGGGCAAATTGAGAATGGCTCACTGATGGAGGGATGGATAGCATGAAGGAGCATCATCTTGATGATGATGGTGCCAAGGCATTCGCTGAGGCACTCGAAGTGAACACGACGCTGACTGAGCTACGGTAACGCACTCACTTTGACTGATGCATTTGAGTGGGTGATTTCAGAAGAGTGCGATTTATTGATGGAGGGATTATGACAGTCTGAACCAGAATCAGATTGGCGACGCTGGAGCGAAGGCAATTGCTGAGGCACTCAAAGTGAACACGACGCTGACTAAGCTCAAGTAAGGCATCTCACTCTTGTTGGTACATGTGGGTGGGTGATTCAGACGAGTGCTCACTGATGGAGGGGATGGTCAGTCTGTGGGCGAATCAGATTGGCGAGGCTGGAGCGCAGGCGATTGCTGAGGCACTCAAAGTGAACGCGACGCTGCGCACGCTCTAGTAAGGCATCTCACTCTTGTTGGTGAGGGGGAGTGGGTGTTTCAGCAGAGTGGTTTTTGATGAAGGGCATGGTCAGTTTGGATAGGAACCAGATTGGCGATGCTGGAGCAAAAGCGATTGCTGAGGCACTCAAAGTGAACGCAACGCTGCGCACGCTCTAGTAAGGCAATTCACTCTTGTTGGTGCATGAGAGTGGGTGTTTCAGCAGAGTGGTTTCTGATGAAGGGCATGGTCAGTTTGGATAGGAATCAGTTTGGCGATGCTGGAGTGCAGGCCATTGCTAAGGCACTCCAAGTGAACAAGACGCTGTCGTGGCTCAAGTAAGGCATCTCACTGTTACTGAAGCATCCACGAGTGGGTCATTCGGCAGAGGGAATTCAGTGCTCACTGATAGAGGTGATGGGCAGTTTGATTGATAAGCAGATTGGCGATGCCGGAGCACAAGCGTTAGCTGAGGCGCTCAGAGTGAACGCGACTCTGGCTGTGCTCTAGTAAGGCATCTCACTCTAACTGATGCATGTGAGTGGCTGGTTTCAGCACGGCATTGAGAGTGCTCACTGATGGAGGGGACGGACAGTCTGCGTGAGAATCGGCTTGGCGATGCTGGCGCGCAGGCGATTGCTGAGGCACTCAAATCGAACACGATGCTGACTTTTCTCGAGTAAGGCACCTCACTCTTGTTGGTGCATGAGAGTGGGTGTTTCAGAAGAGTGCTTCCTGATGAAGGGCATGGTCAGTCTGTGGGCGAATCAGATTGGCGAGGCTGGAGCGCAGGCCATCGCTGAGGCACTCAAGATGAACTCGACGCTGATCCAGCTTTTGTAAGGCATCTCACATTGACTGATGCATGAGAGTGGTTGGTTTCAGCACGAGTGCTCACTGATAAAGGGGACGGACAGTCTGAATGGGAATCAGATTGGTGATTTTGGAGCGAAGGCCTTTGCTGAGGCACTCAGAGTCAACATGACAGTGCAAAGACTCGAGTAAGTTGCGGTGCGCTTGACCCGCTTTGGATATTGAGCCAGGTCAACAAGGCCTTGTTGCGTTGCCGTCCTCACTCTCGTTGAGCGACAGTCTAACGGGTAATGGCATTGGCAATCTTGGTGCTCAAGCGATCGATGAGGCACGGCAAGTGAACGACAAATGTCGCGTTAAGTAAGTTGCCCTTGTCAAAAGGAGCCGAGTGATGCTCATGGACTGTTTCTTCCCCCCCCCCCCAACCTATGGATTTGCGCTGGTGACTGCTAATTCATCTTGCTTGTTCTTCGCGCAGCATCGACAGCCAGATCAACCCTCTTACACTCTCCTTGCGTCCACGGTTGGCAACTGCTAAAGACATTCAGGCCGTGTTTCACCTGCTGACAGGCGGACCGGAGCTGGAAGCTCAACCCGCGTCTCTACCGGTATTACCATTCGAGATTGCGGAGCCCATTATGGACGAAGCGCATTACTGGCAAGGCGTGCAAGATACCAAACAAGTGCACTTTGCTGACATTTTCCCCAAGCATCCGCTGAAAGTCACTGTGCCTCGAAGCATCGATGAAAATCCGATCCAAGTGAAAGCAATTCGCGTGATTCGTGAATGGAAGAAGCCTTCCCACAATGCGGGTGACAGCGTTGTTGTGCTGACTGTCCAAGATGAGCAAGGTGCAGTTCGATTCGAATGTGATGCGAACCTGACTTTGGTCGATTCCACCTTGGAGTGTGTGACGATTTGGCGTGCGGATCATCACATCATCCGAGAGATGCGCGAGGGTTGGAAAGTTCAACTTGTGCCCAGCGAGTTTTCCAAACAGTTCTTGTTTGAATCTCTTTATGTCGGATATGTCTAGTGGCAATCTCCAGTTCAAATAAACAAGCCAAGTTCTCAACCATTGTAACAATACGGCTTTAGTTACAGGTCCACCTCGGGCCAACAACCTGAGAGATGAATCTTGGCACTTGAGCGATTGGCTGGAGAGATAAGTTTGTGAACACTTCAGTCTACATTAACTTGCGCTTGTCATCAGGGATCCAAAGTGGCAAGGAGGCGACCAAAGGATGGGCGATCGTCAGGTGCATCTTCAAGGCACTCGAGTGCCAGCGTGACAAGCTCGCTGAGGCTCTGACTCTCTGCCTCGGTTGGTTTGAGTGCCGAGTCCAGCATGCCATTGATGGTTTGGTTTTTCACAGCTTTTCGCACCTCCGACCTGAGCCGAGTGCCTGGTTTTGCTGCAGTTGTCAATTCCAGCAGAATCATGCCAAAGGCGTAGACATCCGTCTTGACGGTCATGCGGCCTTCTTCGAGGAACTCGGGACACATGTAAGCAATGGTTCCTTGAACAGTCTGCGTGCGCAGGTAGCTCTTATCATCGAGGTGTTTGGCAGCACGAACGAGGCCAAAATCAGAAACTTTCGCATTGAAATGCGCGTCCAGCAGAACATTGTCCGTCTTGAGATCGAGATGGAACAGTGCATGGTCAGGAAAGGCGGTTTGAACATAGTGCATGCCGCGGGAGACATCAACAGCAATGCGATGGCGCTGGGACCAGGTTAACGCGGGAGTGTCGTTCTTGCGACTGAGACGATCGCGAACAGAACCATTCGGCATGAATTCGTAAACCAGACATCGCTCGTCGCCTTCCTCAGCATACGACAGAATGGCAATGATGTTTGCGTGGCGGAATTTCGACAAAGAGTCCAGTTCCGACTTGAATTCGGCAGCGCCTTGCTTTGCTTCAGTGGACAGTTTCTTGATGGCAACGGCAACGGCAACAGGAGGCCCAAGCAAGCTGGCACCGTACACACGACCAAATGCTCCTTCGCCGAGAAAAGAACCAGCTGCGAAATTGTTCGTGGCCGTGACAAGAGTTGCGAGAGACACTTGCTGGATGTGGCCGTCAAAGTCCACCGCGGATTCAAAGGCGGGCTGGTGGCGCTTAAGCACGTCGATCTGTTCAAGAGCTGACTTCAGTTCCTGATCTTTGGCAGCGAGATCGGAGCGCAGTTGCTGCAATTCCTGCTCTTTGGTAGCCAGCTCCTGCTCGTTGGCAGCCAGCGAGGAGCGCAGTTGCTGAATATCGGATGCAGCGTTTGCAAGCAGAGCCAGTTCTTCAGGCGATGGAACACGCTGGTCGTCAAGCTTGCCTGCTTCGAAACTTAAATGTTGTCAAAGCAAGCGAATGATTGGCTGTTCGAAATTTGCTTCACGAAAGAATCCAACCAAGGTCTTACTCAAGTTTACAAACAGCATTGCCTGTTCGTCTGAGTTCAGCGATTGCATCGTTGGTCAAGAAATTTTCATACAAACTGTTGTTATCGAGTACATTGTCAGAGTGGAGCGTGAGTCTTAGGACTTGCGGAGCATCGTGCAGCAATCGCTATCTTACGTGAGAGAAATCAGCGTCTTGTTCACTTTGAGTGCTTCAGCAATCGCTTGCGCTCCAGCATCGCCAATCTGATTCTCACTCAGACTATCCACATCCCCTCCGCCAGTGAGCTCTCTTGAACATTCTGCTGGTTTACCCATTCACATGCAGCAGTCAAAGAAAAACGCCTTACAAGAGCTCGCGTAGCCTCGTGTTCGCTTTGAGGGCTTCAGCGATCGCATGTGTTCCAGCATTGCCAATGTGATTTTGTTGTAGACTGTGCATTCGTGAGCACTCCTTCTGCCCTCTGCCCGCTCCTTGATCACCCACTCACAAGATCAGTAACTATGAGATGACTGACTGGAGCAAAGTCATGGTCTTGTTGACTTTGAGTGCCTCAGCAATCGCCTTCGCTCCAGCATCTCCAATGCGATTCGTGTACAGACTGTTCGTCCTCTCCATCAGTGAGCACACTTATTACCCGCTGCTGGATTGATCACTCCCATGCAACAGTCAATGTGAGATGACTCACTGGAGCTCTGTCAGCGTCTTGTTCACCTTGAGAGCCTCAGCGATCGCCCGAGCTTCATTATCGCCAATCTGATTCTCATCCAAACTGTCCTCCAGTTCGTCAGTACATGCGCTATCCTACATGCTCTACGAACCTCGGTTTTTTTTTACTTGAGTAATCCACTCGCACTCTTGACTTTGTCATGGAACTTGCGCTGTCTCTGATTCATGCTTTGATACGACAACATCGAATCTGCTTTTAACACACCTAAACAAACAAGACTGCTTTTGCTTGCCCAAACAAATCGAGAAAAAATAATATCTATATTGCAAGTCGTATACAAGAATGGGGCAAAAGGTGCCGGTCATGGAGCAAGCCGAAAAACGCAACACCGAGAAAGAGCAAGAAAAGAAAAAAAAAAACAAGCCAACCGCGGACAGGATGGATGGGTGCCAAATGATCTTGCGAGCAAACAAGAAAACTTGAAATGTTAACTAGGAGAAAATGGGGGGGGGGAAGAAGCAAACGCCACAACGCAAAACCCGAATGCGTTGAGGGGAAAAACTTTTGTTTTGTTGTTTTTGTTTGGGGGGGGTTTTTGTCTGTTTCTAAGGAGTGAGCCGATACACCGAGTATTGCGATCCGTCGACCTCTGAGACTGAAAACATGTAGCAGACGCAAAGCAGAACTTGGCAAGTGCCGGGTCGGAAGAGAGTCTGCATAACTGTCACGTAGTCCAGCACATCGTTCATCTCTGCCAGGCGTGGAAGCATCAGCTTGAGCGAATCGATAATGGACACGACGTCTGGGCATAGGGGAGCCCGCTCGAGACAAAAGAAGCTCCGGCCGTTGGCCACAAGCGCAGCGTCGACCTGCGTCGTTCGCTGCACGAGCTGCTCGCCAAAGGCAAACACCGACGTGGTGCAGCCCAAAAACTTGAGCGTATCGGCGGTTTGGAAGGATGAGGCAAAGCCGTAGACATGGTGGGCACGTCGCACATCAAAAGTGGGGCCCAGGAAGTTGGCCCAGCACTTGACCAGCGCAAACTGGGCAGTTGGCTGGTTGCGAGCGAGCTCCTGCAGGTCGGGGAAGAGGTCGCTCACCTCCCGCATTGACAGAGGATCAAACTCGTCCACGCCGGGGACGTCGTTCAGCTGCACGAGATAGTGCCGAGTCGTGCTCGGCCCGCCCAGCGGGAGCATGTCGTCCGCGTCGCGATACAAGGCAAACGTGTTGAGCGCAATGCCGTGGTTTTTGGGGATGGGTCCCGTGATGGCACTCGTGCCACTTGTGTTGTTAACAATCGACGAAATCATGGTCACAACCGGATCCGTCAAGGCGACTGCGGCCGCAGGGCCAGCGGAAAGGCTTGGAGTGAGAGTGCCACCGCTCGTGCTGGATCCCAAGCTGCCGCCGTTGTTGATACTGTTCAAGCTGGAGTTGCCAATCGCATCGATACCCCAAGCGGGCATGGCCAACCCCGAGTGTGGTGTGGCCGTCGGGGTGAATGAATTGACAAACGGACCGCGTTGCTGTTGTTGTTGCAGTTGTTGTTGCTGTTGATGTTGATGTTGCTGTTGCTGTGGTGGTTGTTGCTGTTGTGTCTGAGATGGGACTTGCGAGAAGGGTGCTGATTGCAGGGCTTGCATTTGTGGATGCATCTGCATGAGTGGTGGCTGCAATCCGACTGGTTGATACGCGAATGGCGGCATGTTAAATGGGGGCATGATCATGTTGGTGTTGCTATTGCTCATGTGGTTGACCCTTGCTGCCGGTGCGATAGACTCGTTCGACGATGACGTGTCTGCGGGGGAGACGATGCCATGTGAGTTGTGGTGGTCTGGATGCAACCCTCCGAGTGGAACGGCCAGCTCGCCACCACCACCAGTACCGGGCTTGGCAAAACTGTAAGGCATCATGCCTGCCGCGCTCCCTGGGCCCAGCAGTCCGTGCGCAGAGGGTAGGGAGGAGGAGGAGGACGAGGAGGACGCGCCGCCGGGCAGGATGGGGAGGCCTCCGGCGCCAGCACCGGGAATCCCAGCCATGCTCGGGTGAAGCGAGGAAGGCAGCGGGCCGGCCTCGTTCTTGAGCGCCATTTTGAGGGACGGCGACATTGTTCGTGGCGACTTTCCGTCCATCTTCCGAGGTCCCTGCGTGCGTGCGAGCGAGCGATACAAGAAGCAAAAAAAGCAGCAGCAAGAGCGTAGGCGGAAAATGCGGAGGGCCAACAACAACAAAGAAAAAACGGAAGGGAAAAAAAAAAAAAGAAAAAAAAAGCAGTGGCAAACGATGAGTAAGCACCAGCACAAAAGCAGCACAAAAGCAGCACAATCGCAGTTCAAGGTCAAAAGCGGAGGAGTGGAGTGATACGAGATCTGTTCACTCTTGATTGGCTTGCAGAGAGTGGTGGGTTGGTCCAATGATGGAGGTTGGGGTGGAAGAGGGGTCGGTTGGTGATTGAAATCCTCAATCTTCCAAATCCGCACCGGGGTTTTGTCTCCCATTCGATCAAGTCCAGTCGCATCGCATCGCATCGTGACTTGGTGTGCTGTCCATGCGTCATCCGATCATTTTGCCAATCACACGATATCACTCAACTCGATCGATCTCGGTTCTTATTGCGGCTCTTTCTTTTCTTGCTTTTTTTTTTTTTTTCCCTTTTCACACACCTCTCTTGCAAAACCGCAAAAGGTCACACAAAGAGCCCCTGTGGCTCATCCAATGCTCAGTGATGACCAATGGGTACCATTCCAATGCTCATATCAAAGGGAGAAGCATTGACACGGAGAGACGGGCGAGAACGAGAGAAAGACACAAGCGAAAAGAAAATGAAAGAGGATGGAGGGCGTGTAAAATCAAGTTCGGAATGCTCTCATCAACCGCTCACTCACTCTCACTCTCACTCACGACAAGACATCGAGAGAGACATAGAAACAGAGAGAGACATAGAGACCGCAAAGGAGATCGAGACCGGCAGAGAGGAAAAGGATCAAAGACTACCGCAAATCGCCCACTTCTCGCTTCACCTCAACAGACTTTCACACACAACGACACTCACTCGGTTGCCGCGGGGAATCTTGTCCACCCGCACGCGCTTGCGGTTGACCACTTGGATGTGGCTGGAGACCTGCTTGCGGGTGCGCAGCTTGCCCGTCCGCTTGAAAATGTGCTGTGCGACGAGCTCGTTGCGGCCGTACGCCTTGCCGTCCTCGGGCAGCACAATCTTGCGGCGCCCGCACGGCGGATAGAGCGCCATGGCCTCGTCGAAGGCGTCCTCAATGTCGCGCGACCAGATGGTCTCGTTGTCGCTGCCTTCCTCGTCGCCGCCCTCGCCATCGCCATCCTCGTCCGAGCTGTTGTCCTCGTTCTCGTCATCATTGTCATCGCGCTCGTTGTCGTCGCTCGCCTCGTCGTCCCGTTGCTGCTGCTGCTGCTGTTGTTGTTGTTGTAGCTGTTGTTGCTGCGTCATGTCGAGCAGCTGCGTGTGTTGCATGGGCGGCTGTTGTTGTTGTTGGTTCAAGTGGTGGAGATGGTGCAAGGATGAGGCTGAAGTAAACGGTACGTCGACGGCCGACATGAAGACCAGGTGATCGCCGAATGCTAGTGTTGGAGAGAGCACATCCAAGGCCATTTGTTGCGTGTGGGGGTGTGGGGGGAGGAGTGAGCAACAAGTTCCAATAGAACCGCAAAAAAAGAGTAGGGGCAAATGAGAGACTGAGCTGAGCGCAAGAGGGGTTTTGCCAATGCAACATGTCTCATTGTGTTTGATGACAGTCAAAGACCCGATTTCCAATCGTGTTGTCGTGTGATGCAAGTGTTGTCGTCGTTGTCGTAGTGCTAGTCGTCATAGTCATAGTAGTCGTGTGGCATTGGAATCAAACCCTGCTCTCTTTTCTCTCGTTGTCTTTCTCCTTCCTCACTCACCTCCTCAACCACTCAGCCACTCAACCCCCATTTGTACTACACTTCTACACTCCAACTCGTCATCCACACACACACTCGTCTCTCCAACTTGAGAGTCGTGAATGATTCACATTTTCAAAATGGCATTTTTTGGATTTTAACTCGATTGGAATGTTGTTGAAATCCTTTTTTTTTTTTTTTTTTTTTTTTTTTTTTTTTGTGGCAGCATTTTGTCGGTTTTGGTCTTGTGTGTGGTCGATTTCTCACGCGCAGTTCAATCACAATCAGACAGGATTTTGAAAGGTGGGGAAGGGGAAATAACAGTAAAGTCGAGTAAATGAATCTTGCTGCTTTTTGGGGTGGGTGGTGTGGTGGTGGTGGTGTGACTGGGGTGTCAAAGTCGGCTGCCTCTCGTGCTCAGACGACACACAGATTTTGACAGGTTTTTCTTTTTTTTTTTTTTCTTTTTTCTTTTTCGTTCCAACCCCACACCTCGCGCTTGGCCTGCTCTCACGCACTCTCTTGCTCTCATTCACAAACCACAGCGTACCGGCCATCGCAAATTCACTGCAGCACCCAAGTCACAAATGCATTGCTCAGAACAAGCGGTCACTCGATCGAAAAAAAAAAAAAAAAAAAAAAAAAGAGCAAGGATCGAGGCGCGTAAAACCGATTCAAATCCTTACGCCGAATTCACTATTCGAAGCAGGGATTCTCGGTGCTTTTCGCATTGCATTCATGCTAAAATCAAAAAAAAAAAAAAAAAAAAAAAAAAAAAAAAAAAAGACCGCCGCTCAGAAGAGAGAGAGCGCTTTCCCCACCTTCTCGCTCACGCTCAGCGCGCACCGTCTCAGAAGCACAAGGAAAACGAAGGCAAGAGATGTTGAGTGATGGGGTGAGCAAGGCGAAACTGGCGCTATCAATCGGCCTGTGCTGCAGAGACGCGAAAAAAGGAAAAAAAAAAAAAAAAAAAAAAAAAGGCCGTGATTCTCGACGCTGATGCTCATCCAGCCGAGCGACAAGTGAGTCATGGCAATGGGCCATGTCGTATGGCAAGGAGTGTCTGTGCATAAGGCGGACGGCAGCCGGGCGACCGAGCTGAGGCTGAAACCAAACCAGCCGAAAGCAGCCAAAAAAAAAAAAAAAGATGAAGGAACAAGCACAGCAGCAGCAAGACCGAGGGGGGGGTGCTGATTGAACAAGATGCAAAGTGACACAGCTTGCGCCCCTCCATGTTGAAATGCAGTGGAGCGGTGATGCGAGCGAGCGAGACAGAGACAGAGAGAGCATTGAAAACTCACCAAGAAAAGCGACCAAAGCAAAATGCTTGGAACAATGAGAAGAAGAAGAAGCAAAAAGAAGAAGAAAAAGGACTACTGGTCTGATGGTCTTAGCGAGTGAGAAAGGTTTGATTTGCATTGGGGACAATGCGAGATGTGATAGGGGGGAACGATGCGGTACGATGCGGTTTGATCCGAATGCCCAAATGCAGGGCTTCCAGTCACTTTGCATTGACCTTTCTGTGCATCTCACAAAACTCATCGTAAGCCTCGGCGTCAAACATCTATGAAGCTTTGATTGAGCTTTGCACATCAGCAAATGCATCAGAAAGCTCGGACTTGGCTCTTGAAGCAGCGTGACAGCGTTTGTTCCAATGCAAAAGCCACTCAAACTCACTCGTCCTTGTTGGCATTGTGTATCGCCAGGTTTGGACGCCACAGCCTTCGCACCTTCAACACCAAAAGCACCTTTGAAGTTCACTTGAATCGCTTTGAGTCGAGTTGATAGTCACCATGGCGGGACCGAAGCTTGAAATAGTAAAGGTGAGCAGCGAAACGAAAGCGCCTCACACTCTGCTTTGAGCCTGCACTGCATGTCCCGCTGCTTCAGCCCAGGATGCTGCACATGCTTGAGGCATCGGGTACAGCGCTTCAGCAGCCCCCCCCCTCCCCGGTGCAGTCACATGGAGGCCCGTCGCTGAAGCGGCTTTGGAAGTCGCACTCCCAGCATCCCGCTTGCGACTGGACTATGCCTCACACTCGACGTCGCTTGATGTCGCACATCGCACAATGGTGTTACTCGTACTCACCACAACTATGCACGAATTTGTGCTTCTGTGCGCCGGTCATGCCGAAATGCTGGCTGGTTTAGTTTGGCATCTACGTCTTCTTCCCGATCTCGCTCTACTACTTTTTCAATCTTCCGCATACCTTTGCGGAGGATGTTCAAGCACGGCGGGTAAGTCTCCTTCGAAGGAGCACATGGCTTGTGCTGTGGAGGGCGGAAATGTGCGTTGGTTTGTTGCGAGTTTTTGATTTTCAACCCTCACTCTCCCCCCCCCACTTCACAATTTCCGATCAATAGAAAGAGTCGCGTCCTCAAGGAGAGGTAAACCATGCTTGTGATTTGATTTCCGCTTGGTACACTGGGGATGTTGGGAAGGTGATTGTGCTGATTGTTCGCAATGTTTGCCGTTTTCAGAAACCACCAACCTCCATTGCTGAAGTGCGTGAATACTACGCCAAACAAATGCAGAATGCCACTACATCTGAAAAGAAGGATTAATGCCTTGTGGATGTGCAATGTATGAAACTTTGCGAAATGATCATCCTTTGCTTTTTCTTCATTTCCAAACATTTTCAATGCAAAACACAAAATTGGGGGCGGGGGTGTCAGTTGGCGCCAATAAACAGCTGAATGGCACCGATCTGGAAGAGCATCAGCACAATCACGCCAGACACGAAAATCGCGCGCATCAACAATCCTGCAGTGACGGTAACAGCGAAAATCTTTGCAGGCATGCGCAGATTGATGGTGAAGAGCATAAACGAGTCCAGCTCGGCAGTCGTTGCGTTCAAATGACCTTCGTGTCGCACGACAATGGCCACGTCCTTGAGCGACAGGCATTTGGCCGTGAGACGAGCCGCCTGCATCGTGGAAACAAACAAAAAAAGGGGGGAATAGTCAGGTCCAATCCTCATCCACAAAGCACCATCCCTTATGCATCACGCAGGCCCATCGCCATCCAATGTCAAACAAGACAACACGCACCTGAACCAGCGTTGTGCCCAGCATCAGAAGCCAAACGGCCAATTCGCACAAAACAACACCTTTGTGCACATCCGTGTACGAGGCCAGCGTGTCCTTGTCCAAGAACAGGACGAATGGAGAAATGGTCAGCAGGGTGAACATGAACACGGACAGACCCACCACCTTGCCGAGGCCGTTGTTCAGCTTCTTGACAAACCGCTGAATTTGCATGAGCTCCTGCAACCAACCAATAGCAAATGAGCGGATGGTGAGCGGGAGGAACAACCTAAAACAAAAAAAAGCCTCAGCTCGCGCGTGCATCTGAGCCAACCTACCTTCATGGCAGTCGACAGGGGATGCTGGCGTTGGTTGATGCGGTTGCGAAGGCCATCAATGTAAAAGAGCAGCAGCCGACATTGGATGGCATAGCAGGTGACAATCACAACGTACACACAGTCCGCAGCAAAGGTGGCAACGACCATAAAGATGGTGGTCATGCTGCGAACGCCAGTGTCAAAGGTCGACGTCTGGACAACAGTGTACTTGACCAAGTTGTAAGTCAGGCGAATGGCCAGCCAGCCGATGCCGGCCGCGAGATACCAACGCAGTGTCTTGACGAGCTGGGACTGCGAGAGGTCGCCAAACAGCGTGCGGATGCTGCCCGTGGTGGACTGGAGGAAGACCGTCTCGATCAAGGCCGTGTTCTCGTCAAACCCCGAGTGCAGCCGGAAATAGTACAGGCCGTAAAGGTACGACGCAAGATGCAAGCAGTCTGGCACGATAAACTTGGAAATCAGGTTGGGGCACAGACCAGGCTGCTGCTGACACACAACAATGTCGTAAACATAGTTGTAAAAGAGCAGCGACAAAAAGAATACAAAGTAGAGGAAGCTGAATGGTTTTTGCACTCTTGAAAATGGCCGCCAGGCAAGGAAGGTGAGCAAGAACTGGAGAAAGTGTAGGAGATATATACAACAGACGGGGGGGTGTGTGAGAATGAGCATGTGAGGCAAACCAAAAGAAAACAAAAACAAGGTTGCAAGTTCGCTACTTTACCGTCATTGGTGCCACAACCGTCTTCTGGCAGTTCTCGAGTGCAACCGTCGTTCTGTCTTCTGTGCCCGCCGCATCTTGATTGGGGTGCTGAGTGTTGGGGTGGGGGAGCACCCAAAAAACAAAACAAAGCGAGAGGAAAAATCAAAGTTGGTTTGCCAAGCACTGTTTTTGCCAGCTCAACTCGCGCCGGCGACACTAACTTACAGGAACGCTGACGTATTGTTGGAGGAAATCCAAATCCGAAATGTCCTGCTGCTGTAACTGTGGCGGAGTGGATGATCCCATGCGGTGCACCCTCGAATTGTAGGGGAAGTCGCCATTTGTCAAAAACGAGCTCGAGTTTGAATTGTTCAGACCTCCCGAGCTCGCAAACGAAGTCGATGGTAATCGCATTGCCGGTGCAACTCCGGCTGCAGCATTGCTTCCATAGTACTGTTGGCCAATGCTGCTTGATTCTTGCGAGCCACTCTGCACATATCCAACCAAATATCCAACAAAAATACAGATCAAGGTGAGACTCGTCGTAGTTTCAAATCACAAAAATTTCCAACATCAACATCACTGCGAATCATGAGTAGTTCGTTCCAACACAGGCCTCGATATGACCTCCCCAAAATGCAACATGGCTCGCTGCTCAGGTGGCATGACTTTTGGAGTGGGACTGGGATTGGGACTTTGCGCTTGGCTCTTTGGTATCAGCCTTCACGTCGCAGCATGTACTACGACGCTGCAAGTTTGGGGGGTTTTTGGTCTCATTACCTTGCCGAGCAGCGGAAGGCGCGATTGATGCTCAAGGTCGAGTGTCGTGTGGCGCGGCTCTGACTCTGTCCGGTGCTACCACTGCCACCAGAAGTGTTGAGGATACCGCTGCTACTGTTGTTGGTGGTGCTGTTGTTGTTGTTGCTGTTGCTATTGTTGCTGCTGGGGTGGCGGTGGTGCGGGTGTCCGACGGTGGGATCCGGCGACGGGAGAATACTGTCCAGTGGGGAGGTCAGCTCTCGCACCGAGGACGACGACGGGGACGACGGGGACGCCAGGGCGAAGAACTGCGTCTCAAGAAGAAGGTCTCAAGCAAGAGAGAGAAACAAAGGGGAGAGACGCGCGGGTGGTCGCGACAGAGTGAAGCAGAGGTGTGAATGATGCAGAGCGAGAGAGAGCGGCAGCTTTGACACCGAGTCAAAATCTGAGAAAAGAGAGAAAAAAAAAAGGACTGACATGAAGAAGGAAGGACGAGCTTTATTGCTTTTAGAGTGTGTCACTTGACCGTGCCATGAGCACCCCCGCATGCTTCAATCAATCTCAAGCAATCTCAAGCAATCAATCCAGCCAGCAATCAATCCTTCAATGATCGCCTCAGCGAACAATCTTGTCGCGGTACTGCTCAATGTTGTCGGGAGTCAGAAGAACGAGATCCCGCTTGCGCATCGGAGACTTGGTGAGCGGACAGAGACCTGTTTCTTCGATGCACTGCAGCCAACTCGAGTAACTGCGTGGAATGGGCAACAAACACGAAACCAAAAAAAAATAACAATGTCAGGCAGGCTGAATCCACCCCCCCTCATTAGTGTACGCCCACTCGAGCACATTGCACAAACCTCATGACATGACCAGCGGGAGAAATGGCAGGCATCACGACGCGATCTAGTGTGATGGGGTCGACGAGATCCGGCAAAAAGTCTGAAATGCCTGCCTCAATCATGTCAGCCTCGTTCAGCTCCCCGCGCATCTTTCGCAGTCGACTGGTCGTGTAAAAGCCCTCGCGTGGCTTCCATTGCAAGGTATCGCCATGCAGCTGCATGTCCTCGTCGTCCTCGTACGAGGGCTCTTTGGGTACATTGCGTTTACTGTTCTTCTTGCTCGCAGTGGCCGCTGTAGTGCTAGGGTTGCCGGAAGAGGAAGAGGCGGCGACGTGAGACGGCTTTTTGCCAACGACGGACGGGCCAGTTGCGCCAAACTCTTCGTCGCCTGAAGAGTCGTTCTTTTGTGCCCGCCCCTTGGTTGGCTTGACCTTTGTCAGGCCAGAAATGGCAATCCTTTGCGATGGCGGAGGCTTGGGTACTGGAGGAAGCAGGGTATTTGGACCTGGAGGCAACCTGAATTCGGGAAAGCTGGGACCTGGAGGGTGTTCCCCACCGTGCTCCAACTCGTATCGCTCGGCAGCCTCGCGCTCCATTTGCAGCATTAGTTTGGTTTTCCGACCGCGCCGTTTGGGCTCACGAGGCTTCACCTCTGACGGCGGCACGAATACGGTGGCTGAAGGTTCGGCCAAGCGTGGTCGCTTTTCTCGCTTGAAAATCATTTCACGCTTGCGAGATGTGTATGGCCTCTTGCCCGAGACATCTGGCTTGACGTCGCAGTCCGTGCCAGAGTCATTGCCAGTGGCAGACGGAGTGTCCATGGGCGCTGCCACCGGATTCTGCGCCTCGTCCTCCTCGTCGTCGTCGTCGTCGTCGTCGTCCTCTTGTCGTTTTCGTTGGAACTGCCGGACTTTTTGAACTACAAAACGGAACGGGCGAATGGTCGGTCAGTTTACACAATCAAAGATCAGGCGGTGTCGAGCACACACGTACCAAGGCCGCCGTCGTCTGCGCGCAACGTGAACAAGTAATGGACCGATCCTTTGACAGGATCGACAAGATAGTTGTTGTCTTTCAGTTCACCAACACGGATGAGCTTGCGGTAAAAGTTGGAGCACTGCTTGGAAGCAAACGACAGCTGAGCGACAACGAGAGAACATCACAAAAGCTTAGCCATGAGCTTGCCTCACCTGATACCCAACACGCCCAGGAATGGCCATTGAGAAGATGCCCCATTGTCCATCTGCGCCGATTTCGCGCAACCGTTCGAAAAAGAGTTGTTTTTCGTCCTGAAAACCACCGACACGATCAGTTCCAAGATCCCAAACGAGTTCGACGCACTGAATGTTCGTCTTTAAAGTGCATTTTACCTGTGTCCATGCGCCATTGCGAGGCTCTTCGTTGGGCGCGTTAAACCGGTAGTAATAGGCATTGGGGTTGACGTCGATCGACTTGTACGCGCGAATGCGGGCTTCTGACCAGTCCTTGAAGCCCGCTGCGGCGTCTGTCGTGGTATTCAGCTGCGACATGGCTTCTTTCAGCGAAAGGGGCCTTGTGGCCTTGTTATACTTTGCCTGGCGTTTCTTCTGCTCGACGGTTGCCGTCTTGGCCGTTTTTGTTGCCTTTTGCTGGCGCTTGGTGATCATGAATCGATAAGCCTCCTGTTGCTCGGGCGCCGGTGGTGCAATAGCGTCTGGAATGACAACAAGTTCGTCTGAGAGTGCAGCAGATGAGGAAGGGTGGGGAAGGGCAAAATCAGACAAAAACGCTTTCACGAACGGAAAGAAACACGACGCTTCGTACCAGCAGTGTTTGGGTTGTAATGCAGGGCGGTCTTTTTGCGCACTTCCACGAGGAAGCTTTGGGTGGGATCTGCAAACTTGAGAATGGCGTCATCCTAAAGCAATGCCAAAACGCGCAATGAATCAAAGGTGGTCATCCGGCTTTTACACTGCAATGCGAGACCAAGCATCCTACCTCATCGCGGCACTCTTCTAAAGCAAAGCGAGCTTCTTCTTCCGTCAAGTAAGGATAAACGCTCAGCAGCTTTTTGATGCGGGTTTGCGCGTCTTTTCGCTTGAAGGCCTCGAATTGTTGCTTCTGTAGTGCGATACGCTTCTCAATAATAGCCAGATCATTTTCAGTCAGGCTATCTCGGAAGACTTGCTCTTTTCGAACAGTGTCGATTGAATCTCTGAGGTGGTGAAAGTTCGGAACGGGTGAGAAACGGGCGTCCATCTGCACGCTTCAACGACACCGCGACTCACCCTTCTTTCATAACATCTTCGAGACTGTCGCTTGGGACTGGTTCGGCGACCTCTGCTAACTTTGCTGCTTGTCGGGCAAGGAATGCGCTGCGCATTTCAGACTGCGAGAAAGACACCAGGTGAGAAATCCAAGAGACATATCAAAAGTGGCATCCATATTGGAATAGACTATGCAGCTCGAGCTCAGACAACTCTCAAAGGACCTACCAGTAACGACACTGTGGATTGCCGTGCCGCTGCATGACAAAAGCGTGGTTCAAAAATCACAAACATACAAAGTGAGCATTGCAAAACACCTTGAAAACTCTGTCTCCGCATACAAAAAACAACTCCACAAGCTATGCTTTTTGCAATCCGCTGATGCGCGGTACCTTGGATGAAGACTGCAGCACTCGAGGCATGCGAGGCAGCTTTTGGCGCCAAATTTCCATTGATCCCTGCGGAAGCAACGGCCGCGCGTGCCTGCTCAAACGCAGCAGCCTGCGCGTTTGGCTCAGTAAAGAACACGCTCTGTGCAGCCTGACTTAAAGCAGCAGGGGCAGTCGAAGCTTGATCTGCTGCGGATGATGACGAGGAGGACGACGACGACGACGCGGATTTGGCGCCAACTCGCGCGCGCTGCTGTCCACGACCACCCGTTGCCTCAGCCGCCTTGCGCGACGCTCCAGCGGCCGTGGTAACTGTATTCGCAGCAGTCTTATTGCTTCCATGGGTCGGCTGCGCTGCTGGACTGTCGGGCGACGGCTCGTACAGAGCTGGCGGTTTTCGCCTTCGCTTTGGCATGGTTTCGTTCGCCTGAGGATGCTGCAGGTGCTCGGATGCAACTGGAGCAGCTGCAGTCTCATCAGGGCAATCAGCCATCATTCTAGTCACAAACTGAGCTTTGAATTGGAGTGACTGAAACGACAGCGAGGAAAGAGAGAAAAAAAAAAGAGAACTGAATGCTCAGAAGTTTTGATTATTGAAATCTGAGAAGCCGTGATTGTTGTTGCTTTTTTTGAAGATGGAATCTGAAGTCCTCCTCGTAGTATCGTCTTTGAAATGGGAGCTCTTGCGTTGCACGACGCTCAGCGCTCAGCAGCTTGGATCCTCGCGCTCTCAGACCAGAGCCATCGACCGCTCTTCGATCTGTGACTTTTGACAGCATTTACATCTTCCTTCAACAAAAGGTGAGCCTCACTCTTTCTCGACCGTTCCAACAAGCGATGGCCTTCAACCTCGAAAACAAGCTCAACATGTCGCTGGACGACATTGCCAAGGCCAGCCGAGCAAACAGCCACCGCGACCACATCCAGCAGAGCAGCGGCGGCAAGATCCGCCCAGGCAGGACCTCCAACAAGGCGTCAAGCCACCCATTCCCCACCCGCAAGGTGAGTTGAGCGAGAGAGCGAGCGAGAGACAGCACGAGAGAGAGCCTGAACAGCTCAATGCAGCAGCGGCTCCATCACAGCCTCGCATCCAACCTCCAACTTCCGCATCGAACGCTGACTTGATGCTTGTGCAATTCTTCATCATGTGTGTTGAACCGGGGGCGGGGGTTGTGCAGGAGACGTCGTCGATTGAGGGATCGTGGAAGCACGACAAGTTCAACCCAAATGCGCGCCCAGACGAGGACGACACTGCCGAGGCCGCAGAGCAGTTTGCTAACAACAACAACAACAACCACAGCGATAGCCACAGTGGTAAGGCGGGGCGTGCGCGCGCTGCGATCAAGGCCGCTGCGACCGCTGGCGGCGGCGTAGACCTCACCAAGGCTCAGCGCAAGCAGCTGGCCCAGCAGCAGCAAATGATGATCCAGGCTGCACAGGCTCAGATGCAGATGCAACAGCTCATGCAGGCCCAGATGCTGGGTAGCGCAATGCAAATCGCCCCGGTCGTCGCCGCCGCCACTACTTCTGCTGGCGTTGTGCCAATCTCCAACCGCGTCGCCGTCCGCTCGTCAAAGTCCCGTGTCACCACAACGAATGCTGCTCCTCAAGCCGTGTCCGAGTCGACAGGTGCATCGGCCGCTCTGGCTGCTGCTGCGGCGTTGCGGCTCAACAACGCGGACGTGTTTGCTCGCCTCGGCGGGTTTGACGAGACCACCGGCTGCAAGCTGATTGTTCCGGGCTTGCCCGCAAGTGTGTCCTTGATGGATGTTCAAGTAAGATTTGTCCTTGCATTGGCGTCGAATCCAAGCATGGGAGGAGGAGGAGGAGAAGCTCAATCGTGATCCCTTTGGTTTTTGTTGTTGTTGTTGTTGTTGTTGTTGTGCTGCTTGTGGTGTAGACTTTGTTTGGAAGCTGCGGGACGATCACGAGCGCTGCACTCAAAGCAGGCATTGCTACCGTCGTTTTCGAGGATGCCCAGAGTGCCCAAACAGCCTTTGCATCGTTCAACGGCAAATCGTTTGATGGTAAGGTTGGATCTGTGGTCTTTTGTTTGTTGTTGTTGTGTTTGGTCGTAGAATTCTCATTTTGTGTCATTGTAGGAGCCATCCTGAGCATTCGTGTCGTGTAACAAGCAACCCAACAACGAGCAAAGTACCCAAAACAACAAGAAAACAAAATGAAAAGACGGGGCAAAAGTGGTTTGTTGTGCGTTTGTTGTGTCTTTCATCGATATCACGTTTCCCTCTGTTCAAATTTGAGACATTTTTAACAACATGTGCGATCCAAGTGCATGGGGTTTGTGATGCTTGTTGTGCTTGAAGGTGTTTCAAGCTGAGTTTTTTGGTACTGCTTCTTTCTTGCAATCTCCGCCCAGTCCCGCTCAATCTCTCTTCCACTCTCTTTCTTTTTTCATCTCATTTGTTCCTTCAGTTTTCTTCACTTTCTTTTCCAGTCTTCAGTCTTCTTCTTCATTCACTTTTTCTTCCATGACTTCGACATTGAAAGCTTTGTTGTATGTTGGTTTTTTTTTTTTTTTCCTTATTATTATGATTTGTTTGTTTCGCTGCATCGGTTTTTTTTTTTTTTTTTTGCCCTCTTTTGTTCAATCTTCCACTTCCACTTCCACTGCGCGCCCATGCATCTGCGCTCCATGACCACCATCGTTGCTCTTCGTCTCAGCAGCACTGGACTTTCCCCACCCTGGAGCCAATCCATCAATACGAGCATTCAGCCTTTCGTTTCTTTTTTCTTTTTTTTTTTTTTTTTTTTTTTTTTTTTTTTTTGCTTGTTGTGTTTGCTTGTTGCTTTTGAATTGGTTGCTGGTGATGGGGGGAGGGGACGATCTCTCGTGCCTTGTCTCGCGGTGGCATTCATCTCGAGTATTACCTGTCAGGAGACTCACCAGCCGCCCGAACTGCGGTGGACGAGTGCGAGAGAGACAGCGAGAGACAGAATAAACCAAAAAAAAAAAAAAAAAAAAAACTCAATGCAAAACTCATAATAAAACGAAAGAAAAAAAAAGAAAAAAAAAAAAAAGAGGATCAAACAAACAGGCAAACGTTGAGTGCTGGCTGGTCTGCGACTGCTTGTTGGAGAGAGGGAAGGCAGGGGAAGGGGGGTTAGGGTTAGGTGGTGTGGCATGAGCAGCGCAACCAAAAGCGGAGGGTTTGGCAAAAAGCAAACGCTGCGTCGTCAAGCGTGGCTGGTGCTGGGACGAGACAGCAACCAAAAATAAAAAAATAAAAAATAAAAAATAATCGTATTGTTATTATTAGTAACGAGAATCATAACAATAATAATCACAAAACATACCAACCGCATAGAAACAACTCAAGGGTTTGGTGGGTGATGTTTTTTTTTCCTTTTTTTTTCATTTTTTTTTTTTGGTTTCTTCTTGTCTCGCTCTTTGGTTTGGTCTCGTTTGCATCTGACGCGTGATGGCGTTGTGCGATCGTCCACTCTTATGAGCCTTTGAGCAGCGAGTCGCTTGCAAGGGGTTGAGAGAGGTTGGAGAAGCGGGAATGCTGGTCTTTATGACAATCATTGCTGGGTTGTAAAGCTGGCTGGGCTTCTTGCACTCGTCAGGCACCATCTCTCATTTGATTGGATTTGCTTGGGCTTGAACTGGATTTGCAGCACGGAGGACAAGACCTTCCGACCGAAAAAGTTCTTCCTGAAGGGCAGCAAGCGCGACCAGCTCCACACCCTGATGGTCAAGACGCTCGGCGCAGGCGGCAACCTCCGCGAAGCCGTCCGCGTTCCTGCTGGCGAGAAAGACAACGAATGGCTCGCCGTTAACAGTAAGTGGTTGCTCTCGAGCTCTCGAGCGTCCAGCGTCCAGCGTCCAGCGTGTGTGTGTAAACGGAACAACGATCCATCAAAAGAAGATTCTGCCCTCTGAGTATCTCGTCTCGTTTTTGGATGGGCTCTGCGTTTTGCTGGTCTTGTGTGTGTGTGCGTGTGTGGTGATTTCGTATTGTCTTTTTTTTTTTTTTTTCTGATTTCTTTTCAAACATTCCTGTCTTTGCTGGAGTAACATTCCTGTCTTTGCTGGAGTGCGCGTGCTTTTTTTTTTTTTTTTCTTCCTTTCTTTTCCTTTTTCGCCCTCTCACTCTCACTCTCACCCTCACTCTCACGTTCTATTCATGTGGATGCGTTACTTTTGTTTTCCTCCTTATCTAACTTGCGCTCTCTCTTTCTCTCTCTCCGCCGCAGCACTCGACTTTTACAACCAGCTCAATCTCATGTACGGCAGCATTCGCGAGCTGTGCACCGAAGCTACCTGCCCAACAATGAGCGCAGGGCCAGCCTACGAGTATTATTGGGCCGATGAGGTCCAGAAAAAGCCCGTCAAGCTCACCGCCCCACAGTACATTGACAATCTGATGACTTGGGTCCAAGCGCAGCTCGATAACGAGTCAATATTCCCCATGGAAGGTAAACCAATTGTGCAAACTACATGAGTGATATCTTGTGTGCAGTGCCACAGGTCACGACCTGTTCCAACGGGGAAAGGATGGATGTTGTTTTGCCAGAATGACTCAAATGCTCGACATTTTGGTTTTGCACAGGCGATGACTTCCCCAGTACGTTTAAGGAGACCGTCAAGACCATCTTTAAGCGACTGTTCCGCATTTATGCACACATTTACTACAACCACTACAAGATGCTCGAGACCTTGCAAGAAGAGAAGCACCTGAACTCGTGCTACAAGCACTTTATCTTCTTTGTTGAGGAGCACGACCTTGTTGAGAAGAAGGAGATGGCTCCCTTGGCAACGCTGTCTCAAAAGCTTTCGGGCGGCCAACCGGTGCAAGCGCCATAAACTGGAACATTGAAGGGTTTTCAGCTCTTTGTTTTTATTTCTTTGGCTTGCTGCTGTTTGCTTTTGTACTGTTACTCCTCTTCCCTTTTTTTTTTCTTCTTTGTTCTGTTTTTGTTGCCTTCTTTGATTCTTTCTCTCTTGTTGTGCATTGTTTTTCTCCATTGTGCTTGTTCGCTCGCGTTGTGTTGCCGTCGTTCTCCGTCGCAGCCTTGTTTTTGCTTCTGTGCTCAATTCAAGTCATTGCGTTGCAGTTGCAACTTTGCTTCCAATTTCACGACTACCACCGCCAACCACCGGTTAAAATTGGGAGGGAAAGCGCAACAGTGAGTACAGCTATGTATGTATAGATCTATCATCTGCACACCATTTCCAAACTCGGCTTTTCGGTGTAGATTTTCATCTTGTAAAAGCACGTCAGTATCATCTAGCAATCTCGAGCAGGCAGCATCAAAACTCGGAACGCCGGTAAGCGTCAAGGCCGTAGAAGGATGTCACGACGATACGCGAAGCAAACTTGCGACCTGAAAGCGCTTGGAGTGCTTGATACGCATGGTCCACGTTGCTAAACTCGACATACACCTTGCCGACACCTGAAACCTCCCGACCGGGCACCGGGCGAGGAATCGCCACACTGACAACTTCGCCATACTTGCTGCACTCTTCTCGGATATCATCGACAATGTCTGGGTTCACACACGAGGAAGCGGGAAATAGTGTGAAAAAAAAAAAGTCAGTGCAGGCAAACACCGCAATCACAATCAACAAGGAATGAGAATCGTCACCTTGATATTCTTCGGGATCCATAAGCTCCTCGGGAGTCACCATGTTCAACAATTGGACGACTGGGGTCGCTTGCATCGGGGTGATGGGTGCCGCACCAAACGAGGACGGTGCGCCATATGGCATGGAAGGAGGAGGCTGCTGACCCTGTTCGCACCCAAAATGACGAGAGCAGAGGGATGAGACTCGACTTGATCTCAATGCTCGACCTCCGAAATCAAAACCATCCAAAACACAACATTGCCACCTACACCACGTTGAATGCGGCCAACCCCCGCGCGCTGGACAACCAGTTGGCGATCACCAAGCTGCATGCCATGCAGACCTGTGATTGCCATATCAGTGACATTCGGATCCGCGTACTCAAGGAATGCAAAGCCCTTGCAAAAAAAAACCAAAACAAACAAAAACCGGAAATCATTATCGGCATAAGTCAGCAAACGATAATACACGTCAAACACGAACGTGAATGGGCCGCCGCCATATACCTTTGACTGGCCATTGCCTTCGCGGACAAGACTAAAGTTCCGGATGACACCAAAGGTTTGGAGCAGCTCGCGGATTTGCTGCTCATCAAGCGAGAACGGCAAGCCTCCAATGTAAATTTTGTTCGGATTGTCGTTGCCCATGCTGCCACCAAAGCTGCCGCCTTGTGCGCCGCCTTGTGATGAAAAGCCGCCGCCCGAGCTGCTGGGCATGCCAAACAGCGACGGGGGATCGTTCGCCTCGCGGCCTTCGTACTCTTTCGGCCGCTTGATGCGGAAGACAGTACCCTCAAAGGGGATGCCGTCAAGCGCGATACACATGGTTGCTTCTTCTGACGTTCGCATCTGGTGGAGCGGTGCACGGTAGAGTGAGATCCAAGTCAAAACAATGCATCAAAACAAACAAACAAACAAAAAAAAAACGTACATCCAAAAAGGCAAAGTTCTTGTCGGGGGTCATTTGAATAGCAAGAACTGGGTTGCCTGGGCTTGAAGTCATGCCGCGTTGATTCATTTCACGGTTGAGGAAGTCGACAATGAGCACCTGAAAGATTTCGCACCAAGAAACAAACAAACACACACATACAGGTGAAATTGGTTGTGAGCAATGGTCAGAGAGGAAGAAGTCCATCACGAAAAACAAAAAAACAACTCACGTCTGGTGTGCCAGGAACAATGCCACCAATGTACAGACGACGAGACTGGCGGTTGTTTGAGTTGTAAGAGTTGCTGCCAGAAGAGGAGCTGGCATAACCTCCACCAAATCCGCTCGTGTAGCCGCCACTGCCGCCACTGCCGTAGTTCCCGCTACCGGCTTGCCCGCCAGTGCCGCCAGAGTGCTGCACGATACCCATGCGGCTGGGGTGAATGTAACCAGATTGCTGCGGAGGTGCAGCCGAAGGTGGCGGGAGGTTGCCGCCGCCGCGGTGATCGAAATGCGAAGGACCACCTGTTCCGATCTGCTGGGCGACTGTGGTGTTAGAAAGAAAAAAAGGAGGGAATAATTTGCGGGGAGATGAGTTAGCGACAACCAGGACAAGACGGAATCAAAACGCCAATACGAATAACAACTCGCCTAGCATGGCTTTGTATTGAAGCGGGGTTGAGTTCTCAAAGCCAGGCGGTGGCTTATCCCAGTACTTCGATGGCCTGTAGAAGTGGGGCGAGGGCAGCAGTGAAAAAAAAAAGGTAAGCACTCCAAAAAAAGGGGGCCTGCTCCACAATGATTTCGAAATAAAAACGATTCGGTGAGAACTCACACTGTGCGTTGGCGACGTGGACGATCATCCCTGAGGCGTGTCAATCACCAAAATACAAAAGAAAACAAAAAGAACCGAAGTGAAAGTGAGAAGCCGGCTGGCAACGCTCAAAGTTCAACCCAACGTACAGATTCGAGCCGTAACGACGGCTAGGCTGGCTGCGACCACGACCACGATCGTCGCGACGAAAATCACTTCGGTGGTCTGAGTCTCGACGATCACCACGGTCACGATCGCTGCGGTCGTAATCGCGTCGAGAAGAGTGCCTGTCGTAGTCACGATCGCGATCACTACGGTCGCGGTCCCTGTCGCGATCACTGCGATCACGATCACGATCACTGCGGTCGCGATCACTACGGTCGCGATCACTACGGTCGCGATCACTTCGGTCGCGATCACTACGGTCGCGATCACTTCGGTCGCGATCGCGGGACGAGTGGCGGTCGTAGTCTCGGTCGCGGTCACTGCGATGATGGCCATCACGGTCGCTACGATCGCTTCGGTCGCGATCGCGATCACTACAAAGAGTCAAATACAAAAGCAAAAACCCGAACGACGCAAAGTGAGCCATCACATCCACATACTTCATGCCGCTGGCATTCAGGACCAACCTCGAATGCTCCTTGTCACGACTAGAGTAGACCGAGGCCGAGAAGACATCAGAGCAAGAGCACGAGTGAGAACATGCCACGAAACAAACAAAAGTCAACAACAAACACTCGATGCAAATCTTCCGCCCTTACGACTCTGACTCCATAGGGACAACAGGCTGCTGATCGAACTGCTGTGCTTGGTATGCGTCGACTGGCTCTGAGGGGAAACGACAATCGTAGTTGATTTGAGACCGTTGCACAAAGAGGAGCTCAAACATGGAGGATGTGATGCGACTTACGGACAACTTCTTGGGCGTGCTCGGGCGCGTATGCGTTCTGTTGCTGATTGTCAAATGTTGATCACGTCCACACGAAACGCACGATCAGTACCAATCACTACAAACTACACGTTCACCCCATCTTTCGGCCACTGCCATCATCGGCCACTGCAATCTCACCGCATAAGCAGAGTTCTCCAATCCTGCGTTGTGCGATGGCACAGCCGCAGTGTGGGCATCGGCAGCAGAGGCGGCATCGTTGGCATCGTTGGCTTGGTGCTGCTGGCTCGTGCCGAGATCGCTGGGTTGTGTCGTCGAAGGAGCAACGACGGCGGGAGCCTGAGCCAGCGCCGCTTGCTGGGCCGCCGCAGCCGCAGCAGCGTACATGTCCACAGCACCAGTGGGGACGGCCACGGGCGCAGCAGCAGCCGGAGCAGCAGCAGCAGAAGGAGCGATGGCTGGATCGCCACCAGCGCTCGCAGCTCCAGCCCCAGCCCCAGCGGACGGCTCAAGCGTGGCCAGCAGGCGCTCTTGCAGATCAGCCTTGAGGCCCTTGGTGTCGAGTCCCAGCTTGGTGAGCTCGGTCTTCAGATCGGCCACTTTGAGCTCGAGAATGCTTTCGCGTGTCAACATGAAGGAAAACTGAAAGAAAAAAAAAACCAAAAAAAAAAAAACTCAGACAAACGAGAAAAAAACAAAGACTATCAAAAAATACTGCAAAAAACCAAACAACGCAACAAAACAAAGCAAGAATCGACACGAAAAGGCCGAGTTTGAATGAAACGATCGAACATGCAAATGGAAACAAAAAAAAAAAAAAAAAGTTCAACAAAACCGTATCGCGAACCGGGTATCTTTTTGTGAATGGCCAAGCACTGGTTTTAGTGAGCCAGCCCGTAAAGCCATTCCTTTTTTTTTTTTTTTTTTTTTTTGGTTTTTTGTTCTCCTCCGCTGTAAGTCGCCTTCTCTGTTTCCCCCCTCCCCCTCCTTCGACCCGCCCGTCCACTCTGCGTACAAGCCCATGCTTGTGCCTCTCTTCTTTGTTTGTGTCTGACAGTCACTGCTTGCTGGACAACGTGGCTGCCATCCCACTCTTGTTCCATTTGCTTCGTCGGCTCTCTCTCACTCTCTCACACTCTACCACAAACCCCTCAGCTCCAGCACCCCGCATCTTGACATCCTCGTGCTCCAGTTGGCATTTGCTGCTCGTTGCTGCGCTGCGGCGGTCGCGCCGTCACTCACACACGCTGCCATTCAATCTGATTCCTCTCAAACAGAGAACCAAAAGCTCCATTCAAAAGAGCTGAGAAACAAGGTTAAGCTCAAACTCAAACTCAAGGGGGAAAAGCTCAAGCTCAAACTCAAGGAAAAAGCTCCATAGAATTAAACACCTTCGTCGGCTTTGGATTGAACGAGAGATTGCGAGACAAAATCATCAAAGTACCTGATAGCGCAGTCTCGCAATGTCCTTCCACGGAGAATCAAGGTCGCCGTCCACCCCATCGCTGGTTGGCAGCAGCTCGGGCATGCTCATGAACGGGTCGGCTGCAAACACTCCGATCGCTGCTGCGACGGGCGGTGGCGCAGCCAACTTTAATGCGACCGTTCTGGGGAATGGGATGAACTCCATCTCGTCCAACGGCAGCGGCGGGGCCGTGAGCAGCCCATCGCACTACAGCACGAGCACAGTGGATTCCGTGGATGCGTACCAGCAACAGCAGCAGCTGCAGCTGCACCAGCAGCAACTCATGCACCAGTACCAGCAGCACCAGCAACAGCAAATGCTGCACCAAAAGCAGCAGCTCTTGCAGCAGCAGACGCCATCACGCCCGTCGCACTCGCGAACATCTTCGTTCACCCCATCTATCGCCTCGAGCCAAGGCATCATGTCACTCACCATTGCGCCGTCTCCCGCGCAGCACGGCCAGGCGACCGTTCACGGCCAGCTCACTCCTCAATCACTCAGCCACAGCACGCATCACTATTCCCAGGGCCCCGCCAACGGCGCAGCAGGCAGTATGGGCGCAGGCTCCATGCTGTTGAGCACGCCCAACGGCAACGGCAACAACAGCTACGGCAACAACACCAATAGCTTGATGCTTGCGCTGGCCACGCCGACGATCAATGGTATGATGTCGCCGCAACTCACCGCGTCGGCATCGGGCAGCACGAACGGTGAGCTGCTCGTCGACGACGCTGGTCCGAGCGGCAGTCTCACCGTCTACACGACGCCTCCGAGCGAAAAGCTGTACTGCGGCATGTGTGGCAAGATTTTCACCGATCCAGTGATTGCGCAGTGCGGACACACATTCTGTCGGCACTGCGTCGAGCACGCGCCTGCGGGTCGCGGCTGCCCCACCCACAAGATGCAGCTGAGCAAGTCGGTGCTGCTTCCCAACCTCACTGTTTCTGAACAAATTGGTGACTTGCTCATCTACTGTCGGTACCGGCTCAAGCGCCTGGCCCACTCTGTCAACTTTGGACTGCAATCGGTGAATGGTGACACGAGCAGCGCCGATGCCATTTCCATTGCGAGTACCACCAATGGCGACCCGGCTGGCGCAACCTACGAACTGGACGATGCTGGCTGTCCGCTGACCGTCAAGCTGTCGCAACGCCACGATCATGAATCCACCTGCGACTATGCGCCCACCCGGTGTCCCAACAGCACCCAATGTCCCATCGTTCTCAAGCGCGACCTCGAGACCCATCTGCAAATCTGCGAGCACACTCCCTGTGCCCATCGTGCACGCGGGTATGTGAGGGTTTTTGTTTTGTGGCTGTTCTGGTATGTTGCGTTCTTACTTTTTTGCCTCTCCCCAAACTTTGTGCAGATGCCCGTTCAAAGGAGCAGCCGCCCAAGTCAAGTTGCATCTTGCGTCGTGTCGCTACGAGTCAATCAAAGAGCTCCTCAAAACGTCCGAGGACCAAATACTCACCTTGACGCAAGCGCTGCACAATCGTGAAGAAGAGCTGTCGTTCATGCGCACCATGCTCGCCAAAGTGTCCGAGAAGATGGAGCAGCTGTCCATCACCGTCGAGCGACGATTGGGTAATTGCCGCTTGTCCACCTGAGACGCGGGGTTTCTCCTCGTTGTTGTTGACTTGTTCTGGGTTTTCTTTGTGTGTGTGTGCTCAGATTTGGTTGACAAAAACATGCTCAAGGTCGCTGGAGAATCCGCCGACATGCTGCGCCAGCTGAATGATGTGAAAGGCGAGGTGCTTGCCCGGATGGGCGTGGTCGACGGTAAGCCCGTCCGCAACTACTTTTCGTTTTTTTTTTGGGGGGGGGGTTTGCTTCCATACCAATCAATCGCGTTGCATTCACCTCTTGGTTTTCTGTCGTTTCTGCACTTTTAGAGATTGAGTTCATCACCACAAACACATTCAAGTGCAAGGGCACCTTTGTCGGCCACCAAGGGCCCGTGTGGGCATTGGTTGTGTACAAGGACCTGCTTTTCAGCGGCTCGTCGGATGAAACGATCAAAGTGTGGTCCGCCACCGAGTTTAAGTGCAAAAACACGCTCACTGGAGACAAGGCACACAAGGGCATTGTGCATGCGCTTTGCATTCACGCGCACAAGCTCTACAGCGGCTCGTCCGACTCCACAATCAAGGTTTGGGATTTGGACACCCTCGAATTGCTCGACAGTCTCGACGGTCATGACAGTCCCGTGTGTACGCTTGCAATTGCCAACGACATGCTCTTTAGCGGCTCGCACAAAGTTATCAAGGTAGGTGCAAACTGTTACGCGACTTTTTGCCGCGCGGTTTGCTTTTTTTTTTTTTTTTTTTGGTTGTTTCTAACTTTGTTGGTGGCAACCAACCGTCTGCCAGGTCTGGGATCTCGGCACACACAAGCACATGAAAGACTTGACGGGCTTGAATCATTGGGCTCGCGCTCTGGTCGCAACGGAAACGTACTTGTACAGCGGTTCCTACAAGACGATTTTTGTAAGCATTCTACTACTCTCCCTTCGTTTTCTGGCAACGTCCTTTTTCGAGTACCAACGCTCATGTACTGGTTGTTTTGATCATCGACACAGATCCATTCTCTGGAAACCCTGGAATGCGTCCGTGTGCTCAATACTCACGGCGGATCGGTGTACTCGCTTGCCGTCACCGACCGTCACATTATCTGCGGTACTTATGAGAACAGCATTCACGTGTGGGACGTGAACAACTACTCGGACGTTGCCGTCTTGAGTGGGCATTTGGGAGCAGTGTATGCACTTGCGGTTCTGTCAACGCGCAACTCTGCCCGGCTGTTCTCGGGCTCGTACGACAATACCATTCGCGTTTGGAACCTCGAGAACTTCCAATGTGTCCAAACGCTAATTCGTCATGGCAGCAGTGTCGACACGCTTGCTGCATCCAAGGGACGCGTGTTTTCTGGCGCGGCCGACAACACAATTAAGGTGCGTGCCTTCATCACCCCAGAGCAGAGTTGTTGTTGTTGTTGTTGTTGTTCCTCGTGTTTGCTTTCATCGCTCATTGTTGTTGTTGTTGTTGTTGTTGCTGCTGCTGCTGCTTTGCTTTCTCGTTCAGGTTTGGCAATAAGAGCGAATGCTTGCTGGCGACCGAATTGCGCTTGTGGAATACTAGGCCGAGTTGTTTTGTTGATCAAAAGGCTCTTGTACATTGAATATACAGTATTTGCATTTGGATTCGTGCACGAATTTTGGGGGGAGGGGGAGGAAAGAGGTTAATTTTACAAAAGTACACAGAGCAAATCGAGCACCACCTCCCTTCAGGAAACTTGAAAGACATCGCCAGAGTCGGTCTTCCACGCAAAATACTCGCCCAGCTTTTTGTCGGCAAAGTACAGCAAGTTGTGGTTGACCTTGTCTACAAGATAGACACGGGAAATGTTTTTCGGACTGTTGTTGGATGGGAACACGACCTGGCTGAGCTTGGGCGTCGACGGGCCTGAGGAGGGTGGGGAGGTCGCGCTGCCGCTGCCGTCCCCGACAACCGGGGAAGCGGAGCGCACCAAATCCTCGGCAACGTCGCTGATGCAGCGTCGCGAAATGGCAAACAAGTCGCCATTGGCCTCGCGTTGGAAAAAGTCAAAGTACGTGTCGCTCTCCAAAATGGGAAGAATGATGGGTGGGTTGGATCCTTCCACCGCAATGCCCCGCTCCCCTGTCTCCGGGTTGACAAACGTGAAGAGACACTCGTCCACAAAGACATTCAGGTAGCGGTATCGGTCGTACTCGCCCATGACCAAGTCGTCGCCAAACTTGATCTTGCGTCGGCGAAGCGGTGGCTGATCGTCGTCCGAATCACTTGCGTCGTCGCCAGTGCCAGGCAGAGATCGAGCCGTCTGGGCCGCCGGGGTTGCCAAAGGTTGATCAGCGAGAGGAGGCGAGGTCGGCACCGGCGATGACGACAAGGATGGAACGCCTGAAACCTCATCCGTGTCGGAGCCAATCTCAGACCCGGAGGACAGGCGCGAGCGTCGTCGGTACTTGCTTTGCGTCTCGTCGTCATCTTCTTCCCCGCTCGAGGTGACAGACGCTCGTGCAATGCGCTCGATGCGATCGAGGTGCGAGTGCTTGGACAATTGCTGCTGCCGCCGGCCCTTGATGTCTTCCTTGAAGACGGGCTTGGGGAATTCTGGCGCAGTGCGTGGCTGGTTGCAGGTCAGCGGGGCGAGGGATCCACAATTGTCGCAAACGCCCTCCTCGAGCTCCTTGCCACAAGAGCAAAGTCCGTAGCAGGTGTTGCAAAGACTGCGATCGGACAAGGATGAAAGCGCGCAAAAAAGAAGTGAGGTCAGTCACTGCACTCAATGGTGGGGAAGGGGCAGCTGGCAACGTAAACAACAAACCACCACAACAACACGACAAAAACACAACAAAAACATCAAGACTCACTTGAGCTTTTTGGCTTCGGGATTGTGCGTAGTGCGTAGGTGCTTGCAACAACTCCTTGTCCCAGTCCTTCTCGTTGAAAAAGTCATTGTACGAGTATCGACTCGAGTTGAACTCGGGGCCCAAACCATCTTCGGAGCAGCAGTTGTGGCAGACAAATCGGCCCGACTGCTCGATTTGGATGATAAAGTCGGATTTGTGGGCGCGCGAAGAAATGGACAGCTGTCGATTGAAGCGCGCATACGTGTTGTTAATGACAGAGCGCGACGAGAGTCCGCCTCGGCGCTTTTTTCGCATGGGCGACTGTGCAAAGCTGAGCGGTGGTCCGCGAGCGGGCAACACGGAGCCGCCACTCGAATTGCTACGCCCTCGCTCGGCACCGGCCGATGCATCGGGTTGGTCGATGGCGTTCGAGCGTGGCAGGTGCTTGGATTTGGATTCCGAGCCGCTGGTCTTGGCGCGCACTTCTGGTTGGCTGTCCTCTTCCGAAATAGCTTCAGAGATTGTGGATGTCGCTTCAGCTGCCGTGGCTGTGGGAGCTGCAGGTGTTGTTGTTTCCGCTGCTTGATCAACCTGACTGACCTGCTGCTGCTGTTCCACCGCCAACGCCTTGTCCGACGCCGCGCGCGCCAGCTTGACAACGTCAAACAAGGACTGTCGTGGCGCACCGCTCGATGCTTCATGAAGTGCAAGGCTGGCCGATTTGCGACGATTCCACTCGACAAGAGGCGCAGCTTCGCTTGTTGAGAGCGACGCCCATCGTCGGCCGTACTTTTCCGCCAGGCGCATCTCCAGCGTGCGTTCAATCAGCGATCGGTTTAGCGCGGTCTGCCTCGCCAGCAAATTGGGGTCTCCGCCTGATGGTTTGACAGAATTCACCAACGAGCCAATCGGTCAACACAGTGAGCAAGCATTGAGGGAGGGGATTGAGCGCGTATGAGTCAGGATTGTTTTTTCGCTGGTTGGGTTGAGTTTTCCTTCCATCCCCCCGCTCTCCACCGCCATTACTGGTCTCGGTCAAAGCGAGCCCTCACGAGCTCTCACGAGCATTCTTTGTGCTTTTGATGAGAAAGCCTCGCGTCTGACCGCAGCGTCAGTTGCTTCTCTTTTGTGAGCTGAATCTTGAACCCCCCAGTGGTTCTTCTTTTGTGAGCAGACTTGGTGGTTTTTTCTTTATCTGTTCTTACCTTTCATGATGTTGTTTGAGACGAGTGTTTCCTTGGCTGGCCGCGTTGAGAGCTTCTTGTTGAGGCGCTCTTCCATCCTTGCCTTATTGAGCTCTGTCTGTGCATTGAGCAGCGCAGGCGACACGTTCGCCTCTAAAACAAAGCAGCAGTCCATCCAATCCATCCATACACATCAACAGTAAGCCATTCATGTATCATTGTATCATTGTATCATTGTATCATTGTCACGAGCAACGCAGCATGAGAGAGAGAGAGAGAGAGAGAGAGAGAGAGAGAGAGAGTCGCTTCCATCGCTGTTTTCGCTCTGCTTCACTCTCTTCTACTACTACTGCGACTCTGACTACGGCTGCGACAACTCGGACTACTTTATTTGCTCTTACGCTTCATAATGTTGTTTGCGACGAGGTCTTTCTTGTCTGGCCTGCTCTGCAGCTTCCGATTGAGCCGGTCGTGCACTGAGCTCGCCACCGCTGCTTCACTGCCATTGCCATTGCCATTGCCATTGCCATTGCTGGGCACTGCTGCTGCTTCGTTGTCCTCGCCTTCCATTTTCAATAGAACAACTGAGCTTTCGTCTATTTTCATCGTCAAATTCAAAAAGGCACACAAAAATCATAGAGTTCACGCCGTTGTTGATTCTCAGATTTCTGCTGCTCTCAGAAATTTTCACTGTTCTGCTCTCTTTCTTTGAAACAAACAATCACTCGCTTCATCACAATGCTCTTCTCGCTTTACTTGTTGCAGTGCATCACCATTTGCACACTGCATTGCGATACCTCAGTCTTTGCTTTTGTCGTTGAACGCTCAGTGCATCATGAGTGAAGCCGCATCAACATTGTCGCCAGCGGCTGCGTCTGCGCTTGCCACTGCCGCCGCCATCGAGGCTGAGGCTGCTTCCATCGACGCTGCTACTGCTACTACTGTTGCTGCTGCTTCTGTTGATACCACCACCGGAGCGACTGCTGGTGGAGCGTCGGCTGCTGCGCCTGAGATGGCCTCGCCAGTCACCATTGCCGCCGCCGCTGTTGCCGCTGCCCAGGTCGAGATCGACCTCAGCGCAGCATCGGCAAAGGCAGCTGCTGACTATGCGCAGTTCCTCCGGTTTGAAAACCTCGGCGAAGTAAGCGACACAATGCTGCTGCTGCTGCTGCTGCCACTCTGATCCTCCACACTCACTCAACGTTGTCCGCTCTGATGATCAAACTCCTTGAATGCAATGTCGTAGATTACCGCGGTTGCAACGAACGTCGACGACATGCTCAAGAAGCTGGACGAAATGCGCTCCTTGTCCGAAACGGTTGGTCTTTTGACTTGTTGTGACAAGTTTTCTGAGAAAATTATGAGAAATTCTGATCTTGTCGAGGTTTGGTTGTGGATGTGTCTATATGTGTGTGAATAGCTGCATCGCGACTCGCTCGTCACCATTCAGACACATCTGCCGTACTTGATGAAGAACACGGCAAAGTTGCAAGGACTATTCGCCTACATTGAACAAGTCGAGGTAGCAACGCTGCCAATGAGAGTCCAAAAGGCACAACCTACGAGTGAATAGAATACTAACCCCTCACAACTGCCTTGTGTGCTTAGAAATACATCAACCACATCAAAGGATTTGTCAGCAGGCTGGAAGAGCGATTGGATCAAGCAGAGAAGGACTTTCAATCACGGTCCATCAAGAAGGTCTTTGACGGCTTCAAGCTCCCCTCGCTTTTTGGCGTAAGCGCATGATTGGGTTTTTTGATTCGTAGACCTCGTCCTCCTCGAATGAAATGCTCAATACTTGAGCGACGGCTCCGCTCCTTTTTTTGAAACAGAAAAAATCCATGGAGGTGCCAGTGGCCGCGCCGCCCGGCCGGTTCCATCCCGTCGAGGTGTTTGCCACGGAGGACTACTTTCCCGCGCGAGAGTCCGACGTTGTCGCTGAAAGCGAGTAGTACATAAATCTTGATTGTCGAATACATTGTTGTTTTGCATTTGAGTCACCTCCTCGCTCCTCTCTTTCCCGACCAATTGTTACCATGATTTTGTGGCATTTCTTAGTTTTGGATGTTTTTAGTTTGGCAGCTGCTGCTGCAGTCCAATCTTTTATCTCTCCTTCTGAATCACACTGCTGCTCCAATGCCAAACCAGCTGAAGCGCTCAATGAAGCCGCTCGGGCAGCTCGTCCTCTCGCTCGTCCGCCGCGCAACCACGCCGCTCACCAGCGTCCAGCTCTTCGCCGTGAGTCCTTTATCGCCCCCCCCTTTGTGATTGTAGGGAAGAGCAGTCCGATGACGGGAGTGCGGAGCGAGCAGCGCGTGAAGCTGAATGCAAGCGCATGGAGATCTGTAGCTTTTTTTTTTTTTCTATTGTTTTTACTATGGGACCAACCCATTGAGGGGCTGCTCTGGTCGGACGAGACCGACATCACAAACATGAGCTAGAATGAACAAGATCTGAACAGTTGCTGACTCACTTGATTGGTGTTGGTGGTGCTTTTGCTGCGAACTTAGCTGGTCGGCGAGGACAACATCATCTCTGCGTCAAAGCTCAAGAACGACGTCCTGCGCAAGCTGGTCCAGGAGCGCATGCTCGTCGTTCGCCCAGTGTTCTCGGCAAAGCAGCTGGGACGACAGCCCAAGGACGTCCACCGGCAGAAGGGCATCACGTACGGCTATGCGCTCAATCCGACGTACGCAATGCGCGGCGACGTTGCCAAGCACGGATTGCTGCGCGCGGCCACTGCGGCCAACAAGGTCGCCGCAGAGCGCTACCGCAACGTTCTCCGCAATGCTGCAGTGCTGCACAAGGTCGCGCGCAAGGCGCTGCCGCTCACGTTCGGCGCATCGCAGATGCAGCCGTTTGTTGCGCACCGCCTCTCGCGAATCGGCTACGTGTCGCCGTTCAAGGACGCCAAAGAAGAGCGCCGTATTGCTGACAAGCTGCACAATGCGCTCGTCAAGAATCCCGTGCGTGCAAAGGACTTGCTAGACAGCGCGCACGTCGAATACGTCAAGGCTGTGAAAACCCGCATGCGCAGCAACCTGAAAGCCGAGACCTATCTTGCGCTGCAGCCGTCCAACCTCATGCTCCCAACAGAGCAAGCCGTGTTTGCCGTCAAGCCTGTGGACAAGGCCGCCAACCGCTTTGCGCTGCGCGAGTTTGCCTCGCTGCAGGAGGCTGTCATGCTCGACCAGACCGAGCTCAAGCGCGTCGCCAAGGCGCCCGTCGTCCCCGCCAAGGACAAGTTTATCGCGCAGCAACGAAGCGAACTGTTGCCCGAGTTCCAGCAACGTTTCACGCAATCCCTGGAGGATCAGCGACGCAACGGAACAGCAGAGACAATGGAGCGCGTTCGCGGCTTGGTCAGCGAGTTGCACGAGCACGATCGCATCCCGCGCACGGGTCCTGCCGCTCTCCTGCATCAACGGCTCGAGGCAGCCGTCCAAGGTCGCTCCGCACCCCGCTTTGTCGCCCAGCCAATTCGACACAGCGCATATCTGAGCATGCGCCAGCAGACCCATGCCCAGCAGCTCGAGTTGGTCAACACGGCACGTTCGCACAAACCCGACTCTACCACAGCATTTGCCTCCCCAGCAACACGGCGATCCGAAGCAGCGGCGGCAGCAGCTCCCGCAACAGCAGCAACAGCAGAAGGCCGAACAAAACAACCTCGCGCCTCGCCATACGATACCACCGAGGCCTCCGCTCTTCTCGACTTTGTTTTTCCCAAGGCTTCGACAGCTGCACGATAAAGACATCCGGGGGATGGTGTGCCCAATAACAAAACGAACGATGAATCTGGCAATGTAATTTTTTTTTCGACTGTGTTTCCATAAGCAATCTTGTTTTCTGTATCTGTTTCGTGTCATGGGATCGCTGCATTGCTTCGAGTGTGACGCCATCCAATAGAAAGGGGGTGGCGTGAACAGGATGCAACAAAACAAAGAAGGTTGGGATCGTTTCGTTGCTTCGTTTGATTAGTTTTGTTTGTACATCAAGAAAAAGGACCAGGCCAACACGCCAGCGTCGAGGAGGAAATGCATGAAAATCACGAGATAACAAGAACAACGACGGGTCTGGATGGGGAAAAAGAACAATGTCCAGCGACAAGAAAAGAAAAGAAAAATCCTTGCTTGCCGAACATTGAGTTAACTAAGGTATTATTATTACTTGTTTTCCACGCGCATGCTCATGCTCTTGAAGCCAGCGAGCGCGTCAGGGAACTGAGGTGGTGTTGCTGGTGTATTGGAAGGGGTAGTATTTTGCTGTGCGTAGCGGGACTGCGCAAACGAAAAGAGCAAAAAAAAAAATTGTGTGAGCGACAAGAATGAAAAGTCAAGCTTCGACAATCATTCCAAACACACTAATGAGGCAATGACAACTCACCTGCGATTGCATCCCTGGCGGCGGGGCGATTTGCTGGTAGAAAGCGCTGAGTGCGACCTGACGCAGCAAAATTTGAATCGAAACAAGATGAGCGACAAAAGAGAAGACAACTTTTGTTCAGATGCGTTTTGATGCTCTTGTTTTGTTCAGCATCACGATGACAAGTCGGTGGATGCGCAATGGCAGCACCAACATGTGGAGATTGACTTTCGCAGAACTCGAGGCTTTTGCCAGAATTCTCAATTTGACGTGACCAAAACACCATTGGATTGTGACTGTTCCGCAAAATTCCCCCATCCCGCGTTCGCCTTGGAGCTGTCAAGTCCTTGTGAGACACCCCCATCACAGCACACTGTTCGACAGTGCAAACTTGTGAGAGGAGTCTTGGGTCTGTCCTCACAAAAAAAAAAAAAAAAAAAAAAAAAAAAAAGGTTTCCAACCGCTTTTGTTGCCGGCTTTTGAAACAAAAGGAGGTCTTGCTTTTGACTGAGTGTCGGTATCAAGCCCAATGCTGACAAAACCGAGTAGACAGAGTGTGACTTTTTGTCGGGTGCTTTGTCAGGCGGGGGGAAGGGGGATGGCAAAGCGGGAGTCTGGTCGCCCACGAGAGCACCAACAACAAAAGCCCCATGCCCTTGTACTGACCTCCATGTTCCATTTGCAGGCCTCGAGGGTGGTCTGCGCGTATGCCCATGTGCATCCTGTGGCGTGGACAAACTGGTTCATCATGGCTTGGTTGCGCAGCGACGTGGCGTCCATTCGTTCTGTTGGTTTTTCTGTGGATGCGGGGATGGATGCGGTTGGAGAGCGAGAACCACAAACAACACACAGCAGGAAGCAAGACGAAGAAGGACAAGAAGGCAGAGAAATTCAGCAAAAGGTTGAGTTGTGAGGTTTTCAAGGAGTTGGGTGAGTTGGAAGTTGGGGGGTGGGTTAGGTGAGATTGGGCGGAGGTAGCACACAAAGGAGAAGGATTGGGAAGTGATGACGATGAAAATGAGAAACACACACAAACAGAGGACGACCTTCCGTGTGTCTTCCATTCAATCCATCATCATCACTCAGTGAACACCATCATCATCATCACGGCGCAGTGAATCAATGGCTTGGAGGGAAGGCCTCGGAAAATGAAGCATTTGGAAAAAAAAACAGATGACCAAAAAGGTAGCCGCAAAAAGACCGACGATTGCAATGCGTATTGTTTGGAGGCGTCGGTATCAGAGACCGCACACACACGCAGTGTTGCAATTGGTACAAGAGGAGGACATGAGCGAGTGGAAAGGGGAAGGAAGAGGAGTGAGGTGGAGATGAAGTTGTTTACCGACAAGCAAAGGCTGGATTTTGAAGAATGGAAAAAAACAACAAAGAATGAAAGAAAAAAAAGGACTGACAATCAAAAAGTCTGAGAAAATGTGAATTAGAAAAGTTGCTGATGCAGACAAACAATTGAAAACAAGAGTAAAGATGGGCGTTGAAGACAAAGACAAAAGAGAGAGACCGAACGAAACTGCATCACAAGAAGAAAACTTGAACCAAAGACTCTTTTTGCTTGCAAACAGCTTAAGATGCTTGCAGCCGGATGCAAAGGTCCACAGCAAGCTATGTTGTGCTTATTCCAAATGTCCGTGATTGTCCATAGGTGAACTGCAGCTGAAATGGACAAAGAATTGAGAAATCCTTCCCTAAATGTTTGGGTGAACACCGGTCCTCAGCCTTTTCCCCCTCCAGCGTGTCTCTGGTTTCTTTTTGTATGTCCAGCACGAAAATGCAAACAAACGGTAATCTAAAATGAAATAAGACTGAGGCGCAATCGAAATGAGAAGAATGACAAATAATAATAAAACAAAGGGGGTGGGCATTCCGTCCCGCCCTAGGTGGGCGGCGACCGGCACGATAAATGACAGCGGTGTCCGTACTGTAGATCTATCCCTTAAATTACGATATTCTCGTTTCATGCCGGGTCTAACGAGCTTTCTTACCTTCTTTGATTCGTGTGTGTCATTCGGCAGGATTTCTTGCGCTCTTTCTTTCTCACCAGGAGGCGCATCAATAACTTTGAATTTCTCCCATGCTGCTTTGCGTTCATCTCCAAGGATTTCTGCAGTTCGTTTCGTGCTTGTTTCAATCGGTGTTGTTTCGCGTTAGGGTTTTTCTTTTCTTCCTTTTGGTTTGTTCACTTTTCACTTTTTCACGTTTCACTTTACCTTCTTCTTTTTTTTTTTTTTTTCTTTTTTTTTTTTTTCTCTTTTTGTGTTGTTTGTTCCGCCATTTCCCCCCCCCCTCCTCCCGGCCCTTCAGATGGCCTCCAGTTCCAACTCGGCACACCCCGCAGCTGCAGCGGCTGGCTTATCTCCGTCTGACTCGTCTGCTGCCTCCGAGAAGGACGACTTCTTGAAACGTTTCGAGTCTTTCTCGCTTGCACTGGGCCCTGCCAAGCCTGCACCCCCGCCTCTCGACCCCGCGGCGACCAACAAGGCATACGACGAGCTGGCTAAAGCCGTGGCCAACCTCACACTCGAGGATGTGATGAAAGATGTCAAGGGCGTCGTCGAGAAGGTCAACCCGCTTTACACCGCAGTTCAAATACCCGACGAGAGTATGGAGCGAGCACTACGCTTGCTGAACAAACAAGACGAGGATGAACGACTTGGCTCCATCCGCGTGCCCGTCAAGACCTACCGCACGGAGGTTGAAGGTACGAACTCGCGCTTTGCCAAGACATTTCAAAAAAAAAAAAAAAAAAAAGAGGAAAGAAAGGCGCCAAACAGCTGAGAAGTCCAAAAACTAACCTGCTGTCTCTCTGTTACAGCCCGCCTGGCCGAGTCACTCCAACCAATGATTGCGAACAAAGAAATGGAACCACATGCAAACGATAAGCATGTCCCAGCCATGTGTGAGCAGGCCCCCGAACCATTTGGGTGCTTTGACTTCAAGCTTGCCAAGCGGCCGAAATTTGCAGAGTGTGGCTATGCGAATGCTGAGGCAGATGTGCATAGTGTCGTGCTCTCGACTCTGAAAACCATCACATTCAGTCTTGGTTTACCTATCATGCCGAGTTCAGAAAAGTCTCAACCTTCGACAACAACAGTTGACGACGACGCTGCGGCTGCCTCTTCGTCGACGGCAACCGCTTTGTCGCCTGCCCCACCTCTTACAGCCAAGAGCCAAAAGAAGGGCAAGCAAGCGAATTCGACAGGCTCTCCTGCGTCGACGGCTGCCACTTCGGCACCTGCCATTCGACCGGATATCGTCATCACAACCATGAAAGGACAGCCGCTACTCGTGATTGAAGTCAAGAGCCCGACGACCACTCTGGTCAAAGGCACGTATGTGTGCGAAGGTGGGGATTTGGAGCGCCGCGCAGAGTCGGACAACAACCCCGATTCGGATGCTGCCAAGCACAATACAACCCTCGGGCACCTGCAAGGCCAGCTGTACGACTACCTGCGCTCGCCTCACGAGGACTTTTGCATGGTGCCGTACTTTGGCATCCTCACGACGTACCATGAGTGGGCGATCTACTGGCTCGCCGACGACATGGAACTCCACCTTGATGACTCTACCTCCTGCACGACCGAGTGCGCGACTGTTTCGGACGTCGACGAGTTCAAGAAGATCATTCTTGATCTCGAGAGACGAGCAACCGACACGACAGACGCGCAGTGGCCATCGCTCAAAGTTGTCCCCACGTTTGGCAACGTGCACAACCTAGCAGCAACTTCAGCAAAGGCGATTCACCAAGGCAACGCGACGCGCCGCCTCATCCGCACGCGCGTGTTCAAGTGGAACGATCCCGACCTCGTCAACGTGTTGCAGAGCGTCATCTTCAAGGCCTATCACCTGTCGCGTCTGCGCTTCCACCCCCATTTCGGCGAAAGCTCCTCGTGCCTGTTCTACAGTAAAAACCAGCTTACACAGACCAGAACGCATGGCCGCGCTCAGCTGGACTTCAACACCTTCTCCAACAAGGTCGTCCAACCTGATGGGCACATTCTCGCAGGCCAAAAGCCGACCAATGTCTACTGCTTTGTTGACCTCGGTCGCGGACGCGACGGCCATGCATGGCTTGCGAGCCCGTACACCAAACTGAACCACGGTGTCTGTGTCCTCAAGGTGCGCAATCCGAACGGCGCGCATACATTGTCAGCCGAACAAGAGGCTGAGCTGTGGCGCAAGATCTGGGGCAAACGCCACGCGAATCCTTTCTCCGAGACCCAGAGCACGGAGTATGCGGTTTACATGCCATATGTCAAGATGGCCGGGGATGTCCGGCCATGCGAGCAGCAAGTGGAAGGTCGTGCCGTTCTGGTTGCAACCGCGCTTGCGATTGATCACATGGCATCGCTTGGCTACAAGCACAAGGACGTGCGTTGGCGCCATGTCGGTATCTACCGTGTCATGGGCGATGAAATGTTGTATGCGGTGCTGATCGACCTGTCCGATGTGGAAGTGGTCTCCGACAAAGCCGAAGCCAAAAAAGGCATGCTCGCGAAACTTGGCATTGACGAAAGCCTCTTACAAAAGGCAAACCCGACAAAGTTGAACAAGCCCAAAA